AACTAATATCAGGTCGTGACGGATCAATCAGTCCTATGGTTGATATATCATTACCTCATCAAATGTTTTCTGGCTTTGTTGTCCATGCACTTCCAGGTATGTGGTTAGTATTAGGTCACGATATAAAGCGAGAGACCAAATACAATAGACAGCTTTGACCAACCTTGAATGGTAGGCTAACTATTTGACTGGTGTTTTCAGCAAATAAGATTTCAACAGGTATTACTTGATATAAATCAATAATTGTCCTCTTTTCTTTGAAAAAAAAACCGTGAACCATACTTAGCACACACAAATAAACTCCAACGCGCTAGATTTACACCAAAAACAAAAATATAATTAGATTTTCACCTGTTGACATGACCGCATAAATCTGATCATTTGTATATATATATATATATATATATATATATATATATATATATATATATATATATATATATATATATATGCATGTATATATGACAATATAAAATCCAGGTAAGTTATTCGATCGGCACCCTTTTCTCATTGAAATATCTCACATAAAAACAGAACTTCACAAACGTACGAAAAAGGGTTTAGTTTACTGATTTTTTTGTCAGAGATGTTTATTGTTTATTATGATTTGTCCCTTGGGTTCCTAGTGAAATATACAGCTTCAGTAGCATGTCACCATTGCACTCTGTCCTCTGCAATCTTTTGAACCTGACTTCACCACTACCCAGAAGCTCTCATTTCTACCTCACACGATCTCCTCCATGTCACTCTCACCTCGGACGCCCAGCTCGTCGTTTTCCCTTCGGGTTCCACTCGAAGGCCTGACCTGGCGCGTGATGTCCCCAATCGGTCTTCTCAGTGTATGCCCAATCCAATCCAATCCATCTCCACTTTATTCTGCATGTTTGTTGGGTGATAGGTTCCTGGTTGGTTCGTTGCCAGCCAGCGAGCCAGCCAGCCAGCCAGAGTTCCTTGTTTCTTATTCTTATTATTCTGGCCATCTGATCTCCATCTTTCAGTATGGAGTGAGCGCAGCTGAGTGCAGTTGTTGATGTGATGTATGTCTGTAGTTTGTTGGAAATGCTTTTCGTGACGTGCACGTCTGTGAACCACCCCATAGAAGCAGTGACTTGAGTGAATTAGTGTTGAGAATCGTGGTGTTGTTCACGCTTTGTGCTGATTGCAGTAGATCTCCACACTGATTTCAGGTTAATGAAGGTCTGTCTTGGTGTCTTTCCGATCCTGGGTTTGACATCGTCATGTGTACCTGTGCCGCCTGTAGTTGAGTGGATGCTGCTTAGGAAGGCAGGTGAATGAGGGAACTCCTTTTAGATTTTTCCTGTCGTTGGTGATTGGTGCTTGTTGTTGTTGTTGGTTGGGTATCTTCGTCACTTCCGTCTTCTCTACGCTCACCTGAAGTCCAGTCTTCGCTATCTTGCCTCTTCTATGAACTGGTTTTTTTTTGTTTTTAGATCTTTGAGTTTGTGGGACAAGATATAAGAGATAAATCATCATCGGCGAAATTCAAATATTCTAGGGTCTTTCATTGGTGCAATCAGCGTATGCCCATCTTCTTGCTGCTGACGGTTTGTTGCATGGTGGAGTCCGGTCCAGTCGACCATTATGAGGTCGATGATCGATGATATTAGGCGACAGCCTTATCTTACTCCTGTCTTCACTTCAGAGGCGTCACTGAGTCTTCCATTAAGAATCACTTGGCATATAGCGTCACGTAGCATAAAGCTATTGAATGAGGTTGATAAACGTTTGTCGTTCGACTCTGTCGAAGGCCTTTTCAGGATCGATGAAGTTGAGGTAAAGGTCCAGTTGACTGGCGTTCTATTCTCTGTTCTATTATGATGCATATCGTAGTGTTGCAATTTGATCCGCACATGATTTGTGCTTACTGGATTCCTCTTGTTCCGGTCGTAATTTTGAATGCAGAGCATCTTTCATACTCTCCAGGATGATACGGCGTAATACTTTGCCTGGGGTGGACAGGAGCATGATTCCGCGTCAGTTCTTGTTAAGACTTTGGTCTCCTTTCTTTTAGAGTTTGACAAGGTAGGCCTTCTTCCAATCTAAAGGTAACTTTCTTTCCTTCCTCCTAAACCTTTTGCAGTAGTGTTGTGAGCATGTCCGCTGTTTTCTCGGTGTCTTTTTTCAGTGCTTCTGCTGGAATCCCATCTGGTCTTGCTGCTTTCCTGGATTTCAGTGACATTATGGCTTTCAGGACTTCCACTTTTGTTGGGGGGCTTGGGTTCACTGGTAGTTCCGTGGCTGGACTCCTGGTGGTATTTCTGGACGAGTTGCAGGTGGTGGTTGATTCAAAAGTTTTCTGAAGTGATCAGCCCATCGTTTCCTTTGTTTCTCCTCTTTGCTTACTAGCTTTCCTTCACTATCTTTCATTGGTTTCATCTGTGTTGACCCCTTCCCTCCCAGGTTATTTAATATAGTGTTGTCAGGTTTCTGTCTCTGCTACCTGCAGCCTTATCTGCTTCACTTACCAGCGTGCCGTAGAAGTGTCTTTCGTCTTTGTCGTGCACTCTTCCTCACTTCTTTGTCCAGTGTAGTGTTTTATAGGCTGTACTCAGTTCTTCTTTTCTTTGTTCATCTCTGCACTGCTTCATCTTCCTCTCCCTACTGTATCAGCTTGTATGTGTCCACCGAGATCCATCCCTTGTCTTGCCTCTTCTTCCTTCCTAATACAGTTGTGCAGGTTTTTTTCCACATCTCTCGCAAAGAGTTCTAGTGTTCTTCCACGGAGGTTTCTTTGGGGATATTGCTCAATATCTCCCATTTTGTCCTGATGGCTGACGTGAAGATGTCATTTGTAGGTTGGTTCTTCATTTTGTGTTCTGGTTGTTGAACTTGAACTGCGATCTATCACCAACTTCTTTGAAGGCTTTCAACTTGATTTTGAAGGTCCCTTGCACAGGATACTAAGTGGTGTGAACCTACATCTGCTCTCCTTCTTGATATGATCTTGTGTCCAGTAGGTTGCGTCTCCACTTTCTTTACATTGAGATGAAGTCGGTGTAATTTTAGTGTATCCTCGTGTCTGGTGAAATCAAATCCATGTGTTTGTACACATTGTCTTCAATCACCAAATCGTTGAATGCACAGAAGTCTGCAAACAGTTCTCCATTCCTATTCATTTCATCGGGTGCTTCCCGACTCATGATTGGTTCTCTTCCTGTGTTATCCGCTCGCAGTTTGGTATTCGTGTCACCCCAACCATTAGAATGTTGACATCGCCAGCTGGGGTGGGATCTTGTCTAGTACTGATTACAGTTGTCTGTAGAATTCCTCCTTTTTCTCTTGATCTGCATTATTTGTAAGTGAGCAGCGTAACATTTATGGTTGTGACTTTCCTTCCTTTTGAGTTGAACCTTGTTGTCCTGATCGTGGGGAGATCGGTTCTTACTGCATGAGAGCCTTCGATGCTCCACAAGGGGACATCATGATAGTCACTCCACAAGTCGGTATGCTCGTGGTTGTCGTCTTGGTGATTATATCGGAGTAGATTATTGACTCTCTAGTTGACAGTTTTGAGAGTCCACTCTCATCCCATCTGCTTTCGCAGATTCGTAACACTTTTATGCCATACCTTTTCATCTCTTGCAATCTGGGTAGCCTTGCCAGCCAGCTTCAAACAGTGTTCGGACATTCCATGTCGGTATGCTTACTTTTGCTTCCATTGAGGGAAGATACATTGGCGGATTGACTTCCCAAAGGCTTTCACCAACCGGAGTCATTTCGCCTCTTCGATTGCAGCGAGGAATAAGTTTAATTTTATGTTTAGTATTTTCTTTATGCTTTGAAGTTTGTTTAGCAATTGGACTGGTTTTCCGGGGTAGGGTTGCTAGTCTTATGCCCAACCTTTCCTGTTTATCCGGGCTTAGGACCGGCTAGTAACTGGTGAACTAGTTACTTGGGTGTGGTTTCAGAGATGTTTAGTGAAAGTATAACCGGTGGTATGAAGATCTATCAGTTCTGCTCTTACGAAGAATATCTTTCAACTGGAATAAGCGTAGTGTAAAGCATCAAGTGATGACGAAACGATGCGTATGTATATATTCATCATGGACTCACATCATTTGATGAACCATTGAAAACCCGAGGGCACTGGACAGCCGTTTTGTTTTAGTATAGGGTTCCTCAGCAGTTGTCACCCCACAACGTTGTCAGCGATCGGACTAAGGACTCTCAGGTTTCATGGTGAACGCGTCAACCACCCAGCCATTCAGTCATAGCTTAGCGTTTTGCAGTTTTCTATTTCTGTGAATTCTCAACATAGCGTTACTCTCTACCAAGGTTTTCAGTTGGAATCCCCTCCATTTTTGTACTGGTAGATCAAACTTAGGATAAAACAGCTATCCAGTACTCCCAGGTTTTCAATTATCCACCCAAGTGGTGTCAGTTCGGGATGAATGCAAGCTCATATTCTCTCAAAATATTGGATTAATGTATACTGTCTCATTTATGCTTGTCATATGTTAACAACATTGTGCTGAATTCCACTGGTCCCATATGTCGATGAAGTAATTTCGTTAATCATATAACAAAATTCCATTTCATTAAAAAAGTAGTACGGCATAATTGTGTAGAGAAGTTGTTGTCTCAGTCGTTTGTAACATAGAGTAGTTAGTTATCTAGTCGGAAGGGGAGGGGGCGGCAACTGAACACGTTGGGTGTAATAGTCATCCTATATTGTGACTTAACAGAAGTTGGAAACTGTGAACCGTTGGATTTCGACCCAGTGACTGGAGGGTTAACGCTTTCACCGTGACACCTGAAGATACGGACAGATGAAACAGTTGTCCAGTGCTTCTAGGTTTTCAATAGTTCTCCAACTGATACCAGTTGGTGAATAAATACTACATCAAAAATTAAAAATCTCCATTCATCTCAAAATTCATCTACTTTAATCAACCGCTAAATATTTCTTTATATTGTTAATCTAATACATTTCAATGTTCTTATCGTTATTACCTCTTTTTCCCTTTAATATAATAAAGGTCATTTTCTGAAGCAATTCATATGGAACATCAATTAGTTGAAAGGAATAAAGCAACTGAATACAATATGATCAAGAGTAGAAAGTTAAGCGATAGTAATCCATTACCGCCATCAACATCCACAGCATATCTTTTCAGTAATTCCCCTTTATCTGATTATATGGCTAAATTGCATATGGATCAATCGTGAACAATATTTCTCTTTATTACTTTTATTCCTATTCATTACATCATCTTATCAGTAGCATTGATTTCGTAATCATTACTTGTAAACTTGTGATAGTTATGCTGATCTGCCACAATATATTATTATTATTATCATTATTCATTAATTACTGTTTGTATTCTCTTTTTTACCCCTTTCCTTCTAGTCTTTTTTAATAATTTTATATCTTCCCCCCCCCCTCCCTTATTATATGAATATGTACATTATTGATCTTGTTATTCTTGTCATTGTCACCATTTTTATTGTTATTGATTCAATCGATGGTGTTTACTTCAAGGATGACTATTTTCCTTATTTACTATGTGATAACACCAATTATCTGATCAACTCCTATTGAGTAATCATCTTTGAGACTAGTCCATACTCCATTCTGGCTAGATTGAGTCGACAGAGACTAATCTTGTTTATTTCTTAATTAGTTATTGATTTTATTTTCTCATCTATATATAAATGTGTGTGTGTGTGTATGCATCCATTTTTTTAAAGTTTCCATAACTTCCTTTTTATTTAGCTTACATACGACTGATTCTCTGACTTTCTAATCTATTATTTGTGTAATTTCGTCTTCTTCCACTTCCCTCCTTCTCTGCTCTCTCCTATCTCTTTGGCTGATATAATAATTTTTCACTATTGTATTACTCTACTAATAGTTTTCTTTATTGATGTGCTTTTTTCTTTATTTTTCAAAGAAAAAAAAATTGTTATAATATTCCTAGTATAAATCGCAAATGTTCTCGTTTTTTTAAAGACACACGCGAGCACGCATGCACACACTAGTTACATTGGCGTTACATTGAATCATATATATTCATATCTTTCTATGTAAAACTTTACACGTTGTTTCTTATTTCTCTGACACTAAAATAACTGACTTCGTGTGTGTGTGTGTGTGTGTGTGTGTGTCAAAGTGAGTCGTGCAAGTAAGGTAGTGGGAGAATATTCCAGTGTTACCTTCATATCACTGTTTACGTGTGTGCTTGCATCTCCACATGAATGTCATTTCCGTTTTACTGCCTAATCTTTTATTCTTTATCTTATTCTTAAGTTATTATTCTCTTACAATGAAAATACCAATTTAGCTTCCGTATTCTACTAGTACTTACCATTATTATTATTATTATTATTATTATTATTATTATTATTATTATTATTATTATTGTCTTTTAACCTGTTAATCAGTTAGTATATAAAATATCTCTAGGGTAGACATTTAAATGCATATGCATATATACCCGTGTTTTATGTTTTGTGATTATTAACTTCCTTTATATTCCTGTGTGCGTGTGTGTGTGTATTTCTGTTTGTTTGTATTTTGGTTCTCAGGCTATTATTCTCTCCGTATGTATATATATATATATATCACATCTTAGAAAGATGTGGTGTTTGTTATTTACGCGGATTTGGCTGAAATATACATATACACAATATCTGTGTGTGCTTACACATACAGTATGAGTTATTTCCAGTCCTTATGTAACACCATAGTATTACTAGTACTTCTATTGCTATCACCACAGTTAAAGTTATCTATCTATCATCATTATGTAAAATGATATGCATGTTGTAACTATGTGGATAAAATTCAGAAGGTAACTTTGTTCTACCTTTCATCTCTCACACTGTATTTTATGCCCTCTCCCCCATTATCTTTGTTGATTTTATTTTCTGATAGGAAACGTTAAGTTAGTTTATTTTATTAACCTTTTGTTTTTACTCACAAAAAAAAAATACACAATTGTGATGGCTATTGTACATCAGTAGCCTATGGTGAATAATGCATTGGCATTTGAAGCGTTGGGTTATATTAAGTTGGAGTCTGAGCGAGAAACATCACTGACTGGAGTGTAGATGCAACCAGTTGATGAATTCGAGATGGAACAAAACGCGTGTCATGAACTCTGCTGTTAACCACCGAATAGACTGTAGTTTTTTTTTTCCTTTTTCTCTTTTGTTTTATTTGCTTGATTTTATTTCCACTTCTGTTTGTTTATTTAAAGTGGGTATGTTTGTCTTTCATGTTTTATTGTTTCAATGAAATTGAGATAAGATTGGTAAAAACTTACTACTCGTTTTACTTGACAATATACAACTTATTCATTCATTATCAATACTGAAATCATACTTCTAATTGCTATACACACTGCATAAAATGATTTTCTTTTCTTCTTGTCTATTCACTTGGCTAAGTAATATTTGTTTATCTGACTGTATTCTTTCTAGTTTGTTTTCTTTGAATAAAACATAATTTTTTTTTTTCTATTCTAAGTAGATTTATTCTTTTGTTTTGTTACGAGATAGACTCTATTCAGAGGGATGAATTACTGTTATGCTTGTCTTCATATTCACTCATTATGTGTAGTGAGAACAGAGACTATGTTGTAATCACCCTTGGCTACTAACATTAAAATATAGGATGCACGTTTCGTCCTATTTTGGACTAATCAATTGCATGTACTTGCACCTCCCAGTACATGATGTTGTCATCATCGTATCAAAACAGCACCTGATACCCGTTACACAAGAAGTAGCTGTCGAGCTTCACTGACAGTGTTTGGTACTAGTTTCATTTCTTAGTGGGAACAACATCACTCACTGAGGTGCAGGTACATCCAGTTGATAACATCCAAATAAAATAAACCACAAGTCCTGGATTCCACTGCTAGCCATCAATGAGATCGGGCAACAGAGAGTTTGACAAGAAAATATATCAAGTAATAAAGTACTGAGTAAGGAGATTAAGAAGTTGGATAGTTGACGACAAATTATGTAATCATAAAATTAGTTGAACTCAGTTGATGGGACGATCATCCACATTATGCTCGAACAGAAAAATGGATAAGACAAAAGATGGTGTTATCAAATAAGAGGAAGAGTGATAAGACCTTTGTAATTCCACATTAGATTAGTTTACTCGATATGTAACACACAGTATTATTTACTTGATGACGAAACTTCGAGCATAAATTATTGCTCATTATCATATCAATATAATCATACTCCTTCCGAAATGACTTTTATAGTCCTATCACCTCATATTCTTTGTTTTTATTGGTAGTAAAGTTTTCCATATCTCTGGAATATGGGTGTTGCGTCATTCCTACTACTCATGTGTAGGTGGGTATTGATCGATCAACAAAGATTCAGGATTATCTCTCTCCAACTAATTACATTTTACTTAAGCACAATGGTTTTTCATCTCACCCTACAGCGTGGTGATTATTGATCGCATTGGGGTCTGTCCCTCTATATTCAGTGGAATTCCTACATTCCACTAATCCAACTGACCACGACTGGCTACTTTCACCTATGTGATTGACCTCACAGTCATTACATGGGATTTGATAGATCAGATTATTCTGTTTAATCGGTTCCATTTGATCCTTAAACCAGATGACAAAGCTTATCTCACAGTGAGTTTGTTGATTTGAATACGACCCTAATTCCAGCTCTGTTGAGGATCCTACATAGAGTTTCTGAATTTCCTTCATTAGAGGGTAACACAATGGATGCTTTGAACTCCTCTCTACTTGTGTTGTCGCCACAATTTATTTTCGTATTACTGTTATTGTTTCGTTTGTTATGTGTTAGTACAATAGTAGAGGATAATTATTGATTAGTAGTGCTTCTTTTATGTGTTATAATTGCTAATTTAAGTTTTTGGATTAACTGTTGAGTTTTCTAGCTGTGTTATTTAAACATCTGAGTGTAACTGCTCCTTAACTTATGTGGGAGGAGATGACCTGAAGTTTAGATACCTATTCAGATGTGTTGGTTACGTGTAGATGAGTTCCGCTTAACGAGGTTTGAGCAACCAGGTACTGTAGTGGGCGTTGCTGATAAGAATGGATATCAGTAGTATACATTGAGAAAGTGGCAGAAATCATAGGAAATTACCAGCAATCGATAAGGATTCCACCAAGAGAACCCCAAGGTACAAGTCAGGTGTATGAAGAGCAAATCAAGAAACAAGCAGAAAAGGAAACGAAGCATATTTTGCAAATGACGGTTTTAGTGCAAGGTGTATCATATTTAACGACTACTGTCCTACATGTTAACGACAATCATTCATTCCTTCACACCTATCTGCTTGCTCCTTTCAGTAAATAGCAAATACTGTTACGGATCTTTTTTTTTACCAGACAGACAAAATCAACATAGATACATAGGTACATCGGCTCAATTTGTCACGCTTCACAGTAACACACAAAGAACAGTTGGGTAGAAAAAGAATGATATAAAAGTAAACGAAGTTGTGTAAAAGAATAAACAATTTGAAGATAACGATCAGTGCTTTACAAGATGCCAAGTAGTGAATACATCTGCACCATTGTGACCAATATTCAGCCATGTCATCAAGAGTCCTCAACCACTGATATTTTTTCGTCTCAGCGACCCTAGTCAGACAATGTACATCTCTTCACACGGCTCAGACGAACAGTACGAGAAATCAAACTATCTGTATTGACTAGTGCTCTCAACCTCATCATTTGACTGACCTACGTGTCTTCCCCAGTACCCTTCGTCTCTTCTCAAAATTGTTCACACAGTGGTTCCACTATACGCGAGAAATGTTCTCAAGACACCTACACTCAAAAACCTATAAGCAATTCATCTCTACCTTCAACGGCCATATTTCATAGCTGTATAACAGAACAGAAGGGACTACAGCGTAGTATACTCATCCTTTAACAGATAACACGTCCATGCTGATGTGATGATTTTCGTTGGGCATTTAGTTCATTTCTATTTTAGTATCTAAGTGCTTTAAATATATCCAATATAGTCAAGTGAATGTAGAGAAGACGGAAGTGATGAAGATACCCAACCAACAACAAGCAGCAATCACCACCAACGGGCGAAACCTAAAGGAAGTTGTCTCTTTCATCCACCTACCTTCCTAGGCATCATTGTTCCAACTACAGGTGATGAGGATGTCAAAACCAGGATCGGAAAGACACCAAGACAGACCTTCATTAACCTGAAATCAGTGTGGAGATCTACTGCAATCAGCACAAAGCGTGAACAACACCACGATTCTCAACACTAATTCACTCAAGTCACTGCTTCTATGGGGTGGTTCACAGACGTGGCACGTCACGAAAAGCATTTCCAACAAACTACAGACATACATCACATCAACAACTGCACTCAGCTGCGCTCACTCCATACTGAAAGATGGAGATCAGATGGCCAGAATAATAAGAATAAGAAACAAGGAACTCTGGCTGGCTGGCTGGCTCGCTGGCTGGCAACGAACCAACCAGGAACCTATCACCCAACAAACATGCAGAATAAAGTGGAGATGGATTGGATTGGATTGGGCATACACTGAGAAGATCGGTTGGGGACATCACGCGCCAGGCCAGGCCAGTCCAGGCCTTCGAGTGGAACTCGAAGGGAAAACGACGAGCTGGGCGTCCGAGTTGAGGGTGACATGAAGATCGTGTGAGGAAGAAATGAGAGCTTCTGGGTAGTGGTGAAGTCAGGTTCAAAAGATTGCAGAGGACAGAGTGCAATGGGGATATGCTGCTGAAGACGTATGTTCCAGCAGGAACCCAAGGGAAAACTAATCATAAGCTAAATGTATAAAAGGAATATCAACTAATCTATGAAATTCGACAGTTTATTCACTGCATACAACCTATGCGTGTTGCCCATTTTCTTTCTCTCACTGCCGACATTGCTTTCACACATATGTAAATTGTTTTTGATAGCCTCTTCAATCGATATAAATTGGGAGATCATGCCGGATTGTCTTATGTATTTTCACTTACAACAACTTCAGCCATTCAACTAAATCTTATTGAACACTAATGAATAGTGTAATGAAGTCATGCAGGAAGTAGGCTTTCTGTATATTTTTATAAACTAATAAATTCATGCGTATTTCTTTTTGTGAATAGCTTCGGTTGCTAACTACTTTCCTAGATTAAAATGTACATAAAATTGTTCTTCATTCTTGCTAGTCTATTGGTAACTCACTGTTCAAAACAGGCGATATGTTGATGAATATAGCTTTATTTCCTTCTGTGCTGAATCGTGAAACCGGTTGTAGTCTATATACTTGTTTACCTGTTTACTTATAATTTTGAAAAAGGCATTGGGAAGGGAATAGTGTATGATGATAAATATTATCAATTTCTAATTTAAACTTTACGGAATTCTTCATTGTTTTTTTTATTTATTTGTCCTTTGGTTTTCTAGTGGGACATACGGCTTAAGTAGCATGTCTCCATTTCAATCCGTTCTCTGCAGTCTTTTCAACCTCGCTCCACCACTGCCCGTAAATTTTCATTTCTTCCTCACATGATATCCTCCATATTACCCTCACCTCGGACGCCCAACTCGTCGTTTCCCATGCAAGTTCCACTCGAGTGCCTGATGCATGATGTCCCCAATCGGTCTTCTCAGTGTATGCCCAATCCAATCCATCTCCACTTTATTCTGCATGTTTGTTGGGTGATAGGTTCCTGGTTGGTTCGTTGCCAACCAGCCAGCCAGCCAGAGTTCCTTGTTTCTTATTCTTATTATTCTGGCCATCTGATTTCCATCTTTCAGTATGGAGTGAGGGTAGGTGGCAGTTGTTGATGTGATGAATGTCTGTAGTTTGTTGGAAATGCTTTTTTTCACCCCATAGAAGCAGTGACTTGAGTGAATTAGTGTTGAGAATCGTGATGTTGTTCACGCTTTATGCTGAGTGATCAGTGACAGTAGGCGGCAAACTTGTCCTACTCCTGTCTTCACTTCGATTCAAAGGCGTCACTGAGGTTTTCATTGTGAATCATGTGGCGTCTTCATATAGCTGTTGAATGAAGTTGTACTGGATGAGTTTTTTTGCAGACCGATAATCTACATATAAACCATACAATCAATTTACTACATTGGATGTACATAATTTACCGCTGTGATAAAAAGGAAGTTGTCCAGACATTCTTATTTTACTGTTAATGTTATCCTAGTTCATTTTGCACCTCTCGATTCATGATGTTTATTGCATGATCTGCTGTGGAAATAAAAACAAAACAACAAAGAAAATAGTGGATAGTATTTGTTTATTTCATCTGATAATAATGTGAGTACAGATGACAACTGCAACATCATCATTATCATCAAATATGGTAGGAATGAAGTCAATTCATTAAAGGGAAAAGAAATAAAATGCCCGAAATCATCAGCATATATTCACAAGCAGTAAATGAATAGGCAGTGAAACCAATTGATGAAGAGCTGAGGTAGACATTTGAAATGTCAAAGTGAACAGTCACCTTTCTGAAAGTACTATATATATATATATATATCTTTGTACTTGTATACTCTCCAAATGAACATTGATAAATCAAAGTCAATTAAATAAATAAGAAACCGTAATGAATACAAACAGGATAAAAATGAACTAAGAAAATCGATCAGAACAACACCATTTACAAGGAGAGTAGTAGTAGTAGTACAACTATGCATACAACAGTAAAATAAATTGATAAATTTATATAACATATTAAGCAATGCAGTAAAACTGATTAAAGGTCAATGTTAATTCAGCAGTCATGAGAACTACACACCTAAAAGGAAAACAGATAATTTTTATTACAGATTACAGAATGGATACATAAATTAACCGGTTCATAAAATTTGTTCCTGTGCTTCAGTGTTATTATTACTATTATTATTATCACTATTATTATCGCCATTGCTATTTTGATGCCTAGATAAGTTTGCGTTGAAAGGATATAATCGTGAAGAACAGTGAATATAAAGTTATTAATACTACTGTTTGAAATATTACAGTGAATTCAATGTTCCTATTAGTAATTCTTTTTTGTTCATTCATTCATTCATTCAAAGTTGATGTGGTACATCCATCGGCTGCCAACTGGAAACATCTGATTTGAATAAGACTTTTTGAGGCAAAAGGTTAAATCTATGTGAAAGGGAAAAAAGAGATGAAGTAACACTATTAGCTGTTCAGTCATTTAAGCTGCTGACTGTTTTGTATTCTTAATTACAGTATCAAAGTAAATTAGAGATGTTAGGTAATACAGTGTTAGAGATTTGAACCCTAAGTCTCAATGGGAACATCATCAGCAGGTAGATTACAAAAATGAATTATCATTATTTGGCCCTTCGGTTCCTAGTGGAACATAGGGAGGGCTTCAGTAGCACGTCTCCAGTTCACTCTGTTCTCTGCAGTCTTTTGAACCTAGCTCAACGACAGCCCACAACCTTTCATTTCTTCCTCACGCTATCTCCTCCATGCCATTCTGAGCTGGGACGCCCAACTCGTCATTTCCTATCTGGGTTCCACTCGAAGGCCTGGCCTTGTGCGTGATGTCTCCGAATGGTCTTGTCAGTGCATGCCCGTTCCATCTCCACTTTCTTCTGCATATTTGTTGGGCAATAGCTTCTTGGTTGGTTCACTCCCAGAGTTCCTTGTTTCTTATTCTTATTATTCTGGCCATCTGATCTCCATCTTCAGTATCGAGTGAGCGTAGGTGGCAGTTGTTGATGTGATGAATGTCTGTAGTTTGTTGGAAATGCCTTTCGTAACGCGCCAAGTTTCTAAACCAGCGCATAGAAGCACTGACTTGACTGAAATTAGTGTTGAAAATCCAGATTTTGTTTATACTGAGTGCAGTAGATCTCCACACTGATTTCAGGTTAATGAAAGCCTGTCTTGCTGTCTTTTGGATCTTGACTTTGACATCGTCATCTGTGCCTGTGCCGCCTGTAATTGGAACGATGCTGCCTAGGTAGGTAGGTGCCAGTCAGCCAGCCAGAGTTCCTTGTTTCTTATTCTTATTATTCTGGCCATCTGATCTCCATCTTCAGTATCGAGTGAGCGTAGGTGGCAACTGTTTATGTGATGAATGTCTGTAGTTTGTTGGAAATGCCTTTCGTAACGCGCCAGGTCTTTGAACCATATATCAGCACTGACTCGACTGGTTTGGCGTTGAAAATCCGAGTGTTGTTCTTTATGCTGAGTGCAGAAGATCTCCACACTGATTTCAGGTTAATGAACGCCTGTCTTGCTATCTTTCCGATCCTGGTTTTGACATCCTCGTCTTCGTTTGTGCCACCTGTAGTTGAAACGATGCTGCCTTGCCTAGGTAGGTGAAAGAGGCTACTTCTTTTAAGTTTCTCCCGTTGATGGTGATTGGAGCTTGTTGTTGTTGTTGGTGGTGTTGGTTGGGTATCTTCATCACCTCCATCTTCTCTACGTTCACTTGAAGTCCCGTCTTCGCTGCTCTGTCTCTTCTCTCGACTTGTTAGTTTTTGCTTGTAGATCTTCAAGTTTGTGTGACATTAAACACAAGTCATCGGCGAAATCCAAATCTTCTAGAATCTTACAACAATGAATATTCAGGCAATATCGAAGCATCCGCATAAAGAGCGCATAGAGCAACAGAATTCCAGCGACTATAGCACTGTGGAATTACAAGTATCAATAAATAATAAATATAAAATAGGCGTTATGTATGTCTATTGTCGGATGATGATAAAGGATTTCTCATGATTTACGACATTCATAACTTAGGTGTGTGTGTGTGTGTGCGTCCAGGACTGTCTTCATACATTTTTAGCTGACAAAGTCGACGTCAGGAATGATCATTTACAATGTACGTAAGATCAGTGTAAAGGCGTTTAAGTGAGCTTGTACATCAAAGGTAGATACGGTTAGGAAATAGCTCTAGAATAAAGACTACCTCTCCTAATTGAAAATTCAGTGGCATAAATAATCATCGAAATATTTTCTATACCTTCCGCTATGATTCCATAGAATATTTCCATTCTGATGATAAGTAGTTAGTTTGTATTTTGTTTTTAAACTAAACGGGACTATTTAAACTAGATGTACGTCTTATTTCTGAAAAATTCATCAAGAAGGACAAATAGACATTCTGTTGGTCAATGCTTCATGTGTAAGCTATAGACTGGTCATTCATCCTTCACTTAGGTTGAGAGTCGTACGATTGATATTTAATTAGTTAACCATTGGTAAAAGTGGAATGAAACATTTTTCGTAACCGAATCTGGAGGTAATTAAACGTACAAAACAACCGCATAAATTGGGTTTTCTTTTCTACAAATCTTCACCTTTTCTGAATTTGTAAATTTTGTATTCCCAGTATCACTTTCTTCCATAGATCTCAATAACTTGTGAAGTAGTATCCAAGTCATCGCTTATTAACTATCAAATACGTTAAAACATTAGTATTTTACAATTAATCCACGAGTATCGGGTTGCATACTACCACAATCAATTCGTAAAGACAACCCAGTTGACGCATGAAGATACATTACAGAACAGAAATAATTCGAAAACGATTAACAATCTATACTGATGAATGAATACAACTCGAGTTTTTTTTTCCTCCTGTGTTCATACATCCTCATTATACTTGATGTCTAAGTGTATCTGTCTATAATGTAGAAAACTTTCAATTGTATTAGGAATCATCAACCAATCGATTCCAAATTGATTACTTTTCTCTTTTTTTCTCTTTATAATTATCTCTACATGAGATATGGGTGATAAAAGGCTTTTATTTTCATGAATAAATTACATATTACCTAATAATTAGTCAAAGTATAATAAAGATGCTATGCTGATCTGAATGCAGTCACAGTATAACAGTTATAAATGCATAAATGAATTAACTTACCTATTTAATAAGAGCCAGATTACTGAACCCATTGTATTCCATAAGACAATAGCACTCACATAAATGAATATACAGAATAAGAAACGACCTAAATAATCACGGGCTGTAGACAACCATTTCTCCGATTGTATTACAACTTCAGCAAAATACAATGAGGCATTATAACTGCGAAAATAATAAAAAAAAGTTAATAAGACAATTATGATAACAAAACGGAGAGAAACGTTAAATCAGGATAAAAAGTTTTACTCAGATGGACAGAATAATAAGAATAAGAAACAAGGAACTCTGGCTGGCTGGCTGGCTGGCAACGAACCAACCAACAACCTATCACTCAACAAATATACAGAAGGAAGTGGAGATGGAACGGGCATGCACTGACAAGACCATTCGGGGACACCACACGCCAGGCCAGGCCTTCGAGTGGAACCCAGATAGGAAATGACGAGTTGGGCGTCCCAGCTCAGAATGACATGGAGGAGATAGCGTGAGGAAGAAATGAAAGGTTGTGGGCTGTCGTTGAGCTAGGTTCAAAAGACTGCAGAGAACAGAGTGAACTGGAGACGTGCTACTGAAGCCCTCCCTATGTTCCACTAGGAACCGAAGGGCCAAATAATAATAATGTATTTCGTTGCATTAAGTGCTGCAAATCATAACAGTTTCATACATACAATTGATTCAATGATGATGATTGATGAAAAGTAAATGGAATTTCTATCCTGATGGTAATTATGTAAAGTATAAAACTATTGATATCATAACTTGTCTTATTAGGAGTGGTTATCATGACTAAGAGACGATCGAAGTGATTAACCCTAGCTAGGTTCGAGTCTCAGTTGGGACAACATCGCTCACTGGGAGGCATGAACATCCGGCTGATGTGTCCCGGATAGGACGAAACACGTGCTGGATTTCACTGCTGACCACTATCCATGATCCATATAAAATTACTGACCTTGAAAATCACTAGAATACCAACATTATTGATTAAACTGTTCAAGAAACGCTAAGTGATCACGATGTGTTTTTAGTTTTTATCAAATGTATGTGTGTGTGTGCACACTTAATCAACTCGAAATATCTTGGCATGCTTATCGCGTATTGAGTTAGCATTGTTTTGATGTTTTCATTTGTGCAAACATCATTTGAAGCACTATGTACGACCTCTATCTTTATACAAATAGATCGGTGAATGGTGACCCCTATTGATTATTAATGACAAGTCATGGCATAAAGTATGAATATTTGTTTGAATCTTCTACAGTAATAATGCATCAAGCCTCATAGTATGCTTCTGGAACTTAAGAATTTTCATTAACACGAATCCAAATAATCTAGAAATACTAATTCATCTTTTCAGAATTGGCCTAACCTGTCCAACCCTAAATATGCAAATATTATTTTGGATTTCTGATGGAAGGGGAAGAACAACTACTAAGATGATAGAGCAATGGAAAAGGATATATTAACAAACATGATAAAAATATAATGGGTTAAAGTAAATCGAAAATCATGAGGATATATATAATGTTTTAGAATAATATGTAGGACAGTAAGATGTTACCTCCAATTGTATTTATTTATTCACCTGTACTTGCAGTAGCATGTATGTTGGAAGAACGGAGAGAGTCCTTACTAAACAAATCCCTGAATATGTACTGAAAAGTCTGTCATTGAGAGGTGGAAGGCTACTAACCAACGCTATTGGCAAGCACATACTCGATACAGGTCATGCCGTTGACTCAAACGTAGCTTTTAAGGTAATCAATAGACAAAGAAATAGTAGATTACTACGTTATGCAGAAGGAACAGCGATCCGTCGACTGAAACCAGATTTATGTGTACAAAAGGAGTTTTTGGTTCAGCTTGCATTGCCTTGGTGAGTTCTTTTCCCACAGTTGTATTTACTATTTTATGCTCTCATGTTATTATTCTACATATTATTCTCAAACATTATTCATATTTCCATCATTTTCGATTTACTTTAACCCAGTATATTTTTATCATGTTTGTTAGCAATATCCTTTTTCATTCGTTTACCACTAACTCATATAATTTACATACTATCTTTGTTTTTCTCCCCCTTCCATCAGATTTTCCCCCACCTTGAGCTGTAATCACATTCCTGTACTACTATCATGTATTTTGCTTTGTGTTTACTGATCGATTTTACCGCCTGACTTATTGTGACTTCGCTAGCTGAACATTTAAGCGATATTCTATGAAATATATAGTGAAAACAAACACAACTGACCTTCTTGTCACTACACTACCTACTGGCCGACGTTCACTAGCCTTAAAGCAAGCAAACCTGACGCAGGCTCTTCGCTTACCTTGCATATGTAAAAATCTCATACAACGTAGTGGGTTTACGTCGGCTTCGCATACTCCTTCAAAGACTCTAAGGATGGAAACGAGGCGAGACAGAAATGCTCTATAAAGATTGATTCGTTTTCGGTTGGAACACTTCGGACGGTATCGTCGCTCATCATGAAAATAAAGCAAGCCTTCCTCATTTTGCTCTGTTTTATAGTACTTTTTGACTTCGTGCAACCAATCATATTGGATGTTTCCTCCTCCATTTTGATTGGACAATAAGTGACACAGGGGGTGAAGGGGAAGGGTGGAAAATAACACTTACAGAACTAAATGTATTTGCTTGTTGCCTGTATTGGTTGTTTAGATGGTGAACTTAATCATTCATCTATGTTCCCATATACATACATTGATGTCTAAGTTTAAAGGATGTATTTGGTGTTGTTTACAACTGAAAGATATCAAATGGCTTGTTTTGGACACTGATGGCTTACTGTACAAAGTTTTAAATTTAATGTGTATTTGGAAGATTTAGAGTACACGAAGTAAATTTGATTCATCCCACAATACTTGTTGTTCTTACTTTTCAAAGATTAGAGTAATAACACAGTTACATCTTAAAACTGATATACGAGAATTCTAAGCCTCATTAACAGAAGTAGTATCAAAGTCTTGATTTCGCTGCTTTAGTTTTTCTGATTACAGGTGATGCCTACTGATGAAATAAATAGCTGGCTTGTGGCAGAATTCAAACCAACAGCCTCCAAGTTACTACTATGCACCTCTTGAGACTGACTTTCATTGGCATTTGGACAAAAAGAAGTGACTGGGTAGCTGGTGGAATGATGATGAATGAACAGTTACACACCATGCTTTCAGATGAAATCCTGGTAGAACCCTTGGTGCTTCAAGTGAAGTTAAGACTTGATCAGTAGCTCCATTTCTTAGGTCAGTTTACAGGGCACCGATCATATAACCGGAAGACCGATTATGTGAATCCAGCTGTCGTATTTTTGATTTAATTAAAAAGCGTCTGAACTAAAAATCAACTGAACAATGAAAGCTAACCAATTGTCTTCGAAGTCATGAATAAATATGGTTCAAGCGTAAGAGATTGTCTGAATGATGCAGACATTTATTATCATTTTGACTATGTGAGATAGCCGTGGTTTGGCAGACTAGTACTGAGAGTGGGTGATATTTATTAGTAGTAATTCTTCACAAGTACTCAAGTTATGGTTGACAACCAATTGAAAATCTATCACTTAGTTAACTAGGTATAATTTGGATCTATATTCATACAACGAAGAACACATTGTTCTATACTTTTGAGTGGTTTTACTTAAAGTTAGTAACTGCCACCAACCAAAACACGAAGAAGAAGACACACTTCTAAGCACTCACTCCTTAAATAGTCTTGGAACAATAGGTTTCAATGGACAGTAGGGTATATCGATTCTCCGAGCTTCAGCCAGTTCAATATCACGTTCGGATTGTGTCATACGACAGTGTTTAGGTACAACAGCATCTGCAGCGGAATATTCACCATTTATCGAAGGGGAAGATGATGACTTTGATGGTGTGGAATAATCAGAACTCCAGTCAGAAGTTGATTTTCTCTGTTGTTCTTTATTTATCATATGAATAGGAAGATTTAATTTGGCTAACGCTGAATTACGATTTAATTGGGCTAACATCTTGGTGCGTAAGTGTTGAGCAGCAGCCTATGAAAGAAAACAAGTGAAGAGTGAATACAAGAATGGATGTTTAATATTGTGATAAAGAATAATTCCACTAATAATTACCAGTTATACTTGTTAAACAGCTAAGTAGTATGACATTGCTCATAATCATATCAAGGCAATCACATACAACTTTCTGGCTTTCTATTTTTTATACTTCCACTGCTTTTCATCCCCTCTTCATGAAACTAACAGTAAGATTTTCCACATATCTGGACTTGGTGTTGCATCATTTCCACCACATGTTTCAGATGTCCATACGGTAAATAAAGTTTCGCTTATCCAACTCTCTCCCCATTCATTCAACTACTTTTCTGGAGATGTTACGCAATGGGCTGCCTATTGTGTAATTGTGTGTGACAGCATATATGGATATGACTGAGCTCTTCTCTACATTTTTCATTTTGTTAGAATCTACCACTCTACATTTATCTAGGTTTCAATGTTCTGCTGCCCTAATTGATCCCAGCAGGCGAGTTTGACCGATACACTTGACCTCATAGTCATCACATGGTATTTAGTCAACCGAACGCCTTTGGTTGACACATTCGATGGGATTCTTTGACCGAAACAATTTGTCTCAAAGAGGGTTTGTAGGTCTCAACACCACTGTAATCGCGGCCTGTTTAAGAATCCTACGCAAGTCTTCTGACTTCCCTCCTTTGAGCAGTAAAATTATGTAGGTTTTAAAATCCTTCTCCGTGATCTCATTGTTAACACTTCCTCTGTGTGTATGTGTATGTGTGGTTGTTTTATTCAAAGTATTTTTACTACTACTCCTTACATGTTTCCGGATAAGCTAAGAGGAGTGGTTGTTCAGTAGTAATACATACTTTATATGTTTCATTTCTCCATACAGATTTTCTGCCTTGTTAACCAGTCTCCGTGCCCTATTATTCAGACATTTGATCATACGTTTCTTATGTGATATCGGATGGGATGGCCTGAAGCCTAATTAGGTATTCGAAGGTAAAGGCTTTTTTTAGACATTAGTCTCTGTCTTACCTTCACGTCAACCAGCATATATCGGAATGAAGGTTTTTGAGCATCGAAGGAGAAAGAAGATGGTGGATATGAAGGAAAATTTTCCTCTCCAATGAACTCATTTGCTTAGCTGTACTTTCACGGACATGCATTAGAAAGGACTGAACATTTTAGAGTAATTTCTGCTGAGAGGTCAAAATACATTGCACAAAGAAGGTAAGTTACATGATACACATAGGGATTCGGAATCTCATGTACTAGTGTAGTGGGCGTTGCTGATAACAATGGATATCAGTAGTATACATTGAGAGAGTGGCAGAAATCATAGGGAGTTACCAGTAATCGGTAAGGATTCCACCGAGAAACACCCAAGGGACAAGTCAGGTATGTAAAGAGCAAATCAAGAAAGAAGAAGAAGAAGAGGAAATGAAGCATATTTTGCAAATGACGGTTTTAGTGCAAGGTGTACCACTGTGACCACTGTCCTACATTCCTTGCTTCGTACCGTTCTATTGATTCTTTCACTAGTGTTTACCATTTCAAACTAACTGTTTTTTAAACTGTTGTCGGCATCTCCTGTTAAAAGAGCGGTGCAATCGTTTGAGAGATCTGCAGGAAAATGAAAATGGCGTATTAATACACCCTAACAAAGGTGCTAGGATGGTGCTCCTGAATAAATCGGATTACATATATGTAAACTTAAACTGATTCCACCTTAAGAAAACAAATCTTCAAAATACACAGTTCAGGAACACCTAACCGAAGCAACGCAGCTACATGTCGTCTAGTATGATATTGAAACGTTTGCCTACTAAAAACCTAGCTAAGAGACCAGCTCACTTTAAACATAATCTCCTGTATTTATAGTTCAGTAATTCCTGAATCTGATTTTCACTAGTTTGGTCTAAATGACTAAATAATAGTTGTCACCATAACTAACATTACAGGTGGGGACACATCATACTTCAATGCGCAAGCACGCGCTTTGTTATTCAATTTATATTTATTTGTTATTGATCGACTTACTATGGGCTAACAATAAACTGAGTAACATAAAGTTCATTCTATAAGTCATCATTATTATTAGTATTATTTTTTTTTCTCTTGGGTTCCTACTGGAACATAGGGCATCAGTAGCACGCCTCCATTTCACTCTCTTCTCTGCAGTCGTTTCAACCTGACTCCACCACTGCTCACAAGCTTTCATTTCTTCCTCACACGATCTCCTTCATGTCACCCTCACCTCGGACGCCCAGCTCGTCGTTTTCCCTTCGGGTTCCACTCGACGGCCTGGGGCGTGATGTCCCCAATCGCTCTTCTCAGTGTATGTCCGATCGACCTCCACTTTATTCTGCATATTTGTTGGGTTATAGCTTCTCGGTTGGTTCACTCTCAGAGTTCCTTGTTTCTTATTCTTACCATTCTGGCCATCTGATTTCCATCTTCAGTATCGAGTGAGCGTAGCTGAGTGCAGCTGTTGATGAATGTCTGTAGTTTGTTGGAAATGCTTTTCGTGACGCGCCAAGTTTCTGAACCATGTATCAGCACTAACTTGACACTGGTGTTGAAAATGCGGATCTTATTCACGCTTTGTGCTGAGTGCTGTAGATTTCCACACTGACTTCAGGTTGATGAGGGCCTTTCTTGGTGCCTTTCCGATCCTGGTTTTGACATCCTCATCACCTGTAGTTGGAACAATGATGCCTAGGAAGGTAGGTGGGTGAAAGAGACAACTTCCTTTAGATTTCCACCGTTGATGGTGATTGTTGCTTGTTGTTGATGCTGTTGTTGTTGTTGTTGGTTGGTTATCTTCATCACCTTCGTCTTCTCTACATTCACTTGAATTCCCGTTTTCGCTGCCTCGCCTCTTCTCTCAACTTGTTGGTTTTTGCCATTGGATCTTCGAGTTTGTGCCACAACACATTAGACATAAATCATCATTAGCGAAATCCAAATCTTCTAGGGTCTTTCCATCGGTCAAACAGCGTATGCCCCTCTTCTCTCTCCTCACGGTTTACTGCATGATCCAGTCCACTACAATCAAGAAGATGATCTGAGATGGTAGGCGGCAACCTTGTTTTACTCCTGTCCTCTGTCTTCACTTCAAAGGCATCACTGAGCCTCCCATTGTGAGTTACTTGGCATGTGGCGTCGTTATATAGCTGTTAAATGAGGTTGATATGTGGCACTCCGTAGTGTTGAAGCAACTGCCAAATTACTCCTCGGTTGATACTGTCGAAGGCCTTTCCACAGTCGGTAAAGTTGAGGCAGAGAGTTGACTGCCATTCTATACTCTGTTCTATCATGGTGCGTAGTGTTGCATTGTAGTTTGATCCGCACATGATTTTCATAGGTCATCAGTTCATTTGAATATAACTATAGTCAAGCGAATCATACGCAAAGTCATTACAACAGATATTAAAAGTAATCTCTTAAAGTATGCTGAAAATATGAAAATCAGAGAAAGACAGACTATGGCAAACAAGTAAATCGTTAGCAGATTTTCAGGGATGATAAATAAAAATTGTCTTAAGTGTAAAACTTGGGCACTATGGGAGAATTTAATTCCATACTCGATTCGTTTATTCGGTTTATAACACACAGTGATACAGTATTATTTACCTTATCACGAGACTTCGAGCATAAAGTATTATCCCACATAATCATAATCATGTAATCAAACAGCTTTCGACATCTGATTTTCACAGTCCTATCACCTCATATTCTTTGTTTTTATTAGTAGCGAAATCTCTGGTATTAGTGTTGCCTCATTCCTACTACTCATGTGTGGGTGGGTGTTGATCGATCAACAAAGATTCAGGATTATCTCTCTCCAACTAATTACATTTTACTTAAGCACAATGGTTTTTCATCTCACCCTACAGCGTGGTGATTATTGATCGCATTGGGGTCTGTCCCTCTATATTCAGTGGAATTCCTACATTCCACTAATCCAACTGACCACGACTGGCTACTTTCACCTATGTGATTGACCTCACAGTCATTACATGGGATTTGATAGATCAGATTATTCTGTTTAATCGGTTCCATTTGATCCTTAAACCAGATGACAAAGCTTATCTCACAGTGAGTTTGTTGATTTGAATACGACCCTAATTCCAGCTCTGTTGAGGATCCTACATAGAGTTTCTGAATTTCCTTCATTAGAGGGTAACACAATGGATGCTTTGAACTCCTCTCTACTTGTGTTGTCGCCACAATTTATTTTCGTATTACTGTTATTGTTTCGTTTGTTATGTGTTAGTACAATAGTAGAGGATAATTATTGATTAGTAGTGCTTCTTTTATGTGTTATAATTGCTAATTTAAGTTTTTTGGATTAACTGTTGAGTTTTCTAGCTGTGTTATTTAAACATCTGAGTGTAACTGCTCCTTAACTTATGTGGGAGGAGATGACCTGAAGTTTAGATACCTATTCAGATGTGTTGGTTACGTGTAGACGTTAGTATCTAAACTACGGTTTATTCTTCGTTTGACTTTGTAATCCAACATATCTGATTCTCCTTCTTCACTTTTTAAGTGGTAAGTGAACTGAATTGCACCTACTACTGTCACGTTGAAGTTAAGTCTTTTTTCAAGTACTTTCGTTTCAGCTCAGCTTAAGGCGAACTAGTCTAGTTGAGATGAGCCTTCAGTCAAAGCAATCTCTGGTAGTTCGACTGATAGGTCAATAGACACCTTTTGGAGTAATTACTGATGAATTCACTTGGTATGATGATGAAATATCCAAGAAGAAACGTGAGCGCTCGGAGGACACCGCACACTTATTCTCCTCATTTGGAGCTACAAATTTCCGTATTTTGAATATTCTAATTAGGCATGTTGATTCTGATTCTTTTCAATATTATATGAACTGAATGTCTATGAAAATCACCATTATTTACCAGCATAAATTTGCATCTTCATTCTACTAAGTAATTCACTAGGACTTCAGGATATCCCTTGTTTTCAGTGGTTCTAAAAAAAATGAATTCTCAAACCATTCACCTTGAAGCTTAGATCGTTATAAAAAACTGTGAATATATTTTATAATTACTGTTTTAATTAGTAGTAATGAAAATTGTATGCAGTATGTTAGCTTACTTTATAGGCTAGTAGTAAACGACACTGTTCTTGTTCAATATCACTTAGCCAAAGTGTCCATTGATGCAGTAGAAATTGTGTTTCTCTTAAACGACGACTTACTTCTGATTCTAAACTTTTCAATTCATACTGATTTAAACGTTGAGCTGAACGTGTTACATGAACATTTACAAGACGAGCGTGTAAATGCACTGGAAGAACCTAATGGATTGAAGAGGAAAAGATGAAACACTTCAAAAATGCACTAGAAGCTTTATGAGATGATATAAACTTATCAAAAGGCTAACCGATTGACTATCAGTTAACAGACTAGTTTTTTTCTCAATATCCCACCAAAAATAGAAAAACTCATCCAGAATATGACCGTGTTATTTTCCCTGCTGTCCACATTAATGGATCAAATTGATTAGAGACTATTGGCTTATAATCATCATCATTATATTCCCCTTTGATGTTATTCAATTGTTGGAAGTTAGCACTGAAATCCATAACACGTATTTCATCTTACTTCATACTCGTCAGCTGACTTCATTTCTTGATAACCTTAGTCTACCATATTATAATTCGACATAGCCTTTCATAAGTGAGTTTGAAGTATGATATTCGATTTTGTCTGTCCTACCTTAAATCATGAATCAGTTTGTCAATGGAAGTAGTGATCTTCAGGATACACTGACAGATTTAATCTGTATACGACTGACAACTAACTTAGACTAGGAAATCCATCACGATGGCTCAAGGTAGCTCAAAATATCATGACCTTCGATAACTTTAGTACAAAGCTTACGTATATCTCAAAGTCACTTATCTACTTGTTTTAATCAATATACTTTATGCACTTTGTCATATGGATAAAGACAGGCTAAAAAATTAGCCCCTTAGAAATCATATTCTAGTGGGATTTAAGCATCTGAACCGCCTTAATCCTCAGCAAGAAGACCAGTGTTATGCAACTAACGAGTCTAAAACAAAAGGAAATGAATCTTATATCAGAGATCTCCGTAGAAAATCAGTTTTGCCGAAGCAGGCTGACCCACTCTATCTTTAAATATGATTCACAGTCAACTTTAAGCCCTTGTGATAAAAATCACTTTCATTCAAGGTACCCAGTTAGGCTATTTGAATATCTGGACGAAAGACAAGTTCATTAACTTTCGAATACATCACCAACTGAGTGTTATTAACAGTGATTATTGATAAACTTTCTTAGTGATGATCATCTTGATAAGTAAATCGAATGCTTCACGGAATGCAAGTTATTCAACTCTTTTATTGATGAATATCTTGTTCCATTCATCCATTTACCACTGCTATATCAACTATTTACATATTCTTGTGACCAGAACTTGTTGTTCTTACAAAATACCCTTTCCTATTTACACTTTCTCTTGTTTTGCTAGTCATTTTATGTTTTTTCCTAGTGTAACTCCACTATCAAAGAATGTAAGCATTCCGCTAGTAAATTTATCCCTTCCATTGAAAAATTGAAAAAACAGGTTAGTTTTTTCAAATATATAATTCAGTTTGGAGGTTTGTGGGGATTTGTTGATTCCAAAAAGGTATCCATCATGGAGTGAAATGAGTTCGAGAACCACTGAAAAGCTGGGAGCACTACACAGTTATTTCGTTCTAGAATAGGAATCCCCAGCGACGCACACATACACTCCCATCAGGCAACGAACCCACGACCTTCAGATTTCGTAGAGAACAAACTGCTATTGAAGTCAGCAAATCCCTTGGAACATCTAGTTAGAGTTACTGTCCAGTACTCATCACTGATTTGCTTAAAGATAAGATTTCCCCAGGTCCTAATGAAAACTCATGACCGGTGAGACAAACCAAGTCAGAAGTGAGAAGAAATACTCACAGGGGGTATGGGATGGAGGTTGCGCTATATCGTGAACTTACAGAAGCAAGGAAATGTGATCCACTGAATTTCAAGTCAGTACTCAAAACAGAACCTGCCTTCTGTCCCTAGAGGCGTTATGGGTGCACATTGCTAAAGCATAACATTCCGGGATCAAGCAGTAGTCCAGTCCTATTGAGTATTCAGTGGTTTCCAGAACGACGGCAATTATTTTAGCTGTCATGTTATTGATAAAGTTGTAAAGCTTGAGCACAGTGGTAGAATGTAATTTCCTTTAAGATTTGTTTATCCGATTTATAGTATTATTCATTTGATGACGTTTCGAGCATAAATTATCATTGCTCATAACTATATCAGTCTAATCACACAACTTCTGATTTTTATAGTCCTATCACCTCATATGATTTGCTTCTATTGGTAGTAAAATCTTCCATATCTCTGGTATAGGTGTTGCCTCATTCCTATTAAATGTGTTGTATGTTGATTCGATGAACAAAGATTCAGTAATCAGTAATTAAACAACCCAGCTCAGAGAACACAATGCAACCAAGATCAGTAATCAATCTCTCTCTCTCGCTCGCTCGCCCTCCACCTAACTGTATTGGATTTGAGTACAGCGGCTTTATCCCACCCTATTGTGTGGTTGTGTGTTAATCCATGCGTTGCAACAGCCGAGTTTTTTTCTGGATTGTTGATCTTATTCGGATCTGTTATTCTATATTTGGCTAAATTCCTATGTTCCACTAATCCAACTGACCACGACTGGCTACTTTCACCTATGTGATTGACCTCACAGTCATTACATGCGATTCGATAGATCAGATTATTCTGTTTAATCGGTTCCATTTGATCCCTAAACCAGATGACAAAGCTTGTCTCACAGTGAGTTTGTTGATTTGAATACCACCCTAATTCCATCTCTGTTGAGGATCCTACATAAAGTTTCTGAATTTCCTTCATTAGAGGGTAACAAAATGGATGTTATGAACCCCTTTTTACTTGTGTTGTCGTTATTATTCTTACTCGTGTTACTGTCATTATTTCGTTTCTTGTGTGTTTGTACGAATTTCTCAATAAACTGTGGAAGATAGTCATTAATTGTTAACTGTTCTCTTTTGTTTAAATCCTTTTAAGTTCATACGATGACTGGTGAGTTTTTTAACTCTATCATTTAGACATTTGACGAAACCGGCCTTAACTGACATTGGATGAAATGATCTGAAGTCTGGATACCTGTTATAATGTGTCGCTCTCCCCTAGGCAGTAACATCCAAACCACCATCTGTACTTCGTTTTATTCTGCAATCCAACATAGGTGATTCTTCTTGTCCATTTTCTATCCTCGTAAGTGAATTGAACTGAGTCCACTACTGAGTTTATGTTTGAGGAAACTGTCGTTATTTTTCGATTTCATCACAGTAAATGTGTCATACACATATCGCCACCAGATTGTTGGAGCAAGATTAAACGTTTACAAAGTCATATATTCCCAACTGTCCAAAAATATGTCTGCTACGATTAGGGTTATTGGTGATCCCATTGCTACTCCTTCTGTTTGTCTGTATATTTTGTCCTCAAACTTGAAGATCGTCGAGGTCAGGGGTAACTTTACGCCAAATATGATCTCATTAACCGATGCATTGCATCCGTGAATAAGTTCTGAATTGGTATTTAGTTGACATTTAACTGTTTCAGTGCCTTACTGATTAGTATTTTAGTATAAAGACTTGTTAATTCGAAACAAAACATTTTTTCATCCTGTTCCACAAATAGGAGAAGATAAGAAATGGGTCTCGATGGACACATGGAAGCTGATAGAGCAGGGAAAGGAGAATGGTGAAGCAGATGATAAACCAGTGCAAGGATGTACGACGTATAAAACACTAGACAAAAAAGTGAAGAAGAGTGCGTGCAAAGACAAAACAAACTTCCACGACACACTGGCAAGTGAAGCAGAACAGTCTGCAAGCTGGTAGGAGAGACTTGACAACATTGTATCAAATAACCAGGTTACCATCTGCGACGGAAAAGATCAACACACATGAAACCAATAAAAGATGATGGTGGAAACTTAATTACCAAAAATGAGAAACAAAGGAAACGATGTGCTGACCACTTCAAAATGTTCTTGAATCCACCACCATCTGCAACTCGTCCAGAAATACCACCTGCAGCCCAGTCACAGAACTACAAGTGAACATAAATCCTCCAACAAAAGTCGAAGTGCTGAGAGCCAAAAAACTACTGAAATGAGGGAAAGTGGCAGCACCAGATGGAATCCCGACAGAAGCACTGAGAACAGACGCAGAGACAACAGCGGACATACTCACACCACTCCATTATAGCAGAAGGTTTGGGAAGAGGGAAGGGAAGGTATCTGCCTATTGATTGGAAGAAGGGTTATCTTATCAAACTCCCGAAGAACGGCGATCTAAGTGTTTGCAAGAACTGGCGCGGAATCATGCTCCACTCCTGTCCACCCAATCCAAGCAAAATATTATCCCGCATCATCCTGGAGAGACTAAAGGATGCGTTGGATTGAAAACCACAACCAGAACAGGTTGGCCAGCTGGATTCAGGAAGTACTAATCATGTGCGGATCAAATTGCAACGCTACAATTCACATCATGATAGAACAGAGTACAGAATGCCAGTCAACTCTCTGCCTCAACTTCATCCACTTTGAAAAGGCCGACCTTCGACAGCGTCGATCGAGAAGTAATTTGGCAGTTGCTTCAACACTACGGTTTTAGTGACACAAACATTTATCAACCTCATTCAACAACTGTATGAAGACGCCACCTGCCAAGTAATTCACAATGGGAAGCTCAGTGATGCCTTTGAAGTGAAGACAGGAAGGAGTTAGACAAGCCTGTCTACTATCACTGATGATCTTCCTGATTGTGGTGGACTGGATCATGTAGTAAACCGTGGGGAGCGAGAAGAGGGGCATATGCTGTTTGACTGATGGAAAGATCCTAGAAGATTTGGATTTCGTCAATGACTTATGTCTAATGTCACACAAACTTGAAGATCTACAGGCGAAAACTAACAAGTTGACAGAAGACACATGGTGGCGAAGACGAAACTTCAAGTGAACATAGAGAAGACAGATGTGATGAAGATACCCAACCAACACCAACAACAAGCTATAATCACCACCAACGGGAGAAACTTGAAGGATGTAGCCTCCCACATCTTTCTAGGCAGCACTGTTTCAACTACAGGCGGCACAGAAGAAGACGAGGATGTCAAAGTCAGCCAGGATCGGAAACACAGCAAGACAGGTGTTCATTAACCTGAAATCAGTGTGGAGATCTTCCACACACAGCATGTGGAACAACATCCGGATTTTCAACACCAATTCAGTCAAGTCAGTGCTCCTGTATGGTTCAGAGACTTGGTGAGTTACGAAAAGCATTTCCAATAAACTACACACATTCATCAACAACTGCCACCTACGCTGGCTCGTTACTCAAGCTCAGATGGATTGCCAGAATATTAAGAATAAGCAGCAGCAAAGAACTCTGGCTGGCTGGCAGGCAACGATTCAACCAACAACCTATCCCCTAGCAAATATGCAGAAGGAAATGGAGATGGATTGGGCATACACAGAGGATGTCGACTGGGGACATCACGCGTCAGGTCAGGGCGTCGAGTGGAACCGCAGTGGGAAACGACGAGTTGGGCGTCCGAGGTGAGGGTGACATGGAGGAGATCGTGTGAGGAGGAAATGAGAGGTTGTGGGCTGTGTTTGGAGCCAGGTTCAGAAGATTGCAGAGAACAGAGTGAACTGGAGACGTGCTACTGAAGCCATATGCTCCATTAGGAACCCAAGGGACAAATAATAATAATGTACATACAGGTCATTATTCCTTAGTTTTAACTGGTAAGAGTTTACTAGTCTGGATTTTGAAAGGCTCCTCATAGGACACAATATTGATGCTTAGTTCTTTGATAGTTCTTATGTTGGGTTATTTCTGAAGTCAGATATGTGTCTAATGGTATAATTTGGTTTATGAAGCTTAACAATACCATACATTCCTTTGATTATTAGTTTTAGGTTTTAGAATGCCGGAACATAAGAATTTAGCCAAATATAGAATAACAGATCCGAATAAGATCAACAATCCAGAAAAAAACTCGGCTGTTGCAACGCATGGATTAACACACAACCACACAATAGGGTGGGATAAAGCCGCTGTACTCAAATCCAATACAGTTAGGTGGAGGGCGAGCGAGCGAGAGAGAGAGATTGATTACTGATCTTGGTTGCATTGTGTTCTCTGAGCTGGGTTGTTTAATTACTGATTACTGAATCTTTGTTCATCGAATCAACATACAACACATTTAATAGGAATGAGGCAACACCTATACCAGAGATATGGAAGATTTTACTACCAATAGAAGCAAATCATATGAGGTGATAGGACTATAAAAATCAGAAGTTGTGTGATTAGACTGATATAGTTATGAGCAATGATAATTTATGCTCGAAACGTCATCAAATAAATAATACTATATCACTGTGTGTTATAAATCAGATAAACAAATTTAATATGGAACTGTCACTCCATTGTTATCACATAGTATAATTATATACCATTGCTGTCTGAATGTGATGGTCTAAATTTTTAAACACTGTAGTAAATCTGATTAAAACATTCTGTATTAATCCTATTCGTTTTAACTTGTGTGCTGATGAAAAAAATTTATGGTGAATTTTTGTCTGTTTGCTTAACCTGAATTACTTGACTGATCATTGGTTGTGTATAACAATTAGTCTCTCCTTTCTTTTGTTAAACACTATTAAAGACTTAGCATAATTTAGAAGTAGTATTCATCATGAACTGACTTTAGTTGGGGAACTATTGAGAATCTGGGAGCATAAGAAGAGGCTATCATATCTTGGTAGTGTGGTGGATAACGCCCTAGAGTTTGAAGCTATCGCCCCCGAGTCCGAATTGCGATGGGAACAACATCACTCACTGGGAAGCAGTTGCATCCAGCTGAGGAGTCCCGAATAGAACGAAATGCGCATCCTGGATTCCACTGCCAGCCACGATCCATCATTATCACTGTTAAAGATATTGCCAGGCAGTTTACTAATGTTGTGAATAGTCTGCTATTTCAGTAGGGAAATCCTTGAGTGATATCTTATTCTTGATTTGTTATTCTTAGTGCTTCTACTGAAAATTTACCAAGCAGATCGACCAAAGTGAATATAATCACATTGGAAAAATGATCAGTAGAACTCAGTCAGCACTTAGGACTATATAATATAAAATCGACTAGTCTCTAGTGGCTTATTAATGTAACTAATCCAGTTCAACAAGAAGTCAGCCCTGTCCCAAACGGCTCAGTTGTAAGATTTATAACTGCGGCATTGGGTGACGAGGCATGTTCGAACTTCTGGGAAGCATTGTTTTCTCTGCTGATGAGTGCCAACATGTACGAAACTAGGATTTGATAAAGGCTTCCTATCACATCAGAACTGTTATTTCCTGACGAGCACATTGTCACTGCTTCATTAGGTTCTAACAAAATCTGTAAAATCCAGTCTATATAACTGGCATGATTTATGCTACTAACTAGCATAAGCGACTGGAAATCACTCTGACTAATCAGTATTACGCTCTTAGCAGATCAAGGCTGTTTAAGCATAGAACAATCACTTCATGGGTTCGGTATTAATTTTAATGAGAGGAATGCATAAATCAAGTCAAGTCATCCAACAAAATTAGATACTTATTGATGTTTGGAAGAGAATTGAATGGTGACACAGGTACAAAGACAGTTAACACTTTCAGGTTGTTCAGACCATGATACATTACTGCTAAAATTCAAATCATAATGACAAATTATACCATCCACTCCTAAATCAGATCAGTTACTTATACAGAACGGTAGTAATTAGGAATAAAAGTAAGCCTCATAATGGTTTAAGACATAAATTAATTGCCAAATAAACTCTTGTTTGCATCACTCGGTGATGATATGCTCAACAGAGACGAAATAATGTTGTTACTTGTATAATCGCGTCGTTGATTGGACCGAATTTGATTAGTCTCTATTGGCATATAGGCTTCTGCATGAATGTCTGGATATTGTCTGTGTTTCAGTTTTATTTTAATCATGGATAGTGGCTAGCAGTGGAGTCCAAAACGCACTATTAGTCCTATCTGAGAATCTTCAGTTGGATGTACCTGCTTTCTAGTGGGCGATGTTGTTCCTACTAGGACTCGAACTGAGGGTCTACAGCAGCTAACTCCAGAGAGTTATCCATACAAGAAGTGGTTATCGTAACTCGATGGCATACAGGATGACGCCCTGACATGTGAAGCGATTGGTCCTGAGTTCAAGCTCTAGTGAGGACAAAATCTCCCACAGAGGGCCTGGTACATCCAGCTGACGAGTCCCAAATAGGACGAAACCCGCGTTTTGGATTCCACCGCTAGTCACTATCCATTATTAATATGGTGCGAAACAACCCAAGGTTTTAAAATATGTTTTAACATATGAGCAATATGAAGTGACCACATTAGAAATTATAGTAGAACATTTATACTGGGTGATGATTTAAGGTGAAATGCAAATTTGGACCGCTACCGGACTCGAACCAGTGACCACCGGGTCTTCTGCCTGATGCTCCACCAGTCTGCTCTATTAGTCTGGCAAACCACGCCTATCTCAGATAGTCAAATGATATAGTAGAATATTTCAATGTTGCAGCATCTAGAAGCAGATGTGAAGAACTTAGTTTTCATCAATATAGATATATTTACTGTTGTATAATCGTAAACAAGGATGAAACACTTATCAATCGATGTCTTGCTTTGAATTCCTACAGTAGGTGATAAGTTGCGGCGAAAACTAATATCCAAACTAATTATTACTGCAGATTCACTAATCTTAGCAACACTTTTTCGAATTTCCATTAATCTTTTTATAGACTTTGATAAAAAAGGTAGACATAGGAAAACATACCAAATTATCATAGTATCCAATGTAGTCTAACATTTCCTGTGACAACAATCGATCTAAATGTGCTGAAGCTTGAGAAACAATAAGAAGGGCGAGAACACTGGCGCACAGTTTACGAATTGTACTCGGTTGCATAATCTGTTGATCGCATAAGAAAAAGAAAGTAGAAAAAGTGGATTAACATCAATAAAACCGAAGATTATGACTAACTTCCACAGCATAAGGTATTTATCAATAAGGTCTGATGTCAAACGTTTCTGTTCGGTTCAAAAACTGTAACGAAAAAGTATCAATTTACGTCATTCAGCCGTATTTATTATTGTTGACTTAGATTCCTTCTACTTGTAAGTAGTATAAGTTAAACAGGGGAAAATATTTACCGATAACTAATGGAATTGTGATAAATGTGTCACTTGTTCTGTTATTTAGGTTTTTTCAATACACTTACAGTATCTCAACTGTTTCCGATTTTTACAGTCTACACTTCGATGGCATTTGCCAGTCAAACTCTATGGGGAAGCTGGATTAGGCTGGAAGAGGGTTCAGGGTAGCCGGATCAAGACGTAGCTGCAGTCCATGAAGTCTCCGGATGTTGGTCTGAGCCGTTCGGGTAGATATGGACTACCTGGCTCAGGTCCTCAAGAAGAAAGAAACCACTGGTTAAGGACTCTTGGTGACATGGTTAAAAATCGGTGACAACTTTATCTACTTTGATATCACTCCTATGATATCCACTTTTTCTTCGTATGTGGCAACTTGAACTGATGTACTTCTGTGCTAGGTTCTGAGTTGATTTTGGAGGTTAGAAAGAACTCATCGATATGAATCCTATCTAACGAAGGAAACTGAACCAATACTTTTTGATCTAACTTCGCTAGATGTTTTCATTCGATTCTTTCTTTCCACCACTTGTTGTTTATTTTCACACCTCAAATTTTATTACTTTTGAAAGATTCTTTCCATCAATAAATGGTGGTAAATTGTTACATCACGTTGTTTATGGTCTACCTATTGTGAAAGACATTCATAGAATTTAAGTCAACTACTTTTCATTCATTCCTTATCCTTTTTTACTTTCATTATTTCCCCCGAACTTTTAATCGGTTTCTACTAGTTGTGATCAGTCAGTTAAACATTCGATTGAAACTTAATCTCATACTGTTCAAGTGTTATTTGAAATCAGATTACGAATAATTACAATAACAACATACGATGTATTAACGTCATAAGTAAGTGCTGATTAAATCATCCAACTTGGTGATGAAATATCCAAGAATAAACATCAGAGATCAGAGAACACCAAACGGTTACCATTTCCATCCTAGTCTAAAAATCTCTACTATCACACCATTAATTTCAGTTTTAGCGTTGTCTAACAGTAGTGTTAAAGACAGGAAAAAGTTAAACAAAATACAGACAGATAGAAAAATATTGGTTGATATATTGATTAGGCAAGCTATTTAGCTTTCACAGATGCATAAAAAAAGATGAATCATTTATAAACAGCTTTTTATGCATTTCAAGTGAGTGCACATAAGTGACACCATGTCATTCTCTAACCCTTTCGGTTCCACTTCAAACAGCATAAAACATTGATATCATTGGTTTGTAAGACTGAATGAATTAACCATTATCTATATATTGAATATTTCTATGTGGAAACCTGGATACTATTTGCAGGAGTAACTAGCCATGAAATGCAGAATCAGAGCTTCATTCTATTCAGGATTGGTCATTTTGACATACCTTGATATCACTAATTGTTAATGTCTTTAAAATAGATGAAGATTTGGATCCATTTTAACACTTGCTGATAAGCATCTGTAAACACCGTCTTGAATTCGATGGTATATATGTGTACACACCTTGGACTAGTGCTCATATTGTGACCTGATCGCATTTACGTGAGTGCTTATTATTCAAACAGAACCCTATTTATTCTCAGTAGGCAATCTTCAGCAAGAGGTTACGGTAATACGAACACATTTTCCAGACGCTTAGATAAAGGAAAGTCTATTTGACCATCCATAGAAAGTCTTCAAATTTGATATAACTAGGCAATTTTGATAAAGATAAATGTAATATATATTTATATATACATTACAACCAGTGAGAGACGATTCACAAACAAGGTTATTAGACTCGTTCAATTTAGCGAAATGGCTTAGAGACACTATAATCAATGATGAAGAAATATTAGCTAGTTTTGACATCAATAGCCAATACACAGAAACAGCAATAGAAAAGGCTATGAATGCTCTAAAAAGAAGACTAGAGGAACACTAAGGTCTAAGAGTAAGAACACAATTCTCTATAGAAGACATATTAAGTGGAGTGGGTCTGTGTTAAACAACGACTTCCTTCACATTCTATAGGAAGTTGTATTAACTAGAAGAAGAGGTAGCAATAGAACTGCCTATCTTAACAACTAGAGCGGATATATTCATGGACTTTTGGGAAAAGCATACACATCTTCGATTAAAATTTGGTGAAAATATACTTACGATACTCTAGTTATAATCAATCAGAAGGATGCAGAAAGATTTTACTCATATATAGATTGTCATATGGACTCAGTAAAATTCACTATGAAAATAGAGAATGAATTAGAGAAACTGCCAAAGTTGAACTGTAAAACTAAAAGAATAGTAGTTGAAAGTTTAAAAAAAACAACGCTATACAGAAAACCAACGCATTCTGCAAGGTATCTAAGTTACTACTCAACCCATCCAATCATATTAAAAGGAGGGTTAATACAAAGTCTGAAAAACAGAATACACAGGCTAACAACATGCTCTAATGACCAATAAAAGGAGATGAATATCTTATTCAAGATGATATTAAAGAATCATTACCCACAACAACTCATAAGAGAAAACATCAAAAGGAAGAAGTGAAAGTCATCAGTAGTAGGTAATAAGAAAGATGACTACCATACATAGAAGGTACATCAGAGGTAATTATAAGAAACCATAGAAAGGCTAATATTTTCACACAGCATTTAAGTCAATGAATCTGATAGAAAATTGGACAAAAATGATACGATGTATAAAGTACCGTTACAGACTGTTTACTAAGCTATGTAGGATTTGTCCTACATGCATCAAGATAGTTGAAAACTTGACTGAATGAACATCAAAGATTAACTAAACATCAGTCTACAGAAGGACAAAAATACAAAAAAAATTGGAAAAAAATTCATTGAATTCTGAGGGAGTTATGGGGATTTGGAAATATTTCAAGTTATTATTCATCGTAGACTGACATCAGTTGGAGGAAAAAAAGGAAACCTGAGAGCACTGGACAGCTGTTTCATCCTAGTATGGGACTCCTCAGCAGTGCGCACTCACGACCCCGCCGGGGATCGAACCCACGACTTCAACTGATATCAGTCCACGATGGATGATAACTTGAAATATTTCCAAATCCTCACAACTCCCTCGAAATTCAGTTGAACTGGTGCTCATTGGTGACTAGCTTCGGGAAGTATTCCCGAAGTTCCAATGAGGAGTCGTGACCGGTGGAGTCAAAGCCTGATGGTCGTGAGGACAGTTACTCAACGATGACATTGGGTGGCGGTTGCGCTATATCGTGAACTAACAGAAGTTGGAAATATGGACGACTGGATTCTGAGCCAGTGGCTCAGTGGTAATGAGCTGTCCATGCAGTGGCTATCATGATGTCCCCAACAGCATCGAATGCTCGCTCCTCCTCCCCGATCAGGATCATGACAGCAAGGTTCAACTCAAAAGGAAGGAAGGAAGGTCGCAATCATACAGTGCTACGCTACTCACCTACAAATAATCCAGATGAAGAGAGGAAGGAGGGATTCTACAGATAACTGCTATCAGCATTGGACAAGACTTTAGTTGGCGACATCAAAATTCTAATGAGCGACATGAATGCCAAACTGGGAGCGGATAACATAGGAAGAAAACTAAACATGGGACGAGAAGCGCTAGGTGAAATGAACGAGAATGGAGAATTGTTTGCAGAATTCTGTGCATTCAACGATTTGGTGATTGGGGGCGGGGCAGTGTGTTCAAGCACAAGGATATCCACAAAGTGACATGGATTTGATTTCACCAGACACCAGATGGACACACTAAAAATCAAATCGACTTTATCTCAATCTCAAGAAAATAGAGACGCAGTCTACTTGACAAAAGGTCAAGAAGAGGAGCAGATGTAGGTTCAGAACACAATCTAGTGCAAGGAAACTACCCTTAAAATCAAGTTGAAAACCATGAAGGAAGCTGGTGATAGACCACAATTAAAGTACAACACCCAGACAGTGAACAGAAGGAACAAAGGAAATCTTCACGGCAGCCACCAAGACAAAATGGGAGATATCAAGGAACATCCCTGAAGAAATCTGCGTGAATGAGCACTGGAACTCTTTGAAAAAGATATGGAAAGAATCCTGCCAAACCGTATTAAGAAGGAAAAAGAAAGAAGATAAGGAATGGATCTCGATGGACACATAGAAGCTGATAGAGCAGGGAAAAGAAGATGGTGAAGCAGAAGTTAAACCAGTGCAAGGATGCACAACGAAGCGAAGAACTGAGCACAACGTATAAAACACTGGACAAAGGAGTGAAGAAGAGTGCACGCAAAGACAAAACAAACTTCCACGACACACTGGCAAGTGAAGCAGAACAGGCTGCAAGCTGGTAGGAGAGACTTGACAACATTGTATCAAATAACCAGGTTACCATCTGCGACGGAAGAGATCAACACACATGAAACCAATAAAAGATGATGGTGGAAATTTAATTACCAAAGATGAGAAACAAAGGAAACCGATGTGCTGACCACTTCAAAATGCTCTTGAATCCACCACCATCTGCAACTCGTCCAGAAATACCACCTGCAGCCCAGTCACAGAACTACAAGTGAACATGAATCCTCCAACAGAAGTCGAAGTGCTGAGAGCCAAAAAGCTACTGAAATGAGGGAAAGTAGCAGCACCAGATGGAATCCTGACAGAAGCACTGAGAACAGACGCAGAGACAACAGCGGACATACTCACACCACACCACTATTACAGAAGGTTTGGGAAGAGGGAAGGGAAGGTACCTGCCTATTGATTGGAAGAAGGGTTACCTTGTCAAATTCCAGAAGAAGGGCGACCTAAGTCTTTGCAAGAACTGGCGCGAAATCATGCTCCACTCCTGTCCACTCAATCCAAGCAAAATATTATCCCGCATCATCCTGGAGAGACTAAAGGATGCGTTGGATTGAAAACCACAACCAGAACAGGTTGGCCAGCTGGATTCAGGAAGTACTAATCATGTGCGGATCAAATTGCAACGCTACAATTCACATCATGATAGAACAGAGTACAGAATGCCAGTCAACTCTCTGCCTCAACTTCATCCACTTTGAAAAGGCCGACCTTCGACATCGTCGATCGAGAAGTAATTTGGCAGTTGCTTCAACACTACGGTTTTAGTGACACAAACCTTTATCAACCTCATTCAACAACTGTATGAAGACGCCACATGCCAAGTAATTCACAATGGGAAGCTCAGTGATGCCTTTGAAGTGAAGACAGGAAGGAGTTAGACAAGTCTGTCTACTGTCACCGATCATCTTCATGATTGTGGTGGACTGGATCATGCAGTAAACCGTGGGGAGCGAGAAGGGGGGCATATGCTGTTTGACTGATGGAAAGATCCTAGAAGATTTGGATTTCGTCAATGACTTATGTCTAATGTCACACAAACTTGAAGATCTACAGGCGAAAACTAACAAGCTGACAGAAGACACATGGCGGCGAAGACGGGACTTCAAGTGAATATAGAGAAGACAGAGGTGATGAAGATACCCAACCAACACGAACAACAAGCTCCAATCACCACCAACGGGAGAAACTTGAAGGAAGTAGTCTCCTACATCTTTCTAGGCAGCACTGTTTCAACTACAGGTGGCACAGAAGAAGACGAGGATGTCAAAGTCAGCCAGAATCGGGAAGATAGCAAGACAGGTGTTCATTAACCTGAAATCAGTGTGGAGATCTTCCACACACAGCATGTGGAACAACATCCGGATTTTCAACACCAATCCAGTCAAGTCAGTGCTCCTGTATGGTTCAGAGACTTGGTGAGTTACGAAAAGCATTTCCAATAAACTACACACATTCATCAACAACTGCCACCTACGCTGGCTCGTTACTCAAGCTCAGATGGATTGCCAGAATATTAAGAATAAGCAGCAGCAAAGAACTCTGGCTGGCTGGCAGGCAACGATTCAACCAACAACCTATCCCCTAGCAAATATGCAGAAGGAAATGGAGATGGATTGGGCATACACAGAGGATGTCGACTGGGGACATCACGCGTCAGGTCAGGGCGTCGAGTGGAACCGCAGTGGGAAACGACGAGTTGGGCGTCCGAGGTGAGGGTGACATGGAAGAGATTGTGCGAGGAGGAAATGAGAGGTTGTGGGCTGTGTTTGGAGCCGGGTTCAGAAGATTGCAGAGAACAGAGTGAACTGGAGACGTGCTACTGAAGCCCTATGTTCCATTAGGAACCCAAGTGACAAATAGTCATGATGAAATAATCTACATTAATAAAAGTAAGCGACTAATTTAGCAAATACGTCACTATTCATTGAACCCTAGCTACATAGTAAATCCTTCTAAAGCCTCTGCCTAATGATTGCGCTATGCGAGTCATCTTTGTACGTATGGCCGATGAAGACATCTTTCTATGGGAAACAGTAAAAGCTGTTTTTGGTGCTCTGGTTATTTTGTGCTGAATGGTAGGTTTCTGTGGACAGTTATTTTCCAACTGTATTTCAGTCAGCCTTCCTCTTTTGTCATCCTAAGTATCATCCGTCCATATTCATTGAATTCTACTGAATAGGCACCTAACTAACACTGAATTTTACTGAACTGGACAAAAGCCATGCAGTTCAACTATTATCCTATCCATGTAGGTTTTCTGTGGATATATTGTTTTGTGGATCTATCCTGCTGCTGACTAATTAATTTGTGCACGAAAGGCAAGTAGTCATCGTCCTCTTCTACATATATCAAGGACGTGGTCCTCTGCACTTCATGAAGTTCGCTTAGAAATGAAATGAGCTGACTTATCACAAATAATTAGGATAACGTCAACATATCTTCGAAATAGATGGGTTGATTAGGTTCTCGGCTAAGTTCTCGAGATGTGTCATAAATATGTTAGCTAAGAGAGGGCCCAAAGGAACTGCCATGGCAACACCATCAACGTGTCGGAAGTGTTTTTATTATTTGTTAACAAGGTCAGTAATCTTAGTGTGATTTACTAACCAACGCTAGTTTACTAACATAGTCACACTTAAAAAGTTTGGTTGTTAGCATATCGTAAGTTGTTAGTGTGATTTGGACAAACTTATTTGTGTGTTTGATGATCATCTAAAAACTGTGAGAACAACCCAGTTTGTCACGTTGTTCTCACATAATTTTCTGAAGTAGTAAAAGATTGAGCTCACTTGAATTACCACGTAATAGTTGATTTTTCTCAACTAAAATAGTTTTCTCACCAAAACGTTAGACTATGGTGGATATTAGTCGGCCTAACAGACTGGCTATTCATACAACTACCTACAAATACTGTTTGGTAGATTGGGAATATGGACCACAGGATTCCGACTCAGTGGCTCAATGATAACATGCTGGCTACGGAACCTGAAGGTAGTAGGTTTGATCCCTGTGGTACAGGATCGTGGGTGTGCACTACTGAGGAGTTCCAGACTAAGAAGAAACAGTTGTTCAGTGCTTCCACGTTTCCAATGTTCCTCCAACCGATACCAGTCCATGATGAATACCAACTTGAAGGATTCGCCATAGACGTGAAAAAATGAATGATGCCAGTTTTATGAAGATTATTAACATTTTTGTTTGTATTACTTACTGTCTGGAATGCGTGTTTGAAACCTTTTCGAAGTTTACTTTGTTCTGTCAAACGACGTTTAAGACCTGGAAAAATAAACGAGAAAGCAAGGGAATACTGTCTTAGGTATGATAATCTTGAAAAATGCCAATAAACCAGAAAAACATAGCTTATATACTTTCAAAAAGGTAATTGTTAATCTTTCAATAACCAAATGGAATAATTGACTTGTTATATATGCCCTTCATTAACATGTCACTTATATATTTCTGTTATAAAAATAAATCACTTAGTGTAAACTATTCCATAGATGTTATGTCGCAAAATACTTGAAGCTAAATAGAAAACGAGAATTTATTCATCAAAGAATACACTGGTGACTCACACTGAACGATACAGTTTTGGAATTTTGTGGTTGCCTGAGTTTTCTTGAAATATCAAGCAAGACAAGTTGCTGCAACCATGACTCATTGGCACAGGGACTAGATTTTAAACCATTTATCTGAAAGTTCAAATCCCATTCAACTTACGGTGCTGTGGGCAACCAGTAGTATCATTATTACACACACAATAGGTGTGTCTATTTCACTGCCAAACCCACAGAAATGAGCATGTTTGACGAGGTGATTACGAAAAGTCTACAGTGTTTCATACATTACCTTGTCCTATCAAAAACCATCGAATAAGTAAGCGTTAGAAGTCAGCTTTCAATGACTCTTAAGATTATCAGAAGTGAATTGAACTAACTGGTAAATCCCATTTACTTTCAAAATGCATTTTCTTAACGGAAATCCATTTGGATATGAAATTACTTAGAAGAATGAACTAATGAAGAAATATAGTACCCCTTTGTAAGCGTAGAACCTCGTGTAGTTTACTAGTTCACTGGTTTAATAGACGGTCCTAAGCCCGGATAAACAGGGAAGGTTGGGCCTAGGACTAGCAACCCTACCGCGTAAAAACAAATCCAATCACTAAAGAAACTTCAAAGTACAAAAAAAGATATAAAACAAAATTAAACTTATTCCTCGGTGGAATCGGGGAGACAAAATGATGCCGGTTGGTGAAAGCCTTCGGGAAGCCGATTGGCCGATGTATCTTCTCTCCCTGGATGAAAGTGAAAGTAAGCATGGGGACATGAAATGTCAGAACAATGTTTGAATCTGGCTGGCAAGGCTACCCAGATTGCAAACGAGATGAGAAGGTTTTTCATAGAAGTGCTAGGAATCTGTAGATGGAGTGGAAGATAAACCCTCCAAATTCTTAACTGCAGAGTCAATAATCTACTCCTGTCACCCAGACCAAAATCATGAGCGTACTGAGTTATGGAGTGACTATCATGATGTGCCCAACAGCATCGAAGGCTCTCATGTAGTGGAAACCAATCTCCTCCCGCAGGATCACGACAGCAAGATTCAACTCAAAAGGAAGGAAAGTTACAATCATCCAACCGGAACAGACTGATTGGCTTCAGGAAAAACAAATCATATGTGGATCAAATTGAAACTACGCATCATCATAGAACAGAAAATATAATGGGAGCCAACTCGATCTTTACCTCAACTTCATCGATTTTGAAAAGGCCTTCGACAGCGTCAACCGAGAAGTAATTTGACAGCTGCTTCAACACTACGGTTTTAGTGCTATAAACCTTTATCAACCTCATTCAATAGCTTTATCCTATATGATGCTACATGCCAAGTGATTCACAATGGAAAGCTCAGCTTAGTGATGCTTTTGAAGTGAGGACAGGAGTAAGACAAAGTTGTCGCCTACTATCACCGATCATCTTCCTGATTGTGGTGAACTGAGTTAGATCATGCAGCAAACCATAAGGAGCGAAAAGATGGTCATACAATGTTTGACCAAGGAAAAGATCCTGGAAGATTTGGATTTCGCCTATGATTTATGGCGACGTGCTACTGAAGCCCTAAGTACCACTAGGAACCCAACAAACAAATAAATAAAAATAAATGTAAGCGTAGATTAAACCCGACCGAGAAAGAAAAGCCTGAAGTCTAACATTCCAAGATAACAGATCACTTCACTAGTGGGTATAAGGATGAAGTAAGGAGGACAGAACACACTTGTCAACCAAACTCAAATCCCTGTACTAATATTTTCATCAATATTTTCCTCCATAAGCAATTAACTTTTTAGTTGATTTCTAGGTTGGGATTCATCATGAACTGACATCAGTTGGAGATACATTGGAAATCTGGGAGTACTGGACAACTGTTTCGTCTTAGTGTGAGACTCCTCAGCAGTGCACGGGGGCACAGCTATATAGTTCCCCCAAGTTTCCAATGTTTCTCCAACTGATGTCAGTTCATAAAGAATTCCAACCTAAAAATCAATTCAATTTTTATTCGGTCATACAAAGTACATAAATAGCTTGAAAATTAGGCATTGTGTAATAAAGCAGAGTCAAAATTCAGGGTGATAGTAAGACCATAAATTTTCATCACATCAAGTTTCCTCTTGTTAGCTATCAGTTCACTAATTGTTCAACTAATAATCATGATATTAAAAAACGACTTTCGAGCAAAACTTCATCTCAATATCTATAAACTGGAACGTAGAAGCGAAGTGGTATACAGAGATACACATATTGATACTTTGAAGAACATCTAAGAATGTTAGTCACAAAGATATGTTTTCTGTTTTCAAACAAGAATTATTTACCTGAAAACAGTGTAAATTGAACATAACAGTTTTTTTTCAGTTCCAGACTTTTGTGGCTAAAATAGTAAGCATTTCATGCTATTTTGTTAACGAGAATCACTTTTTAAATTACACACATTTTTTAACTAAGAATTATTGTTAAGGATAGATAGTGTCTGGTAGTGGAATCTAAGAAGCTGGTTTAGTCTTTTTTGGGACTCATCAGCTGGGTGTACCTGCCATTTAGTGGTGATATTTCTACTGAGATTCAAACCCAGTGCCCATTACACAAAAAACTAGAGAATTACCTAGTGGGGTAGAGTAAAGATAGCCTCTCCTTGTGCAATGAGCATACCTTGATATGGCAGCTTGCTACTTCCTGTTGTGGACTGCTTTGGACCGAACTGATCAGCCTCTTTTATCATTCGTGCTTTTGTACCGACGAATCTATATGGCCATTAATCCCATTTTAGTATTTAGGATAGATAGTAGCAGGCTGAAGAACCCGAAACGCACGTTCTGTCCAATTTAAGACACATGACCTGGTTGTATCCACCTCTAATTTCAAACTAGACACACTTCTCAAGGAATGAGTGCCGTTATTAAGTAGCCCGGTGTATAAGGCTGCATCATCCAGGGGGATTCGTGGTGGGTTTGAATCCCAGTGGGAACACTAATAACAGGAGGTAGATATATCCATATGGTGACACCCAAATAGGACGAAACGTGGATTCTGAGTCCAACTCCTAGCCACTGTTCATCCTGGTCAACTCGGTTACAACCAATCAACAGTGGGAAATAAAAAGCTCCATTACAAGAATAGTTGTTATCATCAACTGATTAGTGGGATTCAACCCTTGTGATACGATATATAATCCAATTCTCTCTCTTGCAGTTAACCCAAACTGATGACAAATCTTCCTGATGGTTAAAAGACTATTCAAATAATATTTTAGGATGCGGTCTAAATGAAAATCAACATTTCAAGTTAGCAGTTGCTAAGGTAGAGGTTTTTACTGATTAATTTTAGCATCATGTAGCTGTGTGGTCACGAAGACCTTGATGAACAATTTCATCCTACAGCTGACCAATCAGAATAAGCTGCTTAACCATTGACTTAGTAGTTCTATATGTTCATGAATGATGTATTTTTGTTGAACAAAGTATCTTCCTTAAAGTCACAGGCCAGTCCTTGTCTTCTGGCTCAGTCAATTATAAGGCACAGTCAATTTTCGTATTCAGTCCAAGTGTCTCATTGCTTGAGTATCATTCGCATATTTCTCATTATTCACTCGGTCATTTCACAAGGCAAAATGGTTCGGTGAAACTTTGGACAATGCTCATCCTAAATTACGTGAAAATATCATTTCATATCAAAAATCATCCACTGGTAGATTCTAAAGAAAATTTAAGGAAATATCTTTAAATACATTGACCATTGAATAGAGGAGTTCCAAATTTACATTCTCCTTTCATCGTATACTTCTTCTACAGTTACACCTTCAATAATGATATGCTTTAATCTTGGGCTACCAAACATTTCCCACCAAATATATTTCAACAAGTTCTTTCCTTTCAATTTGTGTTAATCTTGTAAAAGTATCATATACTCTTGCACCTTTTTAAAATGTTTTTAAACCGCCATTTTTGAAGCTAAGAATAAAAAAAGTTACGCTGGATGGAAATGGACATATCGATGTACAAAAATACAGTACAGTACTATTCCTAGGATACCTAGATAGAATTGCAGATTTTTGTACTGACTAAGTGAATTACCACGACCAAAATTACACTCGATTTTTCTATACATTCCCCAATCCAGACCAGAGGCTAATATAACACCAGCTCTCCGTTTAATATTGCTATTATTATTAACACTATTCACATGCAACAATTATTTCGTTTAAAAATATTGTACAGGGAGTTAATTTTTTGAAATGTTACATGCTGAGAATTCCATACTGTAATATACATGTTGCTTGGGATAAAGCAACCCAGTGCCTGAGTGGTTAACGAGTTCGCTGTGAAACCTGAAGGTTCTGAGTTCACTCCCTAGCCAGGTCATGGGTGTGTACTGCTGAGAAGTCCCATACTAGGATGAAACAGCTGTCCAGTGCCCCCAGGTTTCCAATGGTTCCCCAATTGACATCAGTAAGTGATGAATACTACCTCAAAGATTATTATTATTATTAATCATGAAAATTAAATAAAAACTGTTAAATATAGTGTGCTTTAACTTGAAGCAGAAATCAAAACACTAGCATACCTTCTTCAGTTAAATCGATAAATACGACATCACCATATAGAATACGCTCTGCAGTATCTACAGTATGCAGAACTCGATGTATAAGCCATAAAGCGTCCAAAAATAATGCAGCGCCCAAAACATGCACCCAACCTAAATCCAAATTTGAGAATATCCAACTATCTTCACTGATTGATGTAGGTGAATCAGTTGTATCATCATCAATACCAGTAGTATGCGTTCCATTTGGGAGTTTTTCTTCTCTTGAATTCATATTGTTCTTATTTGATTTATCTAGAAATTCAATAACTCCACCTAAATTGGATAGGGAGTTTTCCACATTATGCGGTGACCAGAATTCTCCACTTGTTTCCTAAATAATATAAGATAAAAGCGCTATGAAAAAAGAATGATTGAACCAAATAGCTATTTTACGGTGTTTGAGATGACTATCAGTTACTATATCGGTTAGTTTTACCCTGAACTACGTAAATATCTAACAGATGAACAGCTTAGTGTAAGCGTTAGATAACTGGTAAGTGTACACAAATCAAACAAACTATAACTGTGTTACAGGTTGCTGGTAAAACTGTATTTAAGTAATATGTACTTCTGTATCTCCAACAGAAATCAGAAGCGTAAACGACTAGCTGGCGAATTTTAGAAAGAGAGAGGGAGAGAAAAGCAGGGTCAACTCGTTAGTAATATCGAAAGCGATAAGATGAAGGGGAAAAGGTTGAAAGAGAATGCAGACGAAAGAACGCAAATTTTCTTTGCAATGAGGACATTCGTTATAAGGCTATAATATTTCTTCTTCCACTGTGTCCACCATTATTTTCGTCCTTAATAAATGTGGCTACTCCCGGACCGGATAGAGGTTCCTTGATCTGTAGAGGCCTAGGAAGGAGATTTCAAGAGCTCCCATAGGGAATTCAAATTTTTACAGAGCTAGTGGGTTGTCCTATGCCCAAAAGCGAAGTGATGCTGCAGCAAACATTGATGAGAGGTTCAGCAAAGTTGGAATAGTTAAGTTTTATGACAAGGGCGTTTCTGAAACTGTAGTGGAACGGTTGACAGCAAAGTTTTAGAGCCTAGAGTGCGAAATCGAGTCCTAACGGAGACCCATCTGCATTAAGTTAAAAGCTAGATAATATTCTTCATCGAGCGCTTCCCACTTTGGGACGGAAGTGTCGAACACATTTGTTAGTACAAGACTTCAGGCAGTGTTTTTCATACCACTGCCCCACAATTACATTTAGCCAACACAGTGCAAACCATGGACATTAGTAAGCTGATGAAAGCTACCAAACAGCTAATGAACATGATAGTGGCAACACTGGAATCCCTGTAAATCAGTCACCGAGAGATAAATATAGAGAATCTGCAGCAGAAGACAACTACTTTTGGTATCAGTATCAATAGACGGAATAACTGTCTCACCTGAGGAAGTACTGGAAATCGATATAGTAACTGCTTACAGAGAAGAAGACAGACTGCTGCATTTTTTCTTTATGATTAGATACCAAGTCATGAAAGCAATATAAAGAGGTTTGATTTATGCTAAAATACATGTAAATAAGTGGGAAGTTGTACTTTTGTCTTGTGAATACTGGGTTATCAGTCCACTTAGCAGGTAAAGTGCTATCTTAGAGCATTATACCTGTGCGTTGACAGTTCAGCTGATAAGTGCACATGCTTTAGAGAGTGCGCGGACATTTAATAGCATTCTTGAAACCGCGGTTGGTGAAGGTACCCTTCTATTCTTTGTCACCACTTGCCTTCAACGAATAATTACAGGTGCCGATTTTTTGAGAGAAGTGTGTATGTGCTGATTACCACGAAAAATAGAAGAGTGACTAAGAATTATGGGTCATTCGATAAACATGAAAATAAAGACTTAACAGGAAACGAGGTATTTAAAACACTTTACACAGACGCACCAAATATCACAGAGTTGGAGATGGAAACTCTTGTTTCTAATGTGACATTGTAAGGCTCAAAATTTCGCTGATACACCATGAGATAATAGTCTTTTCAAAGCACCAATATCTATGTTAGTTAGGATCCAAAGTTCAAAGTAAGTTGAGAAGACGGTAAATGCAAGCGTAATTGAAGAAGCTGACAGCCTATTCAGTTTGCTAGTTCTCTTAGTGTCAATTTTTGTTAGAACTTGCAATATCTTCACCCTAGACCCTCAAAGAAGTCAAAAATCGCCGAGTATATACAAAACCAGTCAATATTTTGTAGATAATCACATGACAAAGTGTGCTAATACCTGATAGAATAAGTAGACAAGATCAGGATTCGCAACTTTCTACAACAATATACAATGTATCAAGAGTCTGTAACACATAAATACCATTGTCTTGTACACACAAGAGTCTTCTTATCAACCTTCTACCACTTTTCCGTGTTATGTATGATCAGGTAGGGTATTGAATTGAAGGTTATTATACATATTTCCAACATATTACTTATCAGCCTCATAATATATCAATTTTAAGTGAACGACATCAATATTAGCAGAAAAATTGAGCCACCTATAGAACGATAAACTTCTTACAGTTCTTGACCTCCAGTTGGGATACTGGCAGTTACCGAAAAAGAGAGTGACAAATCTAACGCGGCATTCATCGTGGGACAGGATAAATATCGATTTATTCGAATGTTATTCGAATTAACTGGTAAAACGTTCAAGTTTTAACGAGTAATGACTAAGTTACCTAGGTATTTGAAAAGTATGCAGGTGTACAAGAACGACATGCTTGTGTCCAGTTAGGTGGAAAACGACCATCTGGAACAATCAGAAGCTATGCTAAGACGCGTTGATGAATTTAGGCTGTGGACTGACAAAACCAAATCTCAGTGAGTAAAAGAGGGCATTATATTATAGGAGCATAGAGTTAGAAAGGCTGAAGCAAAGCTCTTGTTCGACAAGATTCTGACGGCAATATTCATTGAAGTACCAAATTTGAAATAGCCAATGAGAACTTTTGGGGAGAATGGTTTTGTGCAGTCGTTTTGGAAAGAACTTTTGTGTTGCCTTAATGGGTCTACACAAGCTGTTGAGCACGCCAAAATAAGTATGGATAGGGGAAGCGCGAAAACATTCAACATTATTGAACTGTTAGACAACTAGCAAATGACTTTAAGAATGCCCTTACCATTTAAGCTGTTCGTAGTGGCCACTTGTGCCAGTGATCATAGAATAGGTTCAGTTTCTAGACAAAGTGAAAGAGTTATAGAGTACGTCAGCAATATCCTGACACCTACAGAGCAGAAATATTCGGCGGTTTAAAAGGAGTGCTTAACTATGATTTAGGTGCCTAAACAAATCAAAGACAGATTTGTTCGGTCAACAGTTCCATACGGAGATTAGTCAAAAGCCCTTAAAGATGTCAGTATATTTTTAACGGTAAATGCAAGATTGCACTTCTCTTTACTTCCACTGATACCGAGGTCCTTAGTATTTTGTTTATTCTGAATATATTGCATCACTGTAGTCAAGTTCATTAAAAATCATAATGATAAGAGAAAATTGAAATACAACCATGTATACACTCGCACAGTTGGCTATTACCCACACTTACTGTGTAAGGACTTATGGTACCATCAGACTACGAAGACCGAATGACTTCAAAGGTCACCCAAACAATCGCTGAGACAACTAATCACATTACTTCACTTTATGAAAAACTTCCTCCACGGAGAAAAGATTGAGACCTGATTAGTTATCGCACCAATTACTAGGGTGGCCTTTAAATTCACTCACACAGACCTATGCAGGTGGAATATAGTCCCAACCAAAATGCTACTAGCTGAAAGTTGAGTACTTAGATCAATGAACGACAGCTGGTAAAATCGAATCCCATCGAGTACAAGAAGCAACAAGAAGATATTGTACAGTATTATTTTGTGTTCTTGTTGTAGTAATGAAATAATTCGTAGTGGAAATAGACGAATACATATATAAACTTACAATATCTATTGGCTGTGGTACAAAAGGTACGTAAGCTGGCCCATATTCATGTTCATCTGAATCTGTTGATCCTCCATTGATTGTTGAACGTCTCTTTAATGTAGGTGTAGGTATAACAAATTGTTCCGGTTCTAATGACGGTAAGCTTATAGGCAATGAAAGTTGTGGTGCTTTTATATTGTTCAAATTAGTCTCTGGTGAAATTAATTTAGCCCAAGCTAAGAATGAGCGAGTTGGATCATTTGGATCTGGTGTGATAGCACGTAGACGAACTATCTCTGAGTAGACAATACGAGCACCTAAAACAACAATATCTCGTAAAAATTAAACTAGACATATTTTAATTCCAGATCAAAGGAACACATATAGATTAGAAGAAAAGAATAAATGGTTGTTACTTACCTCCGAAAAGCAAATATTTGACATTTTTCAACTTCTCAGATCCTTCAGCTGACGTCTCCTACGACCATTCATCCGTTTATAATTACACTTGTGTTCATATCACAATTATTCTCTTCCAAACTGTTGTTGTCCCACTTCTTCATTAGTGAAAATCGCGACCTCAAACTACTTTTGAAATGACGACTGATTTAATAATAACTGTTTAAGGTGCATATTCAATATTAAACCGCTTATTTAATAAGTCATGACCCATAATCTTATAGTATTCACAATGACTCTAATCAGATACTTAACTGATACACTTCATTTACATATCGTCATCAAGTATTTCAAAGTATAATTATCTGAACATGTAACTCTCTTCATCAATATAGCCTTCTTCAACAAGATGTATTCAAATATAAAGCTGTGGATAATTATGATTTACAATAGCGAGTTTAAAACAGAATCCAGAAAATGTTTCTGTCTAAAGAAATTAATGTTATGGGGAAATCAATAAGACTCTGTGGAACTTTGGAAGAGAGAACAACAGTCAGTTTAGTCTTGACTGTGTTTTGAATACAGCAAAGTATGTGAATATTTTAGTGATACTGAAAACTGAAAAAAATTAATGACATATAGAGTGAATGATTGTATGATGCATTACGTTTCTAGCCTTAAGGTAGATTCGATCGAATTACTCCAAAGGTCACCTTAGAAACTGATAGAATAGCCAATTAAACTTTGTGAAAATCTATATTTACGGAGGAAATAAAGAAAGCTAATTGAGTGTTTTAATCGTTGCATTAGTGATCTTTACAACAGCGACTCTAAGGGTCACACAAACAAGTACTTAAGTAACCAATTAAAGTTTTAAATCCTAATATAAAACTATCCTTGCCAGAGTGACCTCGACAGTCACTCGAACATCGTACTGCTTACTAAGATGATTGAAACAACCAATCAAATTACTAAACAATCTTCACAAAAGCTTTAACTAGTGGATGAAAATCAAGTTACGTTACTGGTTTATGATTCTAGATTGATTCTAAAACTCCCTCCAGCAACTAATGTAAAAACCAATTCAGTGTCTTTATTTCAGATTTGCTGCTAAAAGAAGGAAACCTAATTGGTTATTTCAGTAGTTACTAGGGTGTAGGTTAGAGTCATATCAAGCAAAGCGGGCGACTTTCAAGGCCACCCTAGCAATTATAGAAATAACCAATAAGACTTCTATATTTTCAATAACAGAAACAAGCACCAATCACCATCAACGGGAGAAACTTGGAGAAAGTCGTCTCTTTCATCCACCTACCTACCTAGGCAGCATCGTTCCAACTACAGGCGGCACAAGCACACATGACGACGTCAAAGTCAGGATCCGAAAGACAGCAAGACAGGCTTTCATTAACCTGAAATCAGTGTGGAGATCTACTGCACTCAGTATAAACAAAATCAGGATTTTCAACACTAATTTCAATCAAGTCAGTACCTCTATGCGCTGGTTTAGAAACTTGGCACGTCATGAAAAGCATTTCCAACAAACTACAGACATACATCACATAAACAGCTGCCACCTACGCTCACTCGATACTGAAGATGGAGATGAGATGGCCAGTATAATAAGAATAAGCAACAAGGAACTCTGGCTGGCTGGCTGGCTGGCAACGAACCAACCAAGAAGCTATCGCCCAACAAATATGCAGAAAAAAGTGGAGATCGATTGGGCATGCACTGAGAAAGACATTCAGAGACATCACTCTCCAGGCCAGGCCGTCGAGTAGAATCTATAGGGGAAACGACGAGTTGGGCGTTAGAGGTAAGGGTGACTGGAGGAGATGGTATGAGGAATAAATGACAGCTTGTGGGCAGTGGTGGAACCAGGCTGAAAAGATTACAGAGAAGAGAATGGAATGGCGACCTGCTACTGAAGCCCCATGTTCCACTAGGAACCCAAAGGACAAATAAAAAAAATAAAAAATAGACTTCTATATTTTATATAGATTAGACTTACCAGCCATAACAAACAAACTAAATCGGTTATTTCAGTCGTTACTAGGGCGGTGTTTAAAGTCACTTTATCTACATATGTATACCTTTTCAATTGTATGATCATTAAATAGAAATGGATAGCTAAGTTAGTTACAACAACTTTTTTGAAGTGTCACGTGGATCAGTCAAGTTACAGTACTCTTAAAGAGTGACTCTAAAGACCACCTATGCAACAACTGAAATAGCCAATCAGATTCTTTTATTTCTGTTGGAAAGGCAAATTTATATACAATAAAGCCGTCTAATTAACTGCTTCACTTATTGTTATGGTGGCTTTTAGACCCAATCTTTCTAAAAACACTAAGTATCGGTTATGGAGTCACTGTGATGGTTACCCTGCTAATCATTGGAATAACCAACTGGGTTGACGAAGCGTTAGTTTGCTCATAAAACAAACCTGATGATGTGATTCGTTGTTAGGGTGGCCTATAGACCTACTGTTATGTATTTCATAGTGGCAATAATAGTTACCAAAATATTTGTCAGTTTTATAGAATGTGTGGCTGTTTATTATTAAGAGAATTAACCGGTTTCACCTTAGGTAAGATTTAATGCAACAAATGAAGGTCTAGACTTCATACGGTCACTCATATTATTAGAAAAAGTAGGATGAGGACATAAAGCAATTCCATTTTAGTATGTTTATTAGAATTATCACACAATGAAACAGTATCATTTGCTCAATAACGTTTCGGACATACTTTACTGTCCATATTTAAATCAGGTGACTCTACAACTTCGAGACAGAATTTATATATTCCTAGTTTTCTCTCCTTCCCCATGATGATAAGGGTAGTAGTATTTTCTGTACATCTGGGACAGGTGGAGAATTATTGCAAGTCTCATCACTGGTCTCTAAAATTCCATCTCATTTTCGTTTAATCTTACAACTGAACACTGCTAACTCACCTTCATCCCTTTCTAGATCATTGTACTGCGTCCACTAATGAATTAATATGCCAAGAACCTGTTGATGCGTTCCGATTTCAGTACTGTAAACTTATCATCTACACATAGGAACCATATCTTTGGAGTAGGACTGAATGTTTGTAGGGCTATATTCAAGGATAGTTGAGAAGGGATAGCCCCTCAAATATTTAGTCCGACTCCAAAGATATGGTTTCGATATGTAGATGACACATTTACAGTACTGAAATCGGAACACATCAATAGGTTCAGTAGTGAATGCAATCCAATTTACCTGTGACCTAGAAAATGATGAAGGTGGGTTAGCACTGTTAGATTGCAAGATTAAATGAACACAAGACGGAAGTCTAGAGACTAGTGTCCATAGGAAACATTCTCATCTGAATTCCTACTTTAACTTCGAATCATTCCACCCTATCTCACTTAAAGTAGCCTTAATTAAATATATAAGCGATAGGACGGAAGAGCTTACTAGTAGGTCGGAAAATCTACCATAAGAAATTGGATACATCAAGAATAATTTGCGTCTCAATAACTACCCACCTAAGTTGATAAATAAATTCAGAGGAAATCGAAAGCAGAAGATCAGCGGTAGTAGTAGTAGTGACACAGGTGTTATCAATAATAACTCTACTACTAATGGTAATAATGGTAACGTGGTTGGAAGGGAATTCAAAGCCTCCGTTGTGATACCGTACAAAGAAGGTACTTTATAAGCACTATTAAGAATTCTCAATAAGGCTGGGATTAAAATGGCATTTAATCCCACAAACTCGCTTACAAACAAGCTTGGTAGGTTAAAAGATCCTATCGATATAATTAGGCAAAATAATCCGGTTTACCAAATCCTTTGCAATGACTGCCAAGTCAAATACATAGATCAAAGTAGTCGATAAGGGTCGATTAGAATAACAGAGTGCAAAAACTTAGCTAAATCAAGATTGGTGGATCCTAATAAGATAAGAAATCTAGAGAAAAGCTCGGTTATAGCTCTGCACACGATTACACAAAGTCACACAGTAGGGTGGGATAGGGTGACAGTGTTGAAAACTTAGTTGGGTTGAGGGAGAGACTGATAACCGAATCTTTATCTATTGAATCAACACCAAATACATGAAGTATTAGAAATGATTCTGCACCTGTCCCAGATATATGGAAGATTCTACTACCCTTGTCATCACAGAGAAGGAGAGAAAATTAGGAATATATAAATTCTGTCTCGAAGTTGTGGAATTATCTGATATGAATATGGACAATAAAGTGTGTCAGAAATGTTATTGAGCAAATGATACTGTTTCACTGGGTGACAATTCTAATAAACAGACTAAAATGGAATTACAATCGACCACAGTACCCGAGTTTTACTTCTACACAAAATAATGTCATGTTGGTTTCGCACTTAACTCTTACGTAATGGATTTTCTTGTACTATTTCCTCATTCTTTTTGGACCGTGACTTTTTTAAAATGACTCTTTGTTCACCACATTTACAGTAAAAATCTGGACTAGGCAGCAAGTGGACAGCACACTTAAAATTGGCGTTCAGGAGCTTGATTCACATATAAATACATGTATATATTAGTCAAAATATATGTTTAAGAAGTCCACACTTCTTCCATTAGTACTAAACCAATGATTTTTCAATGACAAGTTCTCTCTGAATGCATCTTTGAAAATTATAGTGCTGACAGTCGCCAAAAAATTGAGGGTATTTAGTAGCATTGAAAAGCTTCAGGCCACTAGATGAGTTGGCCGTTAAGTAGAGCTTAGTCGATTCATGCAACAGAGAGACTTTAAGGATGAATGTAATACTATTTTTCATTTCAACTTGCAGTTTCATTATTTCTCTATGTCGTTGTAGTGTTCTGACTGAATTCACGTAACCAAAGTTGTAAACAGCTGAGGAACACCGTCGAAATAAAAAATGAATCCAGTAATTATTTATGCTCCTATGAAGTTGATAAAGGGAAATATGTATTTGAAATTGCTAGAATGTGTTATCGTATGTTACAGAGAGTCTATTTCTAACTAGAAGGAACTAAATAAAGCATGTAGTAAGCCATAGGGTGCAGATGATGAATCATAATGATAAACCGAAACGTCTTTAGTGACACCCCTCCACGTGCATAAAGTTGCAATCTAGTCTGAAGTATAACTGGCAGCATATCCTGGACCTAGATTCATTTTGTCTAGTCCTGAGTGCTGACTAGTGCTAATAAGCATGAGGCCTAGGTCCAGGGTTTCCTTCGTTACCATCATCCAACCAACATTTATCAAAGTGTACCAGGATTTTCAGTCTCCTAGCTTGATGGCCCTATTGCAAAATATGATCGATAGAATTCAGCCAGCACTTAGGACTAGACCAAATGAAATTGTTTGCTCTCCAGTGGCCAATCAATGTACTTCTACAGTATGATAGCAATTTACAATACTTTTCACAAGACATTGGTATTCTTCTGTTTATGAACGCGTACCGACTAGAATCTTACTGTGACTTATGTGTTTGTCAAGTCCATCACCATGATCATCTTTGGATATTTATGAATCTGGATATCAGTTCGTCACTGAATTCTACCACAGTCCACATGAAAATCTGCGCCAAAGAATCATGGTTACAATATTTTCTGGTACGATTTATACTACTTATTAGTAGCCTCAAAAAGTAAGACATAAATTTTCAACTTCCATGGAGTTATGGGATGTGACGAGTTTCATAAGGTGAATTTCGGTGCAGACAACAAAAAAAAATTTCTGGGTAAGCAGTATTCATCTATGGTCATGTAAGGCGTATATAAGCAAATGAAAAGGGAGAATCATGACAGTCACAGATGTCAAACATGTGCAACAGACTGCAGAAGGAAGTGTTATATTCGTACAAAACCCAATAACAGTCATTGAAAATGTTGATGTAGAGTAATGAAAAGACAAGATAATTCCTGGTGAAATGAAGATTAACTAAGGTAATAAGATCTAAAATGATAATTTACCAGTAAGCCAATCAGAATTTCCTAATGCTTTCTCCGTTTCAATTAGATCAGCTTGAAGACGATTCATAGCCCATTCTGCTGTCTCGTTGAATGCAATTAAACCTTCAGCCAACTGTAATGCTGATGCTGTGGCAGTAGCTCGAGCTAATTCAGCTACTGCTTGTGATAAAAGCACTCGACTGCGTCTTGATGCTGCCAAGCTTGATATGGAATCTAATCGCTAAATAAAAAAATGTAAAAAACAAGCATTGTCAACAAAATAGGGTGGAAAATTCAAAAGTCAACAGTGAATAATCAATAGCTTTTTTCACTGAATTTGCACTCTCATTGTATAGAATTCATCATTCATTTTCAAAATCTTTAATTTAATAAAGAAACCGGTATGGCTGAAAGCAGGATTTTATGAGTTGATAAATATTGAGAAAATTTTCAGTTACATGAGAGACATTTTTACAATTATTTGATTTTTTTTCTAGTATGTTGACTTTAGTGAAGTGTTCAAACGACATGATGAAGTGAAGTCAGGTGAAGTTACATCAGAAGTATGGTACCTCTAGTTTGTATATCATTACTTCTCATTCTAACCTCAGGGTATCGATCTAAAAGCCATTGACTGCAAATGAGTTAATTTCTAGTCCAACTATTTATTTTATACCGAACTGCATAACTTTCCAGACTACTGTCAACCAATAAGCTGATTTTATTATTTCTTTCGATAAAAAGCACCTTACATTCTTAATGAAGATAATTAGAGGAATTTTCACCAAAGGGAATAACAAGGTTCAACAGCATGAAATATGACTATTTCGTCCATGAAATACAGAGCTGCACAAAAAGTCATACTGTAAGGTAGTAAACTTTAGTATGCACTACTCTATTTTGAGTTAGTATTCATTCAATAGATATTATAGGAACCTTGTAATGATATTCATTTAAAGACATTGCTTTACTGGATACTTTTCATAGCTAACTATGAATATCATTCATATATATTAACAATTTGAAAAAATTAATTGTTGAAGGCAGTATAATTTTAAACGAATATAAGAAAGATGAATCGGTCAACCATAATAATACCAAGAATGGGCTTACTTTATTCATTTGTTCAAACATAACTTCAACACCATGATCACAGATATCACGTAATTGTTTAACTTCTGTCTGTTGTCTGATTAATTCATTTCTTAAATGAATATCCATAGCATCTTGTAATAATTTTTGTCTTGTTAAACTTGTACTCATCAGTTGACCAGACTGATCATTTAAACTATTCCATTCAGGTAGATTGCTCAATTTATTAGCATATTCACTGAGATTTTCAAATAGAAAGTGTTAATAAACATTAGTAAATAATGAGTGTTAAAAAAAAATTATTCATAGATTATTCACTCATCAGTATACAAAGAATAAGTTGGGCTATATCTGTGTGTATATATCAGTTTTCTTGCATCTGTGAGACAAAGTAAATTGGCCGTACCATACGCCAGCATATGCGACCCGCACGGAAACACTACCCGAAATTGATTGACAAGGAGAGAATGGAAATGCCTCTTCAGCTGTGTAACAGAACACCTACCAAACTCAGGACATTTGTCTCTTTTGATAAATCATTCAACGTTTTATACAAAGTGAGACCAAGCCACTCGAAAGGAGTTGAATTAAGGTATCTGGGTGATTTTAAAAGTTTAAACCATCATTATGCATTCAAAAGAAGTATGTACAATCTCTTCTTTTTTGTCATGGTCATTGTGGAGTATAGATCACTCTAAATAATTCCTATATGACGTAACTATCTTCTAATTTTGTAATCATCCTTCTATTCCTTTGATTTCGTCGAAAAGAAATCTTTTTCTTAACAGCAGTCGCTTTCTGTTTTTTTCATAAATTGTAGTTATTATGATAAAATGCATAAAGAAAACTAAAAATAAAGGGTTTCATATTACTCAAATATGTCAGTAGTTTATTTTGTACTCTTCCGCAAAGCATGTAAGAGGTTACTGTATAGTAGTTGGTTAGAGGTAAAATGCCATCTGGATATAGGTTCAATGGTTGTTGGCACTCATCAGCATAGCGTATCTATAACCTTAAGTGAACTGATGTCCTTCTCAGGGATTCGAATCCCTATCAGCCGATGCTGCAGCCAGAAAAAGTGTCAATGAGCCGCTTTTACTATGACTGATGAGTTTTCTAGATTGATAACCAGATTAGAAAATGGTCAATAGAATTTAATCAGTACTTAAGATCAGACAACAGGAACTCGGTTACTTCTCAGAGACAAGTCAGTGTAAAAAGTGGCTATATTTCAGCCTTCGTTCATGATTATTTCATTTTAGAGTGGCTTAAATATGTATCGTAAATACCAAGTGAAAATTATTGTCTTAGAGTTGATGCTTAACAGAGTAGTTGAACGCGCTTAATACTCGTCTCTCTTAAGAAATCGTTGTGTGTGTTGAGTGTGTTGAGTGCTGATTCGCTGAACAAAGATAATGACACAACATCTATAGCGAAGATGCGGAAACATTTACTACCACCCTAAAACTTAGAATACAAGGTGGTAGGATTTTGAAAGCTGTGTGATTACATCGATATGATTATGAGCAATAACTTATGCTCGAATGGTCATAAAGTAAATAATACTGTATCACTGTGTGCTGTATATAAGATGAATATATCGAATGTGGAATTACGTTCTACGACAATGCTCAAGTTTCACACCTGTACTAAGTCGTCGTAACCTTGTCAAAATAGGAACTGACAGAATCTCCATAAAAAGAAAAAAAACATTCTATTTATATTTGTCAAATCACTTCACCTACAGCTGGAGAAAGACACATAGATTCCCTTGAAGACTTTAGTATTACGTTGTCATTTGTTTTGTCCCTTTGCAGCATCGTTGTTGAGCGTAAGCAGTGAGACATCTAATACCCGCTAAGTATCATTCACTTATGATGTGACTGTTGCTACTATAACATCAAGAACCAACGAATTCCCTTGTAAGTCACATATATCATTACTGAAAATAGCTGTTAAGTTTTCATGTGTAATATTTCCTAATATGCATCAAATGATAGACGTCTCATATTCTCATGAATTTCCCCACCGACGGACAAAACGAATATTAACAGTCCTTTGTGTGACCATATATGTGTGACCGACTCTTTAGACCACCTCGAACAAGTAGTGAAACAATCGACTACGTTTCAACAGTTCATAAAAGTCGCAACTGTAGCAGAAATAAACAAACCTAATTGGTAATTTCAGTCGTACCGAGGCTGACTTTTAGAGTCACTCTATTTTCTTCATAATAAAAAGAAATCTTATTACTTGTGAGTGATCTTCAGAGTAGCCTGCAGGTTTGATGAATGCGACTGGAATTTATAAACCTTGGAACATACTATAACTATATTGGGAAGTAGTCCAGGAAAACAGATTCCTTCCATTTCTACATTCTGCTTGATTTCATACATATATATGTAAAAATATAACTTAATTTCTCAGCCAAATCGCCTAAGAAAAGTTTCCGGAAGGAAATTAATAAATCAAACCTCTTACCAAGTCATATAGCGGATAATAATGGCTAGAGCTGTCAACGTCACTCCGAATGTATATGTTGATTTCAAGCATAAATAACCCATAAGTAGAAATACACGAAACCAACGTGATATACAACTGTTGTAACGATGACGAATTGGATTCGAAACCAAAGCTACACGGTCACCATCCAGATTTGATTTATTTTCAAAAGGACTCAATTTTACCCAGGCCATAGTAGGATCTTTTGGAAGTTGAAAAACATTCACGTCTACAGATTACATTACATTACAGTAATAAAAGAATATAACTGTAAAAACAAATCTGGTGGAAAGTCATTGCTATCGTTAGACAACACAAGTCATTTTAAACATGAGCGGGAAAGTGTTTTCGTAAGTTACTGGACAAGTTGGTGTGTGTTATCTAGGAGTGATCGTTGTATACTTTCCGTCTGAAAAGCAGACTGAATAGGTGATGAAAGGTGTTTCGGCTAAGCATCATCACTGCAATTCTTTTGAAGTGAAAACTGTAGATGCTTCATGTAGATCTATGTGTGACATAGTAACTGCATTTTGCTACAAATGATTCATCGCAGATGACGTCGAGATTGTTACAAAGAGTTTTACATATACAACTCAAGGTTAAAATTAATCAAGTTATCCAATTATCGACAATCCAAGCTGGAAATGTTCACCACTCTATAAAATGTTGTTATCAACATAAAAATGAATCTTTTGAGGGTACGTCTGAGGGAAAATTGGATGGATACAGCCTAAGTAATTATACTGAATAAAGACCGGTTTTAAAAGAAGTCTATCATAAAGGATGGAAAAAGGTCATCACTGGTAAAGACACATGTGACCATCTTTTTCTTAGTCTAAGTTACACTCTAAAACAGTGCTCAAGTTCTTTACTTGTAATCTTGCTTATACGTCCACTGGCCGCAAGTCGAATAAAATGGAAGATGAGTTCTACTGAAACATGTTTAGCCCCCTACTGAAAGTCAAACGCTCAGACGCAGTTGTCGTAACAGAGGATTGCAGTACTCTATTGTGTAGACTGCCAGACAGAAAGACACCTAGGTTACATGATCACTGTAAAAAAAGCGCCTAGGAACGTAAACGACTCTCATAAAGTGGCTAGAAAGTGACAATAGATCACAACAGCTTCGTTCAGATTAGTGAACATAAATGAATATAGACTTTGAGCTAAATTAACAAGAGAAGCGCTCAAATGTAGACTGACGAGGAGTCTATGCAATGACCACGAGAAGTACGGGGTAACGGAGATAAAAGAGATGGAAAAAAGTACTACAAATAGGTAATGCTAGACAGATATTTAGACTTATAAAGGAAACTGGGGTAAAAAAGGTCAGTGGTTGGTGAAACTATGACAGAGAAGGATTGGTCTGTGATTTCCTTACAAGCCAGACGATTAGGAAGATGAGCGAAACACTTCAACTAGCCTTTAGCTACTCTTTCGTTACCCACTGTCCAGTCAGATGTTGGATGGAATATTGAGATAGGATCTCCAACTCTTACGGAAGTCAAGAAAGCTTTAATTAACCTGAAGCGAGGTTGGAACAGACTAGTACAGGATGTACTTATGGAATGAGTTTCATGAAGATAAGTACAATTTTTTTATCGTACTATCGATAGACTGAATCAAAGTGACGATTAGTGTTTTGACAGGGGTCGATCTAGTATTTTTTCCGGAAGTTCCTTCTCATTCAGTTACAGGTCACATTCCTGCAGTCAGGTCGTACATTCAATCTGATTCTTAATACTCAAGTGTTTCATATTAGAACTCTACCCACAGATCACCATATTGTTTCAACAATGATGGAGTTCATAAGCACTAAAAACTTAGTAAATACTTGAAACATCCAATGTTCTGTCAATATAAATCGAGCGTGTTAACTTAAAGAAATCTTAAAGTATCCTAATGGTTTTCATCTAACAAATGGACTTTGGAATAGATTCGTTAGGAACAACTAATCAACGTGTCTAATCCATTTCTATTTCATTATTAACCAGAATGAGAGATCGTATTTGATATAACGATGAATCAGATTTACTCTAAGATATTACTTCGATTTTACTTGGAACTTGTAAGTTAGGTTCATTTTATTAATCATGTGATTCAGTGGTATTCCAAGGGAAACTTCATTCGAAAACTCGGTACATCAAATACCACAGAATTATACACCATAGTGACGACTTATGAAGGTCAACTCTTACTCATTTAATTTGGATATTTGTGAGGATTGGTTGATCTCATGGTAGTAGTCATCACGAACTGATATAAGTTGGAGAACTCTTGGAAACCTGGGAGCATTGGACACCTGCTTCATTATAGTGCACGTCTTCTCGGCAGTGCATACTCATTATCCCGATGAGTGGCTGGCATGACCATCACGTGGTCTGACAGTTCGGGATTCGATTCCCAGCGAGGTTGTGGGGTGCACCGCTGAGGAATTTCATGCTAGGACGAAACCGCTGCCCAGTGCTCCCTCTTTTTCAGTGGTTCTCAGGTTGTGATAAATACTAGGCCAAAATTTTACTGACTTATTTATCATTATTGTTTACCATAATACTTGATTTTTGGCCAACAATGCCAAACTGTAACAATAAAATATGAGCATCGAAACAGTTGACGTACCAGGCTCAATTACATATCCTATGAATAATATAATTGAAAGCAGAAGAAGTATACAGACTATTGAGTAAACAAGTGCGGATGATGGACCGAATGTATCTTTGGCTTGTGATGATGATGATAATTGGTCTCTTGCTTGGAATTCATGTTCACTCTTCTGATCATTTGTAGACGAATATGGATAATTTTTAGTATTTCGTCTGGATAATTTGGGATCATTGGAATTGCCAATAAAATGATCATCTTTTTCAGAATTTCTTTCCAATAGACTATCTTGCATTGCCTGTTGACGTGCAGCTAAACTTGGTAGGAGATCAATTAAAGTAGGTCGACCATCACCTAAGGGAATAGAGGTGATTAACAAAATATAAAACAAAATAATATTCAAGTGGGTGTAAAGAATAAGTGTTGGTATTAACAGTAGTGACTTACAGAGCCATGAAGATATTGAGACGTTTCCATCTTAATAACTGAATTACTAATTTAAATATTATTCTCATCAACAGCCCGTTGTCAACTGAAGAAGTAATTGAAATCAAAGTGATATAGACAACTAACCTAACCTGTCTAAACTAAGAACCAAAATCGAAAATGAGTTTTTCAGTCTATGTGTATATGGTGATTGAAACTTAACATAATACTTAATACATTCAATAAACAACAATCATTTCTTTATGTTGTTTGGTGTTGATTAAAAGTACAGAAGTGGTAGAGTTTATTTTGCAGCTTTCTGTGTCAATGTATATCGTACTTTAACTTGATTGGATCTTTTCATTGTACTGACAGGATTTAATAAACAACTGACAGTTTCACATTTGAGACTTCGTGGACCATACGTGATTATAAGCAGTTGCGATTATTGCCTATGATAATAAGACTATTCAAGCTGCGCTGACCTTAATTACCATAGAATCTTCAGTTTGTATGGTTCTAAGCTAAACAGTGACTGCTAAAATGTCATGGGTTTGAAAGATCAAAGTCAGTGCTGACTTTATAATCTCTTTGGATCTATTATAATGATGCTGTGAGGTTTTCAATTTTCCATAGGCTTGTTTTAACCTCCTGCTGGTAAAATGTTTATATCCACGGAAAAAAATGAAGTTTAGGAAAAAAAATAGTGATTTCAAAGTATAATTTCAATCAATAAATACAACAGGATTACGCTGTGTTAAATAAGTTACCATTTATTTTAGTAATACAGTAAGCATAACGAAAATATCAGCTGTAATTTTGGCGTGTGAGGATAGTCTAAAGATAGATTCATTTAGTCTCTGGGTTTATTTTTCAGCAAATCAGACCATTTGTAAAACGAAGGACTATACACAAATTCAAAGATCTACAGACAAAACCAACAAGTTGACAGAAGAGGCAGCAAAAATGGTCTTTCAAATGAATGTTGAGAAGACGAAGATAATGAAGTTATTCGACCAACAACAGTATCGACAACAAGTACCAATCACCATCAACGGGAGAAACCTAAAGGAAGTTGTCTCTTTCACCCACCCACCTACCCACCTACCCACCTACCACCCCACACCTACCTACCTACCTACCTAGGCAGCATCGCCTCAACTACAGGCGGTGGCACAGGCACACATGACGATATCAAAACCAGGATCGGAAACACAGCAAGACAGGCCTTCATTAATCTGAAATCAGTGTGGAGATCTACTGCACTGCACTCAGCATAAAGCGTGAACAACATCCCGATTCTCATTACCACTGTTAAGTCACTGCTTCCATGTGCTGGTTCGGAAACTTGGAGCGTCACGAAAAGCATTTCCAACAAACTACAGACATACATCACATCAACAGCTGCCACCTACGCTCACTCGATACTGAAGATGGAGATCAGATGGCCAGAATAATAAGAATAAGCAACAAGGAACTCTGGCTGGCTGGCAACGAACCAACCAAGAAGCTATCGCCCAACAAATATGCAGAAGAAAGTGGAGATGGATTGGACATACACTGAGAAAAACATTCGGAGACATCAGGCTCCAGGCCAGACCGTCGAGTGGAATCTATAGGGGAAACGACGAGTTGGGCGTCCCAGCTGAGAGTGATATGGAGGAGATCATGTGAGGAATAAATGACAGCTTGTGGGCAGTGGTGAAGCCAGGTTGAAAAGATTACAGAGAAGAGAATGGAATGGTGACGTGCTACTGAAGCCGTATGTTCCAATAGGAACCCAAGGGAAAAATAATAAAATACACACTGGATTTGTGTTCATCACTAAAACACTTTTTTGAGATTTGTGGGGACTCATTGTTGTTGCTTAGAAACTTCTCAAAGAAAGTTTTATGCTAATCGTATATTTTTTAAAATACTACAATCGTAGTTGTAGACTGGGGTTTCTTTTATACTGGAGACGAACAAATCTAATGAAATGTGTGTGCCATGTGTAATTTAATTTTGAGGACGGATTAACACAGAACAGTAGCGCCAAGCCCACCTACCGATATCCGGAAAAGAGTAGTTATAAACCTCAAGTCAGCGGTTCGTTTCTTTCAATCTAAGTGCCTAGAAAAAGATTCTACGCACTAAGTCTTACTAAGTAAACTCAGTCTAGCATTCTACTGTATTCAACCCAATTTATCTGTAGGAGCATTATATCTGATACTGAGATTCAGTGATTCCATCTAGTTAATTGAACATAATTGATAGTAAATTAATAATTCTTCGGTTAGCCATTCTAGGTCTAAAGTGGTCAGTCACCAGAATCACTGATTAGTATGAAATTGTACAATCTTATTTTAAAGATCTGTTAACAACGTGTCACCGTGATGGAGCTCATAGTGGAACTCAGTACCTGTAGACGTTTCGATGAAACTATCTGTTTCATAACAAACAAGTCTGATTCTACCTTATGTAAGTTTTTCAGCATACTTGAACATAGATATCATAAATAATAGCTTAGAAACAAGTATGAAGTCTTTGCAAATTGAGGTTGATCTCTTGAATCCTTGCAATAGTCTATATACACATATATAACTTGGGAATGGAATAACTGTCCAATATTTCTTCTTTTTTCAAATCAAGTAAAATTATACTTTCTTGAGATATCCAGTCCAGTTAAATTAAGTATTCTTATGGACTGGTAAAACACAACTATTATGAAGCAAATTAAAACGACATCCTGTAATTTTTTGTTGTTATGCCGAATCAAATTGATCCACGTGTGTTGGTATATGAGCTCCTACAGAAATGCCTTGATTATACTTGACTGTTTATTTTATTGTAATCAAATAGGTGGTAGCTAGAAGTGGAATCTAGAACGCAGGTTTCTTCCCATTAAGAACTCATCAACTGGAAATACCTAAACACGAGAGATAAATTTGGCGCCTCAGTGGCCTGGTAGATAACGACCCGGGGTTTAAAGCAATATCTATTGGGTTTGTATCTCAGCGTGAATAACATCAATCACTGGAGTGCAGGTACATCCAGATGACGAGTCCCGACTGGGAAAAAACGGGCATTCTAGATCCCACTGCTAGTGACTATCAAGCTTATTGGAACAATTTCCCTTCAAATGACTCAAGTGCATGGGAAACTTTAAGTTCAACGCAGTGGACAGACCCGTATATATATATATATATATATATATATATATATATATATATGCGCGCGATCCGATTCTGTTTGACATACTTGCACCAGTGTAGTGCAAATAAATCCCAAGAACTGGTAAGAAAAGGACATGAAGACAAAGATGTGAGTAGTTGTGAAAAAGTTGAGAAGAAGGAAGATATGTTAATCAGAGGAATACAAAAATATGTAATAAGGCTTTCAAGGTTCGCACTCCTGTGACACATTTAAAGCCATTTCACGTATAAGTCTCCGACCAACAACTGCAGATGTCATGTGAATCCTACTCAAGGAGCTAACAGATACATGGACGGCTCACACTTTAAACTGTTGCTGGTCACTGAGTTAGGCAGTGGCTCCTTGTGGATTGATTGAGTGCTACGACCGAATCATAATCTTTCTACATGGAACATGTTTCTATGATTCTCTCTTAGGCATTAAAGGATGACATAGAACGCAAAGTAGTCATTCAATATAGGAATATTAAATTACCATCAGATAACTGTCCATAGATTCTGCGTAGTGCCATTTCCTCTGGAGGTTGAACAGCTCGTTTGACTCGAATATCTAAACGATTGCTGGCATCCAAAATAACAAGACGAAAAGCTTTCTCATAATCAGGTTCAATAGTAGGACCAGGGATAAGAATACGAACCTAAAGGTAAGTAATAGGTATAATATTACGTACACCAAGAAATTCAAGTGAAATAAACATTCATGTATGTTCCATTTGTAAAATGCATTTCACCATGGTAAAGATAAATAATTGACCATAAGATGATCAGAAAGTAAGACTTAAGTATATTATGATTGTAGATAAGTAATCGACAGTTTTATCCACAAGCCAGTTGAGATTTGCGAGCCCGATGACATTTGCTATTTATCCGTTAATGACGTGGCTACTCAGAATAGAAGACACGTAAAATATACTAACAAAACATCTCAGCATCATCGTAGATAATCACCAGTATCGTAGAAATAAGACGCGAATTGATAACTTTGAACATTTTTCTTTTCTGAGCTCACCAATGTACACAAATTATTCAAACTCCTCTGAGTTTTGTGAGTTGAATACAACCTTTACAGATAAATTTCAAGAAATTATAAGTCATGTCTACTTAGTCTAAAATATAACCTGGAAAACACCTAATTCATGGACCACTTATTATTATTATTATTATTATTATTATTATTATTTTTCCCTTGGGTTCCTATTGGAACATACGGCTTCAGTAGCACGTCACCATTCCATTCTCTTCTCTGTAATCTTTTCAACCTGGCTTCACCACTGCCCACAAGCTGTCATTTATTCCTCACATGATCTCCTCCATATCACTCTCAGCTGGGACGCCCAACTCGTCGTTTCCCCTATAGATTCCACTCGACGGTCTGGCCTGGAGCCTGATGTCTCCGAATGTTTTTCTCAGTGTATGTCCAATCCATCTCCACTTTCTTCTGCATATTTGTTGGGCGATAGCTTCTTGGTTGGTTCGTTGCCAGCCATCCATCCATCCATCCATCCAGCCAGCCAGCCAGCCAGAGTTCCTTGTTGCTTATTCTTATTATTCTGGCCATCTGATCTCCATCTTCAGTATCGAGTGAGCGTAGGTGGCAGCTGTTGATGTGATGTATGTCTGTAGTTTGTTGGAAATGCTTTTCGTGACGCTCCAAGTTTCCGAACCAGCACATGGAAGCAGTGACTTAACAGTGGTAATGAGAATCGGGATGTTGTTCACGCTTTATGCTGAGTGCAGTGCAGTAGATCTCCACACTGATTTCAGATTAATGAAGGCCTGTCTTGCTGTGTTTCCGATCCTGGTTTTGATATCGTCATGTGTGCCTGTGCCACCGCCTGTAGTTGAGGCGATGCTGCCTAGGTAGGTAGGTAGGTAGGTGTGGGGTGGTAGGTGGGTAGGTGGGTAGGTGGGTGGGTGAAAGAGACAACTTCCTTTAGGTTTCTCCCGTTGATGGTGATTGGTACTTGTTGTCGATACTGTTGTTGGTCGAATAACTTCATTATCTTCGTCTTCTCAACATTCATTTGAAAGACCATTTTTGCTGCCTCTTCTGTCAACTTGTTGGTTTTGTCTGTAGATCTTCTAGTTTGTGCGACATTTATCATAAATCATCGGCAAAATTCAAATTTTCTAGGATGTTTTCCCCGGTACAATCAGCGTATCCCTCTTCTCGCTCCCCACGGTTTACTGCATGATTCAGTCCACCACAATGATGAAGATGATCGGTGACAGTAGACAGACTTGTCTTACTCCTTCCTGTCTTCACTTCAAAGGCATCACTGAGCTTCCCATTGTGAATTACTTGGCATGTGGCGTCTTCATATAGTTGCTGAATGAGATTGATAAAGGTTTGTGTCACTAAAACCGTAGTGTTGAAGCAACTGCCAAATTGCTTCTCGGTCGACGCTGTCGAAGGTCGGCCTTTTCAAAGTGGATGAAGTTGAGGCAGAGAGTTGACTGGCATTCTGTACTCTGTTCTATCATAAGCGAAGTGTAGCGTTGCAATTTGATCCGCACATGATTCATGGTTCCTGAATCCCGCCTGTTCCGGTCGCAATTTTGAATGCAGAGCAAATTTTAGTCTCTCCAGGATGATGCGGCTTAATATTTTGCTTGGGGTGGTCAGGAGCGTGATTCTGCGTCAGTTCTTGCAAAGACTTTGGTCTCTCTTCTTTGGAAGTTTGACAAGGTAGCCCTTCTTCCATTCTGCAGGTACCTTTCCTTTCTTCCAAACCTTCGGCAAAAGTGGTGTGAGCGTGTCCGCTGTTGTCTCTGCGTCTGTTTTCAGTTCTTCTGTCGGAATTGCATCTGGCACCGCTACTTTCCCGGACTTCACTTCTGCTTTTGTCGGAGGGCATGTGTTCACTGGTAGTTCTGCCGTTGCTTGTGGTATTTCTCGAGTAGTTTCAGGTGGTTGTGGTGGTCGGTTCAAGAGTTTTTTAAAGTGATCAGCTTATCGATTCCTTTGTTTCCCATCTTTGGTAACTAAGTTTCCTTCGCTATCTTTTGTTGGTCTCGTCTGAATCAATCTCTTCCCGGATAGTAATCTTGTTATTTGACGTAATGTTGTCAGGTCCCTCCTACCTTCAGCCTGTTCTGCTTCACTAGCCAGTGTGTCGTGGAAGTGTCTTCTCTCTTTGCGCGCACTCTTCTACACTTCTTTGTCCAGTGTTTTATACGTTGTACTCAGTTCGTCTTTCGGTCGTGCAACCTTGCACTGGTTCATCTTCTGCTTCACCATCTTCTTCTCCCTACTGTATTAGCTTCCATGTGTCCGTCACGATCCACCCCTTGTGTTGCATCTTCTTCTTCCTTTTTAATACGGTTATGTAGGTTTCAAGTCAAATTAGAAATTTTATATGCCTTGTTCACTTATACTTCCACACGTTGAGGATTTCAAATTCAAGAATATTTTGAGAATGTCAAATAGAAATTGGTGTAACTGTAGGCAGAATTTAAGAACTAAATAGTCTACAAAATTAAATAGGGTTAATTCCTTGAATAAGATAACCAACTACCTGAAATTTGCGTTCTTCAAAAACTCCAACATCATAATCTAATAACGGTTCATCTTCTGGTTCTTTTTCGTTCAAATCAAGTCCAGAAGTTAAACTATCAACCTCATCATCATCTTCAATTTCAACAATAGCATCAGCAGATGACGTAAGTACATGATTGGTTTTATGAAGCTGTGATAAGTATTCTGAACGACCATCTTTTATTCCATCATTACTGTTAGTATAATTTCGTTCAATGTTGCCATCATTGTCTAAATTATCTGGATACACAAGAAGGCGAAATAGACCAGGGAACTGATCCACTTGTCCAGTAAGATCGATCACCCAAAATCTGTGTTTCTTTATTGGTGCTGTAGTCAATGTCACTGATGATGATGGGTCGGAATTTCTCGATTTTACATTTGGTTTTTGGTGATCTACAAGAATATCACCGTTTTTAATTTCACCGTCCGTTAACCATGCCAGAGCTAGACTAGCTCTTAAATAATGTCCGCGTTCCACAGAAGCTGGATAAAAGACTGCACCAAGCAGGGACGTTGTTTTAGGCAAACTAAAACTCAGCTAAAGATTTAAAAAATTAGAAACGGAGACGATTTGGTCAAAGTTGGATTTAGCGTAAATTCAAGAATCAAAAAATGTCTTGGGTTTTATTCAGGTGATACATCTCGTCATGAATACAAACAAAGTCAATAAACAAATCCTCACATATTGATTTATTATCTAGTACCCACTACTGAAATACTTTGAGATGAGATTCCCGAGAAATCAAGACCAGTGTGATCAATCAAGTTGAACCTGAGGATGGTTATTAAGTGTTATCATTGGATGGAGGTCACACTATATCGTGAAGTGACAGAAGTACGAAATGTGGACCATTTAATTCCAACACAGCGTATGAATTGTAATGCGCTGGCTGTAGAACTTGAAGCTCCTCTGTTCGATACCTGGCACAGTCATGGTTAAGTACTGTTAAAGAGTCCCATGCAAGAACGAACCACCTGTCTAAAAGTCCCAGGTTTTCAGTGGTTCTTCAGATGATGTAAGTTCTTGATTAATGTCAACTTTAAATCCCTTCATACTTAAAAATATAGACTTGTCGCATATGCAACAGCAAGAATATAACATTAAAAATATGAAACACGTAGAATAAAGTACAACAAAAATAACCAGAAGGAAAATTTTAACATAAAGGTGAATACGACCCTTCGTTTTGATATTAGCTACTTCGAATAAAGGGTGAAAGAGAGGAGTACAAATAAACGGTCATTAATTTAAATACACATTTGTGAATGACTATGGTTTTGGTTACTAAATTGAAGCAACTAATAAACAGTACGCAAAACTTCTTAGTACGTTGATAGATTCTCATTCAATATAGTAATTCTTCATACCATACTATATCATACCATTTTGGTATATTCATTAGAAATATCATACAGTGAAGGGACAGTATCATTTGCTCAATAACGTTTCGGATACACTTTATTGTCTACATTCATATCAGGTAACTCCACAACCTCAAGACAGAATTTATATATTCCTAATTTTCTCTCCTTCCCTGTAATGACAAGGGTAGTAGAATCTTCCATATATCTCGGTCAAGTGCAGAATCATTTCAGATTATCTAGTTTACCAAATCCCTTTCAATGATTGCGAGGTCATATACATAGATCAAAGAAGTCGATAAGGGTCGATTAGAATAACAGAGTGCAAAAACTTAGCTAAATCAAGATTAGAAAAAAACTCGGTTACAGCTCTGCGCACTATAACACAATCACACAGTAGGGTCAGATAGAGTCACAGTGTTGAAAACTAACTTAATTGGGTGAAGGGAGTGATTGATAACCGAATCATTGTTTATCGAATCAACACCAAATACATGAAGTATTAGAAATGTTTCTGCACCCGTCCCATATATACAGAAGATTCTACTACCCTTGTCATCACAGAGAAGGAGAGAAAATTAGGACTAAATAAACTCTGTCTCTAGGTTGTGAAGTTACCTAATATGAATATTGACAATAAAGTGTGTCCGAAACGTTATTGAGTAAATGATACTGTTTCACTGTGTGATATTTCCAACAAACAGACCAAAAAGACCCGATCACTTCTTTATCTCTTATAGTCGCTGAACAAAAGTAAAGAAAATGTTGCAAAAACGAATTCTAAAACTATGAATACCACCAAATAACTATGGAATATTTGTTCAATAAATATGATGCATCCAGAAATCCACGCATTAGTAACACTAGTACGTGTACGCAATCTAGTCCTACAGGAGTCAGTCATGATTTGTGTAGGTCTCTGAATTTAGCACTCAGTGACACAGGTTCAAATCACCATATGAACACTAGTTTTCCTACATATGGGAATATGCCTTGATGAGGAGTACCAACAAGTAATAAACCAGAGCTTCTTCTAGACTAGCCCTCAACACCTGAAAAGTAATTTCATCATTATTTATTTTGTTTTCCAGGTAAGTGGTTAAATGCTTCACAAAGTAGTGCATCGTTAAACTAAATATTCTAGATATGGTTCCAGTAAAGTCTGTTTTATTTATTCTTTTATGAATGATATAAAAGTGTTACAGGAGTAGAGTAAGCCAGTCAATATATTTTTAATGGGGTGACTTAATAAGAAGTCTGAAATGTGGACCACTGAACTTCGACCCAATGGCTCAGTAGTAACTTACTGGCAGTGAAGCCTGAAGGCCGCGCGCTCTATCCCTGGTGGGGTCCTGGATGCGCAGGGCTGAGGAGTCCCATACTAGGACGAAACAGTTGTCCAGTGATCCCACGTTCCCAATGTCCCTCCAACTGATGTCAGTCCATGATGAACACCAACTTAATGAGAAAAGCCGCCTTCTTAGAGGAAATAGAGAAAGCTTAATGGTTATTTCACTGGTTGCTGAAATAATCTATAGAGTGAATCTTCGCATACAACATTTCCTCAGTAGTTAGTTAGTGTCACCCCAAGAACTAATGGAAGAATAAACATATTTTCGCTTTTACGAGCTGAGCACCCTTTAAAATAATGATAGCAATAATTATAAAGATATCTAATCGACACAGGAAGAAAACTTACCTTTGGCCTAATTCTTGAATGTGACACAGCGTACAGATAACTGCCTAGGTATTCAACCTGCGTTTTGTGCGAAACAAATAAGATAAGTTAGTTAGTGACAAATGGAAAGGTAAAAAGAGGTTGACAGAACAGGTTAAAAAGACGGAATTATGCATTTACCACCGCTGTGCATGTTCGGCACTCACCCAATATAGCATTTAAGAGATAGGCATAACGTCTACTTCCCTTTTTCAAATAAATGATGTTGTCCATCAGAATGAAATTCACCAACCAACTGAACTTTTTTCTAGTAGGTAAAGAAATTACAGCTATTTTGCAAGCAGGTTTCAAACCTATAACCCATTGGTTGGAAGTTGAATGTCTAAGTCAGTGGGTCACAGCACTACTAAACTGGTAAATAAGATGGGTACTTTGTAATGCGGATACACAGGATGTTATACACATCCCAAAAAGTGAAAGATACACAAAATAGTATCAGCATTAGGATGTCTAGTGAACGGTGTACATTAGTGCTTTGTAAAATGTTCTGTGGTTTCAGTATTAAAATAAAGATTTCGGTGGGAAGATTCTGTTTGGGCCGATTTCACTTCATAGCTAAACAATCATATTTATATCCACGTCAAGGTAGATACTAGTAAGCTTGTGTCTGCATGAATATTACATTTTTATGATGAGTGGAACTGCGCAGTGAATTATTATTGGAGAGAATTCCAATGAAACAGTTTCTTTTCGCACTGGTAACCACTTCCGAAGGTGACTGTCTCCTGCTAGCCAACCCGTAAGTTCACAGGTGATAAGGAGTTATTACTATTCTCTCGATATCCAGTTGTTGCAAACTAGATGTGAACTCTTCACTCTCGAATCGCGGGTCATGATCCATTAACATCTTCTTCGGTAACCCGTAGTTTGCAACAATCTGTCGAATAACTGCATTCATTACCGTGTTGCGCTTTATTCAAGAACTACAACGATGTCCAGCCAACATGTTGCGTGATGTATAATCTTTAGTGGGTAATACATATCTGAAAAATCTACTGGCCACAAGTCACCCGCTGCTGTGACAGGAATTCACTGCAATGATGACCATATTCACCTATCACTTTTCATCACTTGGTACAGTGGACAGGTCAATATATACTTCACAACGTCGTATCGTACTCCTGGGTAATATGCATTTTACAGCAAAAGGCCCGTCATCTTCATAATTCCTGTATATGCCAGATGGTGAAAGTCATGCATCCACTGTCTTACACAATTTGGAATAATGGCTCCCACCATTCTCCTGTCAAGTCAAAGTTCAACACAAATTAACTCTTAGGCTTTCTCGCTATATGAGGAGGGTTTTCATCTTCTAATTTGATTTTGTTTCTACACCATCCATTCTTTTCCTTATCGAATGGATTAATGTTTTAACAGTGGGACCCGACTTTTGACAGGGTACCTTTCCAATTGGGTCTTCTTCCACGGTGCTGACCCCATTTGCTACCTCCAGCAATTCAGCTGTTTCCCTTAGTCTGTAAAAATAATCCCCTGGTATATTCTCATCACCCGGGAAGTGAACAGTTTTAAATCATACTTCTGTAGGCATAAAGTTCATCTTGTTGATTTCTTACGAGGATCATACACTGTCTGTAACCTATTTTGGTCCGCCTCAATGTGAAACTGTTATCCCGGGAGATATGGTCTCCATTTTCCTCATGTCCAAACGATGGCTAAACATTCTTTATCGACTACCGAGTACTTCTGTCCAGAAGTCGTCAGTACAGTGTTAGCATACCTGACCACTTCTTTGATCAATCATCGGACGGCACACATTTTGCAATCACTAGCATCTGTGAAACATCATTCCTCAGTCATCCAACAGCTCATTAGGTTAATTTCCCTTTGAGACCTCTGGATCCAAGCAAACTCCGGGTTTCTCAACAGTGGAGCCGGTATTTCATTGAATATTTCAACGAACTGACTGTAGAAGGCTGTTTTAAAAAATGAAACATCCCGGTTTTCTTGTTTAGTCCAAAACTGAAATGCTTCCGATGGTCAGAATCTTTCAGGCAGTAGGTTTATGTCACTATATTTGACTTTATTGCTCAACAGCATAAAGTCCTTATTGGAAATTTATGACTTCCTCTTGTTGATGTGTACAACATACTCCTCGTTGTGCTTTAAAACGGCTGTCAAATATTCCAGACGGTCTCACTCTAATGGACTATAAACCACAGCGTCATCACCTTACTCTTCTACATTCTTCAAATTATTTAATGGCGTCATTGATCATCTAAGTGTTAACAGTGCCTCTGTGAAACGAAACAGTATTCACTGAGATTAATATTTTTCTGCATCACAATGAAAAATGTTCTCCGCATATCACCTTTTATGGATAACTGCCAGCAGCTCGATGTTAATTCCAATAATCTGAACGGTGTGACTTTGTGGAAACAGTTCAGTGTCTCAGCCACCGTTAACACCATTCATGATTTCAACTCGGTAGTTCTTTTTTGCTATCCAAAGTTCAAACAAAACCTGTACATTCCGTTTGAGCGCTTCACTGAAGATACAGATGAACTGTAATTACTGTCAGGCTCCTTCAGTTATGCCATCGTTTACTATCTCCTGAACCAAGCTTTCTGCTTTCCGTACCAGCAGCGTCTTGAGCTCACTAAATCCATAACCACCTTGTAGTCACTCCATTATCGAATGTTGCGGGACAGTTTCAACGTTGCTATATATACTACTTTTTATAAGTGGTTCACACTAGTGACCGGGCAAAGAAATCAGACTTCACGAACCCTCGAATCGAACAAAAAATATAAGAGCTCAATGGTTAAAAACACAAGATACGTAAGTGACTGGATAGACACAGTGCGGTTTCATATGGAAGTAGCTAAGTGAATATGAGAAGTAGATATTTTGAACATCAGTCAGATCCAAACCAACAACAGGGAACAACAGTGAGGAACTCTGTTGTTCACAAAGATAAAATGTCATAGTGTGACAAAGTATAATGGAGTAAGATCGGGGAAAAAGTGAGTAAGAGCTTGTTTTGTGAGACATTTGGTCGATATGACAAGCTATTTTCAAGTTAGTACCGTTCTGGTTACAAATCGTCCAATTGCCAAAAACACTGCAAACAACTATGTACCTAAAATAGTACCAGCAAATTGCGAGTTTAATAAAATTAAGAACAACAGCCAATATTTGAAGTGCGATTTAATCACCTAGAATTGCCAAGGTTTCACAGATACTCCACTGATAGAAGAGAACTTCAAAACTGTTTAGTAATCTTCGCTAGTAACAGCTTACCCCCTCGACAAATATTCGTCCAAAAGCTGTCTTCCAACAAATTAGGTAATTCAGTAACATAATTCCTGTAAACTGACTTTCCACCAAGATACTGAAAGGAGTGATAATGCATGAAAATTAGAAGGATGAGAAGGATGAGACGTATATTCTACAATTCACAGCATATAACGACTTGAACCTTAATCTACGTATTTATACAGCAGCCCATTTGTCACTATGATCCAATATAAAAAGGGATATTACAAAAACAGCAGAGGCCTTGGCTATCCATAAACTGAAGCCTGACCTTCGTGACCGAAAGAAGTATGTACAATCTTTGTTTCTACCTTGACCTTAACTTATTTTAGTCTTGATGTGCTTCGTTCCTTTTTCGTTTTTCAACCCACCCTTTTTTGTCAAATTAATCTTTGTACTCTTATATCGTCATTATCACTTTATTTTTTATATTTAATTGTTTCCGGTGTTATTTCATTTGATCTTTCTAATAACCCCAATTTTTCGCAAAATATTTTCACTTTATTCTAATTAACTCGTCTCACTCATGTTACCTAATCCTGTGATTGTTTATTAATCTTATCACGTTTTCACCCTTTTGTAATCTATATACATCTTACAAACGATTTAAAAACCCTTTTTATTGTCACCCAGCCTTTACCTCATCAACTAGCAACATTATAATAAGTATAGCCACCATTATTATTATTTCAATCCCCTATTATTTAAGTCAAATCTTCCTCATGGATTACAGTCTTTAAATATCATATTACAAGTATCAATATATAAAGAAATAGAGTTGAAATCGTAATAAAGACAATATGTTAGATATAGGTTGTATTTTTGTATGTCACATCGGGTTTGAAATCGAATAATTACAACTTTTCTCACGGAAGTCTGGTCAGTGCTTATTCAGGACGAAAAAGCTCCTGATGAAGCTCGAACCAGACTTCCGTGCGGAAAGTTGGAATTATTCGATTTCACACCCGCTGTGACTTACACAACTACAATCTATAGCTAATGTCAACCTTTTACTCAGAGCCCAATATTTGCCATACTATACAATCAAATCTTGATCACAGTTTATATAAAAGACAATATACTTCCGAACAACATTCGTATTCCGGAACAACTTACTCAAAACTACTGACTTTGCTAGTCATGTCAGAGAAACGTTATCGACGGAATGCATTTAGCTTGTTTGCAACGTATCTTACTGACTCTATCCTGAGACCAATTAGGTTTTTACAGAAGCCTATTATTTTCTACATCAACTGAAATCTTTATATCAGCATCAGTGATTTCTAGGAACTTATTTTGTTCAGCAGTCAATATTTTAGGTTCATGACGTCTGTATCAGAGATCACAATCTGTGATTTTGTCCCAATAGTTTCCAACACAAACCATATTGAAACCAGAATCGAAAATTCGGGAAAATTAAGCAGTGAACAATATCACTGTGGAGTGTACAGTTTGTAAATAGCTTGCAAACTGATCATACACTCAAATCAAGCAAGTTTAGAACTAATTTTGTTTATTTTTCAAAAAACACAAACTGAATAAGTATGAAAATAAGAACATTATAATGAATTCATAAAACACCGGTAACAAATAATGTACTATTGGTAGTTATCCTACTCACCTTTACTTCACCCATTGCAATATATGGTGGTAATGCAGGTGTGTAAATGTTCAGTTGTTCAATTAATGGTTCAGCTGTAGCACATGGTGCGCCACTTATACGTGCCCATGCAGATGTACTAACTTTTAATGGTTGAGAAGGCCATACCTGCAGGCTAGCAATTTCATTCGACATTCCTGTTGGTGTATATAGCATTGTATTTGAATAGAACCTGTCTGATGGTATAGAAGATGAAGTTGCAGATGAATGTGATGTTAATGGATCAAAAGGAATGTTTGTTCCACTTCCACTTACTAGTGGTATAGTCTAAAAAAATTTGTGTAGTTGATGAAAGAAGAGTACACTTCAACAGACATAATTTTTAGAAAGGGACAAATATTGCACAAACCTACTACTTTTGCAGTGTTACTACGATTATATGACAGCTAATATAGTATAAAACAAATTAATAACATACATGGTTATTTAAGTTGAAATTAAAGGTGGTTAGAGAAAGGATCCGAAATGGCACTCTTCGGATTGTTGGGATATGGTTTTATAGGCTGATTAGAGTGAAGTGGTGACTTTTGGCCGATAGAATAGGAGTCTTAAGATCCCAACGACTATTGTTTGTGTGATACTCACAGACTTGCTATTGAAAGTACTGATACACGAACACACTAAAGCCAGTACACATAAGCCAGAATGATACATGAGAAAAATAAGCGCAAATTAACTTAAGCCAATAGGATATACTACATTGGGATGAAAATATTATGATAACATCGGTATTCATTGGAGTGTTATTCACCACAGACTGACATGAGTTGAAGAACCATTCGAAACCTGGGAGCACTGGACAGCTGTTTCGTCATAGTATGGAATTCCTCAACACTGCCCACCCACGATCCGGCTAGAGAACAAACTCAGGATCTTCAGGTTTCATGGTGAATGCTTTAATCACTCAGCCACTAGATCACAGTCTAGTGGTTCACAGTTTCCAAATCTTATCAATTCGCGATACAGTCTGACTATCGCCCAATGTCTTCAGTTGGCATCTGCTTCTCTTCCAACTGGTTGACGCCACAAGTCACAGCTTCTCATTAGAACTTCAGGATATTCATTTAGAAGCAAGTCACTAATAAAGATTATACCATCAGTTTGTGATGAATGCTACCTTATAAAAAAATTTAAGAAAGAAATTAAAGTCTTTATCCATCTCAAAAACACCTTACTGTACAGTGCTTATTAATGACCTGCTTTCAGATGGATAAAACGAAGTTCTACTGAGAAGCTGTGACCTGTGGCGTCAACCAGTTGGAAGGGAAGTGGATGCCAACTGAAGATACTGGGCGATAGTCAGACTGTATCGCGAATTGACAGGATTTGGAAGTCTTTATGTGGCGACCGTTGATTTTAGAATAAGTAATTCATGGAAAAAGTTCTAATTTTCACACCTAAAATTCCCATTAAGGAAAGTGATGTTCAATATATATATATATATATATATATATATATATATATATATTCATTTGAAATTTTTCCCCATTTTCTCCTAGATCTTAAAGTATAGAATTGTTAGCAAAAACACATCAATAAATTTTATACGTTTAATTTTATAACTCTTATTAAATACATTTTCTCATAATGCATACATACTTGTTTACTCCAAAAATATGCACTCTGCATTGTATCCGTCCCTCCGATTACATCTGGTAAATGTTCTAATCCTGATGTATACTGGATATGTAATAGACCTCTGTAGGTTTGTGTTACAGTACCGCCAGTACTACCAGTTAGTCCACCACCCCCTAAATTCCATCCATTTGTATCTTTAGGATTTAAAATATAAAATTGAAACTTATCAGCTGTAAAATTAAAGCAGAATTATGAATACTAACAAGGATATCTGACTCATAAATAGAATGTTCATCGTCCAGCTTACTACAGATGTTTGCTAAAAAAACACTAAAGTTTCAGTTATTCTAGTCCACTGGACACCATATACAACTTTATCAATAGCCTTTTTTAATTTACTATCTTAAAAGACCCTTCAGTATATGTATTTGTGCAGAATACCTGTAACTCAGTGTATGCATGTCAAGTTTGAGCTGTTCTCTGAACTGAGGTTTAATTTAGCAAACCTTTCATTGTCATACTGCATAAGAGCTTTACAACTTGGTGAAGTGTTATTGATTAAATTATGTTCTTCAATTTACTTACTGTGAAAGAATTAAAAAGTTGATGAATTTAACTCAGAAGTCTAATCATAGAATGTCACCAACCAAATAAAATTTCTAGCTCTATTCTGATACGATATAGATGATAATTCATATCTAACTCATTGTAAATTGTTTCATTGTCATCTCTTAACAAAATTACATTGAAATGATCTAAATGATCTCAAACGAAATCAAAATTTGTTCATAGTACAATAGAATGAAGGATAAACACATGACTCTGTCGAAGGAACAATACAGTGCTAATACACTGATAATCAGACTGAAAATTCTGTCAGAGTAACACGAGGATTAAACAAAGTGGTTAGTGCTTAAAATACCTAGGAAGCTAAAGAGAGACGAATGATGAAAATATGTTTTAATGTAATTCCAGTGTTTGAAAAATCAAAACAACAGCTTCGTCAGTAGAATATTATGATGATCAGATCGGATTTGATAATCGAATCCTTAAGAATGAAAAAAAAAACACTCAGTAAACCTGTGCATATTACTGAAGTGGGCAGTGAGCTACACCTGTTATGTGAGGGCTAATCATACTACCTGGTTGTTCAAACCCCAGTAGATAGAGTGGAGTTAGAACAAAAAAACTTACTGGTTGAAAGTCATCTCCTCAAACCAATGAAATACAACCTCTAAACATTGATCAGAGATAAATTATCTATCAAAAACGGTCATATGAACAGTTTCTTTCATCTATTAAACTACACTACCTATTTATAATCTCCTCGTATTTGAAGAGAATGAAACCCTCTTCGTTTAGTACTGGATATCCTAAACTATACAAACCACCCAGAAAAAGAGTGAGATGGTATAGATATATTCCCAAGTCATAACCCCAATGAAAATGATTTGAATTTCAGACAAAATAACCCAGTGGAGCATACCGTTGGGTATGTCCACTCTTCACAAGTATCCTCTATAAACTTCTACGGAAATACATCTAATGTTTAACAACAACAACAATAAATGGTGTATCAGTCAGATATTCTATCATATACCTTAAACAAGACAACCTTATGAAAAGCCTGAAAAACACGAATGTTTCTCCAATAAGAAATGAAGTCAAATTTGTAAAACAAACGAAAATCATAACTTCATTGTTGGCAATAACAGTACAGGTGTCAGAAACACTCTCCTAGTGCAAGTGTCATATACCAAGCTAAGCCAAAATTCAGATTGATCTTTTATGACGTCTAAGCTCAAAGTAAAAATTAAGGTTTTGAACGGAAAGTTTATCAGCCTTCAATGTTTGATTCTCTTAAGCATGTGAAAGAACTTTTACAGATCCATCTACATAGACGACTAAAGATATGTATGAAAGACCATGTCAAGAATCACGTAGAAATTCTCAACGGAAATGAAATAGTCATCAACAAGAATCTGTCAGATGTTAATTAGTACAAGCTAACAAGCTCTCCCTTGAATCTTGATCAAATACTGGTGATTAAAGTTGATGTGTGGCTGCTAAGCTAAGAGATGCAACAGTGAAGTTTTCAAGGCTAGATCTTAGATAGGAATCGGTATGAAGCACTTATTTACCTAGGTTTCGAGGGCGTTGTCACCCATCAATAAGGTCCAAATCTTCGACAGCCAATGATTTTTCTTAGTTTAGCAGATAATTTATGCTGAAGAGTGCCAATAAACATGAAATTCAGGTCTAGGATTTCTGAACACCTAAAAACAAAACAGCTATGAAGGTCAAAAGCTCAGAAATGGTTTCTTTTTGAATTTGAGTAAAATAATCATAATATACGATTTCCGGTGTTAACTGTTAGTAGTCAATTAGTAAGAAGCCTTGAACTAAGGTTTCATGCTTATCATCTGCATCTGTAGCCACACAGAAACTAGTGTCTACTTGGTTTTTCTAGCCTTCATCAAAAGTCTACTGCGTTCAGAACAACTTCACAAAATCTTCTGATTATAACATTTTAAATGAGAAAATATGCCAATAATGAGCTTATATATTTGTATATGAAAATTGTACAAACTTACTGGTGTTTGGCAGACTTTTATCAGAATTTTCATTTGTCAGAGAAGAGATTGGTAGAACAAGTGACGCTGGGAATCGATCTGGTGTAAGCGGTCTGCCTTGATATAATAAAGTCCAATGAAGACGATAAACTGGTCTACTTGGAGCTGGTTGAACATGACATAAAAACTCGCCTTGTTTAGGCCATTCTGGAGTAAGCGAGAAATCTAAACGTAGACCTGAAGTAATTAGTGAAATAATAAAAGAGATGAAAATGAAAAAGAGTTGGTGCATGTTAAATGCTTGCAAAGATGTGTAACGTTGTTCAGTAATTAGGAAATAAGTTTTTCAGGATGAAAAGATATTTTACCACTCTCCAAAAGAGAAATTTGCATAGGCGACGGAGTGTTTACATCATATGATGACGATCGACGTAAAAGATTGTTCTCAAAAGTTGCATTAAAAACGAATAAATATATAACTAAACTGTTGCCGCGGATGGTTCTTCAGTTATTCCTTGAACATCTATTTGCATCGGATTTTGCTATTCCACAAAAGCCTATCAGTGAATGGTCTGTAAAATGATTGTTCACTTCAAAGCATGGAATAAAATTGAACTCCTTCTTTGTAGTTATTTTTCACAGTAGCTTATAACTAGAGAACTTTAAGGTAAAATTACACAGAAATTATGCATGAACCAAATATTAGCTTCGATCCACTGTTAGTTAGAATTTACTTTTCTATTACAATCATCCTTTTATGAATGAATGTATCAACGAAATTATTGCTCCGATATCCGGTAAAAGTTTAGAAGGATCTATACACAACAAATTGCTTCAAAAATGTGTCAACATCCCTTTATTACAAAGTCTAAAACTTGGAACTTTTAATTATACGCTAATACATAATAATAATATAGCATAAAATTTATCCTTTTCTGGAAGTAGTATTCAGTAATTCAAGACTAGTCAGTGAAATGAGATGGGGAAACAGAAGCGTTTTCATTCCTACACTTTGTCACATTTGAACAGCGCTGTATTAGATGCTATCTACTGCTTGTGGATATTGATATGAGTAGAAGAAAAGCGAGAAAAAAGAAAATCTTGGGCCTTGAAGTAGAATGTAGTTCCATATATGGTTCGTTTGTTTGATATTGAGCCCACAGTGATACAGTATTATTTACTTGATGACGTTTCGAGCATAAATTATTGCCCATTATAATATCAATGTGAACTCACCTGTTTCGGTATCTGGTTTTTATAGTCCTATCACCTCATGTTCCTTGCTTTTATTGGTAGCAAAATCACTGGTATTGGTGTTGCGTCATTTCCACTACACATGTGTGGGTTTTGATTCGATGAACAAAGATTCAGTAATCATTCTCTTTCTCCATCTAAATATATTGAACCTGAAAACAGTGGTTTTATCCCATCCATCCTATTGTGTGGTTGTGTGTTAATGCATGCAGTGAAAGGAATGAGTTGTTTTCTAGATAACTGTTCTTATTCTGGTCTATCATTCTGCATTTATGTAAAATCCTATGCTTCTCTATTCTAACTGACCACGACCGGCTAGTTTGACCTATGTGCTTGACCTAAAAGTCATTTCATTGAATTTGATAGATTAGATTATTTTGGTAAATTGATTCTGTCGGACACTTAAGCTGACGAGGCTTATCTCCTAGTGAGTTTGTCAATTTAAATGCCACCCTAATTCCAGCTTTGTTGAGGATCCTACGTAAAGTTTCTGATGCTCCTCGTTTATGTGGTAACATGAAAGAGGCTTTCAGCTTATTTCCAAAGAATTCACCAGTCACTGCAAGGACTCAAACAAGGAATTGAAACACATAAGAAAAGAGTTAATAATTAATAATTATCCTCCACAATTTATTAAAAAATCCTTACGAACACACAAGAAACGAAATAATTACCCTAACACGAGTACGAATACTAACGGCAACACGAGTAGAAATAAGTTCAAAGCCTCTACTGTATTACCCTTTAAGAAAGGAACATCAGAAAGTTTACGTAGGATTCTCAATAAGACTAGAATTAGAATGGCATTTAAACCTACAAACTCACTAAAAGATAAGCCTTGTCATGATAAGAATCCAACGGAACAAATTGAGTAAAGTCATATAATCTACCAAATTCCATGTAATGACTGTGAGGTCAAGCACATAGGTCAAACTAGCCAGTCGGGTTCAGTTGGAATAGCTGAACGTAGGAATTCAGCTAAGTATAGAATGACAGACGTGAATAAGATCAGTACTCTAGAAAAACCCTCGGTTATTGCGATGCATACAATAGCATATAACCACACAGTAGGGTGGGTGGGGTAAAACCACTATATGGTTTGTTTGCAGTACTTTGAGGTTATTTCATTGAGACTGTTTCATCCTTTTTACTTAAATGAGCTGATCAAGGTTGTCTTGTTCTGACTGGTTGACTCGTAATTGTTAGGAGATACCTTACGGTGACAGGTTGATTCCTTCCAACTGGAGATGTCCTCTTAGCCAGATCTTATTGGAGAGGGGTATTCTCTTTGCATTGATTTCTCAAGTACAGTGGCTTGGTGAGCTGTACATAAGTCATCTTAATCAGATTGACTGATAACCTCTTTTTCTTTTGCATCTAGGTTTCCTTGCATTTGAATCGATTGATTCCCGTAACTGACTTGTTTCGAATAGGCTAATGTATTGCGTCCAAGTTGATTTGGCGATTTATTGCTGATTCACTTCAGCACCATAACTTCAAGAATTCTAGAGCCACTTTCGAGTCAGCAAGTTCGAGTATTTCAACGTTGTTCAGGTCCAATTTATGGGTGTAGTCACAGTTTATTGAAACGACAGACCTCATATAATGACGTTTGACAGCTAATTTGTGTTCATATAGGCGTTGCAAAACTGGTCTACCCAACTGTCCAACTTAGTGTTGTTCGCAGTTATCACAAGTGACTACGCTAATTGGATCTGTTGGTTCACGTAGGATATGTTTTGATATTTTGATCGGTTTATGCGACACAGCGATTCTAAGTGAAGGTAAGAATCTGACTCTTTTGTTCCAGATATTCCACAGGTATGATTGGAAGATTCTTTACTAGTTTTTTTGTTCATTTAGAAAGACATCTCTTGATGAAATTCTTTGAATAACTGTTGAGTTGGAAGATTCGGAAGAAAAGTTTTTTATCGCTTGTCTTTGACTCCATTGTAAACCAGTATTTGTCTACTCATCTAAATGGCACGACATAGGATCGTTGCTGTTGTAATTGCGGATTTGGGTCGCATGAATTGTTTTCCTCTACACCCGAGTTTCAAAGTGTTCACCATCACTTTTTACAATCAAGATATCGAAGACTACCAGTTGTCTTTTATTTTCTTCCTGTTTTGTGAATTCAATTCCTTTAAAAACACTATTGATTAGTTTTTGGGTAGATTTAATTTAATTTTTATTAAAGATAACATATGTGTCGTTCGTCTATCCCACCCAGTATGATGATCGATAAGATTATTAACTCCACATTCATACCCTGAGCAACAACTGTTCACCACAATTTATAGATAAGACAGTTCATAAACACTTTGTAAATTGTACAACATCAAATACACTAACCATGACTGCATAATTGCATATGACATCGGTGTGCTGGATATTTATCACATACATCTGTGCAATTATCCCGCGCACAACAATCGAAACATGTCTCTAAACGCGGTGAACGTCCATTATCTGCTGCTCCAGAGGTTGGTTTACACGTTAGTGAACTGGCTTTTAATTCTTCAGCACACGATGCTAGACAGTGTTGACAGTCTAGTTTCAATTGGCCACACCTTTGAGAAGATAAATGAGTAAAAAGTGTTATTGACCCATTTAGAAAAGACATAAAAGTTACACTCAGATACTAAACAGTAGAAATCATTTTTATAAATGTGAGAATACTATCTTCCTTAGCTACTGAGCCAAAACTTCTACTAACGGTTAGTAAGGAAATTAAGGGTCTCTGCTGAGAAATACAAAGCATTTTTCACCAATTATTATTATTATTTTTAGAACACAAACATGGTACAGCAAGGCATCAAGAAATGCACAACACAAAATAATATAAAAACGTTGTGAAGATATGAAGCAAAAGGAAGTGGATAAAGACAAAACACAGTAAGAATAGAATGATCAGAAGGGGAGTCCAGTGAAATACATTAAAAACAAAACATTCATTGCTTTATAGCATTAGAAGATAGAAGGAAGCTACAGCATGGTTGCCAATGGTTTTCATTATGAGCCACATCTGATAACGTCTCAAGCCACTGAGTTGCGTGATCTCTCAGACCCTCACCAGTGGGTGGTAATCCACTGACAGATGGTAGCCCCATACAACTATCCTTCATCCAACGGCGCCACACCATACACTGACCACTCTTCCGTTTCTTCCATCCAGTCCCAGGGCTAGCAAACAATGAGCAGTCTGGAAGCTGTTGGAGCAACACGCATAACACATGTCCAAGCGACCGAAGACGAGTTTTCCGGATGACTTCATTTGTTGAATGATGATCTCCATCATGCATAAACACGCTGTCATACCTCAGAATTACTTACATAGCATTGACACTGCAGACGACCAGTTCTAAGAAGACAACGATGATCGAGCACATAGGGTCTTCGTACATCTTCAGCTCAGAGAGGCCAGGTTTCACTGGCGTAGAACAGAACTGCTCACACCGAAACATTTTAAACCTTATCTTTCACAGTCAGACTAACATCGGGACAGCGCCAAGGATGGCATAGATTGACGGATCCCACTCTGGATTTCGATATGCAGTTAGAAATTTCATCACTCACACTTCCACCAGCACTCACACAATTACCCAGATACACGAACATGCTGACTTTCTCCAACTGCCTACCACCAAGGATGAGCGCGAGCACAGGCTCCTCCCAATATCGCAAAAGTACTTTGCAATTACGGACAATAATAAGGCGTAATCAAAATTTAACCTCTTATGTGAATTCGCTTTTGTGAGGTAGATAGATAACTAAACCAGGCCTCCTCCACCTTCTCTGAACTACATAACTTCATTATAGTTTACATGTTCCATATTCATGAGGACATGGAAACTGAAAATCAAATTAAGATTTCGAGAAACCAGTCTTTTGATAACAGAATAATTGGTTTCATGCAATAACTGCGATGTAAAATTAAAATATTAGATGAAGGGTTCACTTTTTAGAGATTAACTTGGTATATTACTAAACATTCACATGTATTCCTGTGTTATAACGGATGAAAAGATTGACATTGAAATGCCACTGTACTAAATTCACCATAGTTTTGATCATACACACAGATGACTGGAATATGATAGGATCAGTTTGAGGAGGAAATATTGTACTGCGGCTTTTGTATGCTGCAAAGTATGACTGCAAATATGTTCTTTAGGTAGTTTATCATGAATAAGACTTAGTTTGTCCTTCATAGTGGGACTGTGAAGTGAAATATCTGGTGGAATTGTGCAGTAAGCAGATATTTCCTTCAAGCTTCAGATTTCTCAAAGATGTTCCCCATGGACTCCATACAGGAGAGGATCTACTTCATCGAGAACTGCCGCTTCATAAACTAGGTTAAAACCGCTGAACCTTGGCGCTTTCTGAATTCACTTACTTCTTGATATGGTTTAGTTTTACAGATTCAAATGTGCAACAAAAACGGATCACTCAATAATTATAAAAATTGCTTTTAGACGGGAATTAACTTACAATTGCTTCTCCTCATAATAAATAGAATGTGGTGAAGCAAGTTCAGCATTCCAATGAGATCCAAATATTGACGGTAAACGACCAGGTTCGAGACAGGCAACAACAGCTGGTGTTGGATTTGCACTAGTTGTTTTAGGCTGATCATAAATACTTCTGCGATCTGAACTAAATGAGCCAACCAAATATTCTGATCCAGATTGACTTGTATCCAGTTCTAAGGGTGGAAAATATCCATGCTGTTTATATGTTCGACAGCTGGCTAAAACAGGACGATGGCCGGGTAGACTAGCATCTGGGACTGTTGCACTAGTAACATTCTGTACAAAAGATTCACCAAAAATGTATACAGTGATGTAAGAAATAAGAAATTTATCATCTGCTGAATGTATGAAAAAACTTTATATCTAAGATTTATAGTTTTCAGTTACTTATCAACAGAGCATACTTGTAACTTCAGAAAAAACTCCCTTTTAAATAGCACAGTCAATAAAGTATTGTCTCTCCTACGGCTTACCATAAACTTTAGATTAAAACAAATTGCTATGAGCAGGCTGCTCATATTTTACTGAGCTCTACTACTTACAGTGTCAATTAGATATCATCTGCTCAACCCAGTAATCAGTAGAATGCTTTGCTTGTGGCTTCTACTTGCAATGTCAGGTATAACATCTTGAGCAAGAGATGTAGGAAAAGCTGTTGCTCGGTTTGAAGATGATAGGAAAGGTAAAGAAGGTTCATAAAGGCGATACATGGAAAGCCATGTGAAACTGACCATGCATACAAGCAAAAGTATCTTAGTGATGGCCTGGTAAACACTCAAGGATATACCTGCATCAAACTCCACAGAATACTACGTGCTGATGGCTTAATTACATTAGCTCAAAGCCAAAAGTTCTTTCTTATAAACTTCGTAGACTACTCTTTCTACCTTCTCGATTGATGCCAGTCTACGATGAATATTACCTTGAGATAAATCAATCACTTTAAACCACCAACTCAATAACGTTTATTTCTGTCTTAATTAAGCAGTGTATCATTTAAATGGAGTTATGTACCTGTACTTATCCATAAGTCTTGGAACCAGCACCATGACACACAACTTATCTAGGGTAGAAGGCATTTGAATATAGTAATAATGGATAGCGGCTAACAGTGGAATCCAGGATGCGCACTTCGTCCTATTTGGGACTCGTCAGCTGGATGTACCTGCTTCCCAGTGAGTGATGTTGTTCCCACCGAGATTCGGACTAGGGAGAGATGGCTTCAAACACCAGAGCGTTATCCACTACACCACCGAGCCACGATAGTCACTTCTTTTGTGACAGGTATAGTTTTTAGTATATGATAGGACGAAATGGGCAACCTGGATTCCACTGCTAGCCACTATCCATCATTACTATCATAAGAGCACAGGCAATATCGAGGCATTCGTATAGAATCCTATATGCCAATAGAGACCGATCGATTCGGTCCAATCAACGGCGGTATGACATAAAACAATCATATACATTTGAATATATATATATATATATATATATATATATATATATATATATTTATATATTTATATATATATATATATGTAAACGTATCTTGAATCGAATAGGAATTGTCTGAGAACAATCCTTGCACAATGATAGTTGCAGTGAGGTTTTCTGCTAATTCTACGTTTTACTTTCACATAGTACACAGAAGAAAGCTGGTACTAACATTATCATTGTCACATGAGCTGATGAACAGTTATTAAGTTGTTTTAAGTAACTTTATACTGTTACTGGACTTTAGCACTAGGTTAATCTTGTATTGATCGTTTTCCGATGCTTGTAATCTTATTTTGTTATACTGGGTTGAACTGCTCGACCGTAGTTGAGAGATGGACTTTTACTTAGAGACCTCGATACTGTCCGGTTACTCATTGTGTTGTATTTTCCTTGGTGGCTAGCACTGGAATCCAAGGTGCGTGTCTCGTTCCGTTTAAGACTCGTCATCTGGATGCACCTGCACACCAGTGAGTGATATCTTTCCCACTGAAACTGGATCGTAGTACTCCACGCTACAAATGTCGAAGAGTTATCCACTAGGCCACTAGGACATGAGAGTCACTTCTTGTGTAACGGGAATCAGGTTTTGTTTGATACTTGTAATCTCCTGTTGCTATGCTGCTGCATTGATCTTTTAAGTAACATGACAAAAACTACACCTTGATGATGAGGAGTCCCATACTAGGAAGAAACAGCTGTCCAGTGTTTCTAGGTTTCCAATGTTTCTGCAACTGATGTAAGTCCAGGATGAATGCCAACCTGAAATCAATAAATAAATCCCCACAAACCTCCAGACGGAATTAATCTAGACCTCATTAGTGACTTGCTTCGGGAGGTGATTCTAAAGTTCCAATATAAAGTGGTGACCGGTGAGACCAACCAAATCGAACGTGACGACAGTTACTCAACGATGGCACAGGTTGGAGGTCATGCTATACCGTGAACTGACAGAAGTAGGAAATATGAACCATTCGATTCCAATCCAGTTGCTTAGTAGTAACGTGCGGGTCGTGGAACCTAGAGGTCCTGGTCGCGATTCCAGGTGGGTTGACTGATGTCAGTCAAGGATGAATACCAACCTTAAAAAATTTTTATCACTCATGTCACACAAAGTATGTCACAAAGTATGCAAATTTGTGCAACAGCTGTAAGTACAATGAGTGCAATCATCTCACATTCGCTCACTAAGAGAAATGCTCTCAAACAGATAAGAAAGTTTGGAAACATCAGCCAGTGGAACCAAAATATTCTACCGTTTTTGAGAAAGTTCCTCAGTGACTGTGAATTGTATTTTTAAGCCGATAAGGATATTTTTTAAAGAGACATTACACAATGTTGCAAGAAATTATATACATCGTAGACATCAGAAATGAACAGCTTACACTAAGCAATGAATTAGTACTATTACGCAATATTCTGACGCGTAAACCATAATATTTATATGGAATAAAGGTAATAGTCCCATTTAACTCATAAAATGGACAATAATCAACCGGTAGGTTCTCTTTTTAGCATTGGTGCTTAACCAGTTTTTAGATTGAAAAGAGCAGAGACAGCAATGGGAGCAGGATAAAATGAATCAGCGTCACTTTGGTTGTATCTTCTCAGCTGTTTACACGATAGAATATCAAAATATATAACTCTACGAAAATTTATTGAAAGAGAACACAATATCCGTCAGTGGTTAAAACGAACAGAAAACGTGTCAGACTAAAGGTCAATCACAATGGCAAATTAAAAGGAGGTTAATAAATGATAACAAATTGTCACAATTATATACATAATCTAACAGAAGTTTCCCGAACAAAAATTACGACAGGGTTACCAATCGAAATAGCGGAACTTAACAAGCATTATAAGTAGGTCACACGATAAATAAGCAAGATATTGTGGGCCAAGCTCGGTAAGTTAGAAACATTCAATATGCAGCTAAGTAAAGGTGAAGGAATAAACATTTAAAGCTGATGTAATCGAATAACAGTCAAGAACAGATTGCCAAGGTAGAGAGAGATTGACTGTACCTTCTATCTGGACACGTAAATCAAGTTTCTGGCGTTTGATGGCTATGGTATCAGAATTTGGCTCGTTTGTTTGTTTATTTATTATCTTGTAGAAACTAAAGACGTCTACTTGACGTCCAGTGTCAATCAAACGGTGAATAATTGGACTATTCAAAGTGTTATTTCCCATAAGTCATATGGTCTTAAGAATGAATTCAGAAAATCTAAGTTATACCCTTCTTGTGTACAGTTGATAAGATACCACTGAAATGAAGTGGAACCATTTTATCCTGCTCACATTGTTTTTTTTGCTCTTTTCAAATTCATCAAAGGGAATTCATGTATGGATATATATTGCCACTGATAAATGAGAAACAGATCATTTCCATCTACTTTAATCCTATAATCATGGATTATTTGTAAAATGAGTCGTTAGCGAGTTTTAAAACGGCTCACTAGTCTTCATGTCAATAAGTGTTATTTGATTTTGTTATTTATTGATAACTATTAAATATGTTTGATGAGTGTTAGATTCTGTAATGATGCTTACTAGATGATAATTGTTAATAAAACGTATACTATTCCATAGAAAACAACTTTAATAATTTAGCAATGCATTTCTTGTCAGAGTACAGAAAACGAGTGAATTTAAACTTTTCATTATCTAAAACTGATGCAGCTATTTTAGATTGTTGCTTCAGTTTACAGATAGTAATTAACGTACCCGATAAACACGCATTCCAAGACGATAAAGTGGTGGAACTGGATAAGGGCATAATTTAGACAAAGTACTGTTGGCTTTCAATGAATAAGCATGTACAGTATGATATTGGCCAGTTGCAGATGACCATCTGTAGGAATCAGGTTCCAGAGTTGCTTGATCCATTAAAGATGCAGCTGATAAAAATAAATGGTTATCGTTTCCTGATGAATGATCGACTGGACCCAAGACTGGCATTAAATTAAGTATATCAAAATCTAGACGAACCTATAACAGAGAGAAAAAGTGAGTGAGATTTCCGATAGACCGAAAAATAAACATTCTGAACAGTTGTAGTTAAAAAAGCCTTTTACTCTTTAGGATGAGTCTAGAAACAAGTTTTGCAGATTAGTAGGTTCTATTGATACAGTTATGCAAATATCTTTTAATGACTATCAGGTCAAATACAAAGGCTAAAATAGTCGATCAAGGTTAATTAGGCTGTCCAAGAACTAAAACTTGGCTAAATCAAGATTATTGGACCCTAGCAAGATAAGGGATTCTAGAGAAAGACTCAACTACACCTATGTAAGCAATCGTATACAATCACACAGAAATATGGGATAGGGTGATAGTCCTAAAAGTCAAAGAGAAAAGATTAATAGTTAAAACGCTGATCATAGAAACTGAACATTAAGTAAATGCACTAGAAATAACTGAGCACTCTGTTCAGATATATGAGAAACTTCATCATTAATATCAGAAAAGAGAAGTGGAATTATATAAATCATGTCCCGAAGTTATGGGGTTATCTAGGTATAACTATGGATAATAAATTGTATTCGAAATGATATCCAGTAAGCAATGCTGTTTTTCAGTGCCACATATTGATTGACCAATTCATTGCATAGGTTTATCGTATCCTGATAGTGAACTGAATAACGGGACAAGTGGAAACTAATTCGTTAATTTAAAAAACCCAAAGTAAACCAATCAGCTAACAAAATATAACTAACCGTCAAATGCAAGTTCTGTAGAGACAATCAAGGATCCGTTTCATGAAGTTTCGCTTGCTTTTATAAGGTGTCTAGTATAAACAATAGAACAGCATAAAATGGCAGTCAACCCAACTCAACCTCAACTTCATCGACTTTGAAAAGGCCGACCTTCGACAGCGTCGACCGAGAAGCAATTTGGCAGTTGCTTCAACACTACGGAATACCATAAACTCTTATCAATCTCATTCAACAACTATATGAAGACGCCACATGCCAAGTAATTCACAATGGCAAGCTCAGTGACGCCTTTGAAGTGAAGACAGGAGTAAGACAAGGCTGTCTACTATCACCGATCATCTTCATCATTGTGGTGGACTGGATCATGCAACAGACAGTGAGGAGTGAGAGGAGGGGGATACGCTGAACTGGGGAAAAGAACCCAGAAGACTTGGATTTCGCCGATGACTTATGTTTAATGTCACACAAACTTGAAGATCTATAGGCGAAAACTAACAAGTTGGCAGAAGAGGCGAGGCAGCGAAGACAAGATTTCAAGTGAATATAGAGAAAACAGATGTGATGAAGATACCCAACCAACATTAAGGACAACAACAACAAGCTCTATTCAGTATCGTTTTAACTACAGGCGGCACAGATGAGGACGTCAAAGCCAGCCAGGATCTGAAAGGCAAGACAGGCGTTCATTAACCTGAAATCAGTGTGGAGATCTGCTCCACTGCACTCAACATGAAGCATGGACAACATCCGGATTTTCAACACTAATTTCAGTCAAGTTAGTGCTTCTATATGGTTCAGAGACTTGGCGCGTTATGGAAAGCATGTCCAAAAAACTACAGATATTCATCAACAACTGTCTACGCTGACTCGTTACTGAAGCTCAGATGGCCAGAAAGAAAAAGCAACAAGGAACTCTTGAGACGAACCAACCAAGAACCCATCACCCAACAAATATGCACTGGAAGGAATGGGAGATGGATTGGGCATGCACTGAGAAGACCATTCGGGGACATCACGCACCAGACCAGGACATCGAGTGGAACCCAGGTGTGAAACGACGAGTTGGGCGTCTGAGAGTGACACGGAGGAGATCGTGTGAGGAGGAAATGAGAGCTTATGGGCAGTCGTGGAGTCAGGTTGAAAAATTGTAGAGAACAGAGTGGAATGGCGATGTACTGCTGAAGCCCTATGTTTCACTAGGAACCCAAGGGATAAATAGTGTTGATATAATAATAGTATAGACAATAGGCCTGGGACATGGTTAGGGAAAGACAGTAACAATCACAACATTCAAGTATCATGATATATAGTTGCCCTATCTGAATATCCGTAGTCATCGATTCACAAGGGAAATACATTTGCAAAATCCAAGTGAAGTAGAAAAATAAGCTCCTGATTCTCGGCAATCTCGTGGAAGTTACTACTTCGAAGAATAAAACCTGTACGAATTATCACTTATTCAATTAGTAAATAGAGACAATAAATCAAACCACATTGTTCATATATGATACATGAATAAGTGTTGTCGTTATTAACTATTAGCCCGTAAGTTCAAGGCGAAGATGTGAGCGGGTGCAAAGATGTGAGAAATGGAATATGAATGAGAAATCCAGCTTGTATGTATTTATGTATATTTTGGTTTTAGGTAGCTCCTGCAACCTGCCATTTCGAATATTCTGTCTAACCTGGATGGATGATTAAGCCTTCCTTTCTGTAGAGTGTATTAGGACTAAACATAATGTGAAACGCCTTCCTTCTTATTATTTTGAAATAATTCTTTCTGAATAATTTTAATATTTAGTAGTTATAAAAGATAGCATAAGCGGACATTACCGATTTGATGAGTAAATTTCCCACTTCTACAAGATTATTTGAAGGTCATTTTGCGCAGCTAACACAGTCCTTAACAAAAACGAAGATTTCTCAGGATGATTCCTCAATATAATAAGCATTACAGTTGACACAGCGTAATCTATAGACACAATTCTGTGTAGAGGTGAAAAGAATTCTATCGGTCATGTACATTAAACAAATTCCTGAGATTGTTGGTTGCCTTGTAAAAGGCTCAAATTCTATGTTTTGCAAATATATCTCCTCTATAATCTATTTTCTCAATGTTCAACTTATTTAATTCCATCAAGTAAAATTTTAATCCTGAAGTCTATAAAATATGTCGAATCGTTCACATTCACTACTCTTTTCTCTGTACATAACGCATATTGTGATTATAATAATAACCATTTTCGTTTGCTTAGATATTAACCTATTTCCAGTTCCTTGATAACAGACGACAACTCAAGGCAATGTCGGATTCCAGGTTGAATCTGTTGAAATATATCTTAAGGTTGACAACGAATGGAATGATTCGAATCCTCTCAAATTCAATTAACTTTTCATTAGGACTGGAAGACTTGACTAGACACTGACTACGTAGTGAAAACGCACAGTAATGGATTTCTTGTACATATGACATCTGGTAGAATCGGCATTAAGCTGAAACAAATTTGGTTGTCATTGATTAGGCGATAGGGTACCCAAGCAGCAATTTTGTGGCTACCAGTTCGAATCCTATGTGATACAGATTGTAATCCATATTTTATTTATACATAGTGTAATGCTCGAGGATGCAGTAAAGATCTACACATCTTGAAACGTTATTGAATTTTATCAATCTGTAGCATTATACTGGTTCAAGAGTCTAATGTATTCATCGAAAGGGCATGAAGTAGAAAAAAAATATCAGAAAACTCTTTAACCGACCAAAAACTGAGGAGTTGAAAGTAGCCATATACTGAACAGGTTCTCAGTTTGACAATATATTCCGTTAATCTATGAAACTTCACCATAGGCTATTAAAACTTCCGTTCTTCATCAGATGGTTTCTAAGAATAATTTTGTTGATATCCCAATCGTAACTAAAATATCAACAGATTTTCATTCAACTGAAAATATTTTGTTCACCATTGGTCTTTTTGGGTCAGATAATGTATGCGATTCAGCTTGTCAAACCAATCATAAACTATCAAAGTAGACATCTAGTATTAAAGTAACTGGAGTTTACGTAGAAAAATTTGAATATCAAAGTAGATAGTACATTCATCTTGATGACTAACTGTGGAATCCAGGAGGCAAGTTTCGCCCTATTCGGGGCTCGTTAGCTGTGTGTATGTATTTAACAAGCCATGACCATATAAGGCAGTTGAATAAAAGTAGGCACGGAAAAAATTCGCTGATTTTTGCTGTCCAATCCATCGGAACGTCAAAATATTCAATTTAATTATCCCTACCAGACAAGAGATATAGATCAAAATTTCTAAACCCTTAAATTTTCCGCTTCAAAAACCACTGAATAACAACAATATTTTCTTTTTTAGATACTTCATATCAGAAGGCTTAGTACCTTATGATCTGACCAGTCTTACTCCTATACATGTTTTTTCATTCGAACGTTGGTTAAGCTACGTAAAACAAAAAGATTGAGCGGAATCTTTAAGATTCAGCATATTGCGTCTGAATTTCGCCAATTCACCACAATCACCTTAACTAAGATCTCTTTTTGAATAAGCAGTTTTTATCAAGATGGTAATAAAGTAAAGTAAGAAGGCTAATGCGACTCATTCAGCTATCTTGTGCAGGTTTGTGCAGTAGGCAATGAACCATACTTATAGTGTGAAGGCTGGTGACATTACCTGGTTGTCTGAAATGTCGGCGGTACTCGAACCCATGACCTACTAGTTAAAACTCTACAAAAAACCCATAGTTGCGCGGCTATGTTCAGAAGTTAATTCAGTCAGTTAATGACTTACGGGTAAGTCAAGACAAGCAAAAAGGATAGGATGTAGTTAAAAATAAGGCGTAATGGTCAGGAAATTGAAGACCTATTCTTCTTATAATGCTCTTCAACTATTAATATACTCATAGCTTGTTTTCTACGTTCAAATTGTTTAGTTTGATCAACAGTTAAACGCACTTTTACCAATGTGTGGAACAAGAAGTAGTGAAGGATTTTTCACTTGTTAGGGGGAAATAAATCAAATTAGAAGTAAAAATGTGAATTTTCATTGATTCACTCTTGTGTACATATTAACTGGCCAACTCAGCTTACACTCGAAGCTAAGATGAATATAATTTAACAGACTTGTAATTGTGACAAATTCCCAGGATTGATAATCATTTCATGACCTCGTTCGTTCTCATCATAAGTGACTGAGGTATTCGATAATGGTACAATTTCATTGACATTCTTTGCAACTTTCGTAACCGTTTTGTACAAACTAACAGGTTTTTAAAAACAAAGTTGAGTTTATATAAAAGTGATAGCTCCAGACTGCTAACAGACAGTAATCATATGATAAAAAAAATTTACAAAGAAAACGATATGCATTTCATGTTACCTGATATCCCGATCCACGATCAATAATGATTGATTTGTTCAATGGTAGACGTCCAATATCATCAGGATGTAGAGTAATTATAGCTTCTTGTACTTTTTTACGATTTTCAAACCAAATATTTTTTTTATATGGAACAATTAGTTCAGGTATAAGATCTTTACCTAGAAAAGAATCATCATAAGGAGGAAAAGCATAACATCACTTCAGTATTTTTCTGTCAGACATGTTTACTCTAAAATGATTTTATGAATAGAAGAGAAATTCTTATGAGCACAAGAGACAGGGGATGGTTGGATACTTGTGTGTGACTGCAAATGACTGATTTTGAAGACGATTTTCATAAGTGTCTTCAACATAAAGTCAGGACATACGAGCCTTCATAAACTATGTGCAATCCACTCTACGCCCGAAAAAGAAATAGTATAAAATTTTGAGATATGCGCCTATCTTTTATCAACAGACATATATTACAAAAATCAGCTGCAGTGTTTAGACACCAATCATGAAAAATCAATATAGAAAGGCTGTTTATATTGAATGACAGAAACTTCTGAAGAGAGATCAGTATTGAAAGATAAATTTTAATGACAAAGATACAAGTATTTTGAAGTTAACAGGGATTTCAGTTTTGCAGTGGTACTTATCACGTAATGACATCAGTTGGAGAACCATTGAAAACTTGGGAGCACTAGGTAGCCGTTTCGTCTTAGTATGGGACTCATCAGCAAAACCCACCCATGACCGGGCTAGGAACCGAACTCATGACCTTAAGACTTCACAGCGGACGCGAAAACCATTCAGCCACTGGGGTCAGGATTCAACGGTTTGTAGTTCCCATTGTATGCTGCTCATAACTGACGTGCCTCCAAATGGGTATGACGAAGTTCTAAGGAGAAGCTGTGACCTATGGTGTCAGCCAGTAGGAAGAGAAGCGGATGCCAACTTAAGACAATGGGTGACAGTCACGCTATATACCGAATTGACAGGAGTTGAAAACTGCGAACCACTAGACTATGACCTAGCGACTGAATGGTTAGCTTGTTCGCCATGCAAAGTGAAGATCCTGAGTTTGATCCCTAGCGGGGTTGCGGGTCCGCATTGTTGAGGAATCCCATACTAGGACGAAACAGCTATCCAGTGGTCTCAGGTTTTCAATGCTTCTCCAACTGATGTCAGTCCTTGATGAATACTACCTCAAAAAAAGAAAAGAGTATTTGTAAGAAAAAGAGAGCTGATAATGCTAGATATTTTTAGCTTATGGAGAGAAAATCATACACCTGAGTTTTATCCCAGCTAGAACCCGTCAGTAGGATGTGTGTTAAGCTTTGAAGAAGCTCCCGTTCTCTAAGAGATTCAAATAAAAGCCATTCACTACTCAGCTAACCACTTAAGTGTTATATAAAAAGTATTCGAAAGTGATTTTAGGTACATATCTCACTGCTGAACGCTTGAAATTCTTTACATTCGCAGATAAACAATAATCGAATATAGTTACAAAATTTTCAAATTCTTGAACATATAAAAACTAGCCTCCATTGAAACTTGTTGTTTCTAATGTGTCAAACAAACTGACTGATAATTCAACACATCTGTCGACTAGTTTACTAACTTCTGAGCAAATAAATACACTGAATCTACAGGACACGCACAAAAACTGTCTTGTTTAATCAGTGAAAATGAAATTAATTGGTAAAGAGTGTAGCTTTCCACCATTCGAAAACAAACTTCACTTCATCACAGCTTTAATGACATCCAAAGAAAACATTTTAAAAGTTGTTTACAGTTGGGAGGAACATCTTTATACCGAATGAGGATTGAGGGTGAAATGAAAATATGAGCCGTGTTAGGATTCGAACCAGCGACCATCAGATTTCCTGCCTAGTGCTCACATACAACTCAAGCAAGACCTTTGGTGATTGAAGTGTAATGAAAATCTGGTCAGCAGTCAAATTACGTGGTGCAGTTGGTAAAACACCGAGTCAATGATTCAGTGGTCGCTGGTTTGAATTCTTAAAATGTAATATCAAAATCAATTCATTCACTGTAAATTTAAATCAATATGTAGTGAAAAATGTTTATTGAGTGAACGGAAAAAATGATTTGCTTACGTTTGCAAATACGATTACTTGATCCCTTACACGGTGATAACTCGAACTCTTCAGAAATGCATAACGGACGACAAGCTATCCAATAAAAAAACAAATGAGTGAAGCTTGAGTGAATCTAAGGTTTAGCAGGAAAATACATACCATAGAAACAAGTTCATATACAAAAATTTGACTGTTTCTGATATTAATCACTCGTCTGCTCTCAAACATAACAGATACGCCTTGATGCCAAGTCCCAAGAAGCTCGAGACTTAAGTCTAAGACTTCCTAACGATTGCCTCCAACTACGCAAGATGAGTTAAATATCACATTCAACATTTCATAGGAGAGATTCGTCAAGATTTATTGCTTACTTTGAGCGCCAGTATATATATTGTTTATCCAAGGCTCATCTAAGATGAGTTTAAGAAGTCGATCTCTGAACTTCTAAGTAAATGTCAAATAGCCCTGCATGTGAATTTACTTTCGTGAACTAATTACTCACATTGATTGGTCGTTGGAGAACAGCCAACTTTATTGTTTTGATAACCTTAATTTCTGTCTGTTATGCAAGGTCGATAAATAAAACATCATGAATATCCGCCAGTTTCGAAGCATCTGCATAGGAGCCCATCTGTTAACAGAGATCAGGCGATTCAGTCCTGCATAGAAACGGGAAATTACAAGTACCAGCATAACTGATACCCGTTGCATAAAAGGTGATTCCTGTGTCCCAGTAGCCTCGTGGATAACTCTCTGCCGTTTAAAGCAATGGGTATTGCGTTTGAGTCTCAGTAAGAACAAAATCACTCATTGGGGTGCAGGTATATCCAACTGAAGATTCCCAAATAGAACGAAATGTGCTTCCTGAATTCCGCAGCCAGTCATCAAGATGAACAAACCAGCTAACTTCTTGTCATCTAGTCCTGACTGCTGACCAAGTTCTGTCGACCATTTAGCAATGCGGCCACCAAGCGAAGAGCCATCACGTGTACTTTGATGGATGTTTGTTGATTGGATGCAAATGGCAAAAAGCTCTGATCGACCTAGGTTTTGTGCCTGTTGACACTCGACAGCAAGATGCATATGCAGTCACGACGGGACTCATATCACCCTTGAGATCTGAACCTACATCACCCAGAGTTGTAGTTATTGACTTTACTACTGAGCTATTCGGGTATCAGGACTAAGTTAAATGCATCCATTGTTCACACTACCACACTGCAAAATGATCGATAGAATTTGGTCAGCACTCGGGACAAGACAATATGAGATTAATTGCCCCCCAGAGATCAATCAATGTGTCTAACCCAGGACTACAGGAGACCAGTTGCGGACCTACTAAACAATGGTAACATCTTTGACTAGTACACTGGGCGATGCGAGTTCGGACTTGAGGTATGACATAAGCTCTCTGAAGGTTGTTGATACTTCTTGTTGACTAGTCATGAAGTATCTCATCGTTCAAACACTGTTTTGGTTATCTTTTTGTTCACTTGGATCTGAGACTTCATGAATAATGTTAGAGCCGATGATCAGAGACTAAAAAATTTTGCGGTCAACCTTCTTAGAATAAATTAAGATACACTCCCTTTCTTTCTACCAAGATACTTCACAGCTGTAATATTTAATTTTATGTTATTCTCATGTATCTGTAGCTCTATAAAACAAGATTTTCAAATTAAGCGCATACACCACTTTATTAGAATTTGTGTTTAAATGACAGAAAAGATGAATACAAGCGAGAGTGTTTGTTTCTCATTTGTAGATAACTGCATAACATACTGTTAAACAACAGTAGTTAGAAACCATTTAGGTTGATCTGTAGATTTTAACAGCCAGATATGAGTGATCTAAACACCTGACGGTCATTTCAGTTGTCCACGGTTGAGCCCTTCAGCGGTGTACCCAAGCAAATTCAAATCATATAGTCAAACCATTTTAGATCACCTGAATCTGTTTAGGTGACTTGGATAGCCAAGTCTACTCTAAATAGGATGACCAATTTGAAAATGATTTGCAAATTGCACCGTCCATGTTAGCATTTCTCAAAGCTGAGTAGTTTTTCAACTGCCTAAATGTGATACAAACAAGGTTTCCTTTGGAAACCATTCAATCAAAACCACAAGATATGATCTCTGACACAAAACGGAAACCCCGTTGACATCAGAGATGAACAACTGAAAAATCGGTTAGCTGTGAGAAATGACAACATGGAGTGCAGAATTTGTAAATCGTTCGTAAATTAGTTATCATGTTTTAAACAATTGGTAAGATGAAAAATTCGCCATTTGATTTTCTAGAGTAACTGAGATTGAATTCATTTTGCTTTTGTAAGTCTGGATTTCCTCCAACTTCGTTCTGGAATATTCCTTTGTCTTTAATATGGCACAACTGCAAAAATTATTAAACTTGATGCCAATACATGATATTCGATTAATTTTGATAGGCTTTTTACTCTAGAATCAGTATCAAGTCCTCAAGTCATTACGTCAAGCAGGGAAAGAACTCAGTGCTTCACAGTGTGATAGCTGCTCCAGAACTTACGTCTCCGCAAAAAAAACATTAGATCGTTTACAAACAATTTAGTACCCTCGCGCTCATCCCACAATTAGATGTCATGTCGACACCTATATCCAGAAATCCAGAGCATAGCTGTGGCCTAATAGACCCAACCGAACACATAGTCCAGTCCAGACACCAAAATGAATATGCAGGCTTGCCAAGCCACGTGTAAGATACGAAATGTACCATTGGAAATTTAAACGAGATTCAGACTTAGTGGCTCTTAGTCTTAATTTCTTCGACTAGGCACATATTCCAACTACCTGAATCTGCGGTCCCTCTCACACTAAACAGCATTACCATAGCGATGGCCAATGGTCAATGTACTCATTAGCAGGATAAAACTAACCCGTCTCACGACGATCTAAATCCAGCTCACGTTCCCTATTAGTGGGTTAACAATCCATCGCTCGATGAATTCTAGTTGACAGATACATAAAGAGCTCACATCGATAGATCTAGTTTTTCACATGAAACTTAGAAGGTTGAATAAGGTTCAAAACATTTAGTTACAAACTTTCAGAAATCAAAGTTGTGCAAAATTTCCTGGGAAACATGTAGTTAGGAATGGAAGATTTATTAAAGTCTAGCTTCACCCGTCCACATGCGATTTTAGCCTAATCTTCATGGCATTCGCTTTAAAGTCTCATACTAAGGATAAAGTGATTCCGTTTTTCAATAGCTAATCAGTTTGCAAATGATTTACAAATTGTACGTTCCACGGTGATATTTCTCACAAGTGAATAATCTTTTAACTGTCCAACTGTAGTATCAAAAGGCTTCCGTTGAGAAACAATCACACAGCCAAGCTGATGAGCCTGGCCTAAAACGGGAGAACAGGCCGTCTAGTGATTAGATTACTCGGATATGGCTAGTGGAAACTATAGATCAGTTTCAGTAGTTTTTAACCGCTCACATTTTTCAGTAGTATAGTTCATTAAATTTTTGCCTTTGTTCTGCCCTTCTTTGATTGATCTTTTATGTGAATCTTTATTCTCGTTGGTGCGCTGATTATAAAGGAAGCAGAAAACTGATTTTTTTTTCAAGAGGATTTACAAACGTCCACCTGTGAATTTCAACAACAAGGGGTAAGTCATCAATAACACGATAAACGCTACTAATAGACTATTTCAGAAGTTTGAAAACACTATATAAAAATCCTACGATAACGAAAGGAAGAGGCCTTTAGTCACAAAACGAAAATAAATGCAAGCCGTAGTGCAGATACAACGTATTTACTACCTCGACAGACTCTGTCAGAATGCTGGGTACAGGGCTTTTCTTCGTACATTCCAGGTGGACATGAAGTGGAACAGGCTGAAAACCAGAAAAACATGACAGTATCACCAGAAGATCGTCATTTCAAATTTGATGATATCATATGATGTTTTCAAAGTATACGGGTATTATAGCTTAACAAAGCATATTGTAACCTATCACTACAAAGTAATTAGATTTCACTTCATATTGACTAGCTACCACTCATGCATTACCTTCAGGGATACTTATGCGCATAAATAAGCTACAGCTGATGAAATCTAAAAAAATATGTTTTTGAAGTTGGTATTCACTATGGACCGGCATCACTTAAAGAACCAACAAAAATCTTGGAGTACCAGTAGGGATTTCCAGCGGTGCGCTCCGCCACAAACCGATCCCAAGATTTTCGAGTTTCGTGGTGAGCGCACTGCTACTGACTCACTAAGTCGAAACTAAATGGTACTTCTTGAAAGTCCCATACAAGGACGAAAGGTTTATTCAGTGATCTCAGGTTTTCAATGGTTCCTTAACTGATATCCGTCCATAATGAATATCTTTCGAAACCAATGTTTCTCCATGGCTCTTCAAATTGACATCCGTTACTTTTCTTTGCATAGGTATCATCTCTAGGGATGACTGTTCTCATTTACAAGACTGGTATACGGTCTAAACATTATATTATTATTATTATTTGACCCTTGGGTTCCTAGTGGAACATAGGGCTTCAGTGGAACCTCTCCAGTGCACTCTCTTCTCTGCAGTCTTTTCAACCTGGCTCCACCACTGCCCACAACCTTTCATTTCTTCCTCACACGATCTCCTCTATGTCACCCTCACCTCGGATGCCTAACTCACCGTTCCCCATCTGGGTTCCACTAAACGCTCTGACCTGACGCGTGGTGTCCCCAATCGGTCTTCTTAGCGCATGCCCAATCCATCTCCACTTCCTTCTGCATATTTGTTGGGCGATAGCTTCTTGGTTGGTTCGTCACCAGCCAGAGTTCCTTGGTGTTTATTCTTTCTGGCCATCTAAGCTTCAGTAACGAGCCAGCGTAGGCAGCTGTTGATGAATTCTAGGCATTTTACTGCTAAAAATTATGTAAGTTTTTGTAAAACCTTGAAAGTTGTAGTACGCAATGTAGAAATCAATGTAATCATTCGTTTATCTCATTTTGTCCACGGAAACCAAATGATAATAATGAAATTTTAGTGTTGAAATTTGAATTCGGCGGATTTAGTTATTGAAAACAACAACCTCAGAGAAAAAAAGTAATTTTATAATGGAGTAGCAGAATAACTTACGTTTACATTCGACTGACTGATTTCGTCCACAAATACCAGATAACCAATAACCTTTAGGGCACACAGTATCACAAGCTGTAAACAAAAGAAAAGAAGCTGATTTCCCGGTATATATGCATATGGTCAGGATGAATCTTAGTGAATCCGTTCAGATTTATGTAGTAAAAAGATAGAATTTGTCCAAACACTCAAACTACCAAGGCTGTCAACAAGATATAACTTGTAGTATTATTTTGTACCCCTCTCATCCTCTTATCCTATTAGTATTGTTGTCCACTCCTATTAGTATGCAATTCTGAAAGTTATATCGTGTTGATGGTTACGCTAAAACAAGTGGTTGAATAAATTTCTTTTGAGTACAAAGGCAAAGTTCGCAAAGGTGGACCGCAATCGCCTCTGGTATACGAAGTAAGCGAATACATTATCCATATGGTAAATTAATTGGTATGTGATGGGTAATTTTAAATGTTTTATTAGTATCCACTTGATGTTCAGCGTCCATTAAGTCTACAAGTTCAGAGTTCTGTATAGTTCTAAATTATCCCATATCCAACCTTGATGAGCGGTGCTCAGAGATTCGACGATGTAGCCGCATCAATGTACGCCGAATGTAACTAGCTCCACAGGAGCAGACAAACTGAAGACCTAATGGAAAAGAAATATATTTCTTCGCTTGATCTGTCATTTTTCTTAATCTCTAAATTGAAATTTTCAATCAAAAGAAAATAACGCAATTCGACGACTTCCTTGGTGACGTTCCGAACATAAATTATTATCATTTATAAACATATCAGTGTAATCACACTAGTTTCAATACCAGATTTTTATAGTCCTTTCATCTCATATTATCTCCTTTTATTGCCAGTAGTATTTTCCATATCTGTGGTACAGGTGTTGCATCATTCCTGTTACATATGTTGCTTGTTGATTCAATGAACGAAGATTAAGTAATAAACCTCACTCTCCACCTAATTATGTAAGATGTGAGTACAGTGATCTTATCCCACCCTATTGTGTGGTTGTGTGTTAATGCTTGGATAGCAATAGCCGAGTTTTTTTTAGATGGTTGGTCTTATTCGAGTGTCATTCTATATTTAGCCTAATTACTATGTTCAGCTATTCTAATTGACCATGACCGGCTTGTTTGATCTATGTACTTGACCTCGTAGTGATTGCGTGAAATTCGGTAGATTCGATTATTTTGCTCACTATATAACCGATTCTTCACTGCAATTGAAAAAATTAAAAACCATTAAACAAATGAATGCAGTCAAATAAAATTAATATGAGAAGGTTAACTTGATACACTTACTTAGACATGGTTGACCAGTTGGGCATAGGCAAGCATAATCTCCAGGACGATTTGTGCATACTCCACCTAAGCGTGCACATTCTCGACGTAGACTGGGTTTATCACATTCATCAATATCTAAGCATACACGACCTTGTACAATCTCTAGTCCCATATTACTAATTCCTACAAGAAACGTATATAAGTAAAATTTTATCTGTACATATTATAATAAGCAATAGTTTTAGATGGATACACAGATGAAGGAAACCCGAAAGTTAAAATGCTAAAAATTAGCCCAGCAATTCATAATTCAGATAAATTGAACCATTCCTCAATATACCGATGACTCTACATGAGTCGGTGAACATGAATGATCATTTGATATAAGAAATGACGAAAGACTCCACTCTTATATGCAAGTGAAGTCAACAGTTAAGATTTATTTGGAATTGTCTCGACACTAGTTGTATTCACAGCAATCTGTAACTTTGACATATTTGATTACCATGGTGAATTCAATGTTCAATATCTTCAGTATAAATTATTAAATAATCATTAAGCGAAATTCTCTATTGCCTTTTTTGTTAATTGGATAATTTTTATGATGAATAACCTAAGAAAAGTTGAATAATACCAACCAATCTGATCCATTTTCGTTTCAACTTTTTTTGTTTAATCTGAAAACTTTGTCTTGAAAATATGATAAGTGGAGGAGAAGAATCAAAAGCAGATGAATAGTTGATATTTTTTTTTTATCAACAAACCATGTCAATCGAAAGATGACAAAAAAAACCATTTAGAACCAGACGTCTACTTTAGAATTCCAACTCTTCAGAGAAGATCACAGTGTATCCTGATGGAACAGAGATCATACTAGTAACAGAATATTGACAAGTAAGGGTAACAGTTTAATTGCTAACCAGTTAGTAAAATTCTATAAATGTAGAACGACGTTTCGATTGATTGAACTAAGTATAAATAAAATGGATTGTTTCTTTTGTACGAAATATGCAGCAAAACACTGAAGTGAATAGAAAATAGTTAACAGATAAAAAGTTGTTCGATATAAATAAAAAGAAATGTCAGCAAGAGATAAATAAGAAACGTTTACTGTGTGTACAGTCTACATTGAAGAGGTTTACAATTCAAAGATAAATTTCTTAAAAGTTATTTCTACAGAGAGACTGAAAAAAAAATCAGCATAGAATCATGCACAGAAATGCATCGGCTCCATTCTCTACACTTCGTAGCAACAATTTGAGAACAAGTAGGAAGAAAGAAAGCGTTATTCAGGTGGATAAGAGCGTGCGGGAAGAGATAGAAGAAGTAAATAAAGATTAGTGAAAATGTTCAAACTAATAAAAATATCAAGCAGTAGAGAAATATGCACCATTCTAAACAAGTTCTAACAATGTTACCAACAGTCTCCAACCACTGATTTCTATTACGATTTCAGACAGACAGTTCAAATCTCCCCATATCGCTGAAACTAACAGTAAGAGATCTCATGGAATGGTACGATATCTTAGTCTGGTTATCCTAATCTTTCTTCTAGCGCAATCCTACGGCAGCCAACGTTGTACGTGGAGGTTAATAATCCCTTAACATCCGCAATACATGTTCAAGCCGACTCAATCTATGAAGGTTTACAACCTTATCGACTGGTTTGCTTTCCTTGTCTATTACCCTACGCCTTGACTCAAAATTGTTTACTTGATAGTTTTATTTGAAGTAACCCTGCGAAAACGCATGTGATGAAAAACCCATAACCCTTTAGTATCTACTGTCTTTTGCTGCAATGTTTTACATCCGCACAAAAATATAGAATGGACTTCAGTGCAGTATACTCATCCTTTAACATGATTTGTCACAGGTACCAGAGATAATAGTACTGCCCAACCAAAGAGGTACTATAGGCCAATGTAACTGTTTTTCGAAGTGTTCCTACCCGCCTGTCCTGAGACGACGTCAGAGTTCTCACTGATTATCATCTTCTTGCAAGTAACGTTAACAAACTGAAATAACTGTTGAGTATTACCTAGTGCTGATGCCTTTGAAGTCTCCTTTCCTTTCTTTACTCCACAACGCTGTCTAAGAATTCTAGAACAGAGGGGATTCGGTGAAGAGTTATTGTCTCTAGCAATTCATTAGCAAGCTGTAAAGTCCCATATATATATATGATAATATGGAAGGAATATTTCCAAAAGCACGTCAGCAAAACGTTTTTTGGTTAAGAATCCGAAGACTCAAAAGGAAATGAGTGATTTGGGAATGCAAATCTACCGAAAGCGAAATCATGATTGACTATCCTAGTTGTTTAATGCAATACAGTCATAAGAAATGGGTGCAGTTCTATGATGAAAAAAACTAGATTGGTAAGATAGAAGGATGTTATAAGTAGCGAAGACGCAATAGGTTAGCTAGGATAAGAAGAAAAACATTTTTTGCAGATAAAATCTTTTCACACTTTAAGTCCGTTGTAAGTCTAATGATTGAACAAATTTTATGCATAGTTCAGACTTTGTAATAATACATTACCATGACCAACGCAGTTTGAAAAAGTTTTATTTGCACAGCTTTCATGAGATTTTCACGTACTGTGTAGATGAAACTAAAGTTAGACTGCAGGTCAGTCTGATGTTCAGAATCAATCAAATGTTCTAAAACTAAACTGCAAAAGGATCCCCTTTCTCTTTTTTAAAAATAAAGATAGTTTATGTTCGACAATGCGTTGAGAAATCAGACGCCAACAACGACCGACAAACATTGTTGAACAAGAGCAGGTGAATTGATAGATAAATACTAAGGAGGCTAGTAATCTTGACTTATCCTTTACGTATAAGCTAGTCATCGATTGCGTAAAGAAATTGATTAAGAGTTTAGCCGGAATAAAAGTTTTTCTCAACAAACGGAACAAGTGACTTTTAAGTATTTCCACTGATGAGTTTCCATTCAACTGTAGATTAAAAAAGGGAAGCTTTCTAGGAACCATATGTGTATCGGTTTCGGTTGGTTTACGTGATGAAAAGATCAGGATAGTTATTTTAATTAGACCATTTTCAAGTATATTTGTCTCTTCATCATTAGCGTCTTGGAATTCGTAACCTCTGTAGTGTAGTCCTGTAGTCGTTGAAGAAGAGTCAAATACTAACTCCATATCAATTAATCCCCAGAAACCTCCGAAACTGAATTCCTTTAACACTATGAAGTCTATATATATATATGTATATATAATATTATATGTCCCTTGGGTTCCTAATGGAACATACGGCTTCAGTAGCACGTCTCCACTTCACTCTATTCTCCGCAAACTTTCGAACCTGGCTCCACGACAGCCCACAACCTCTCATTTCCTCCCAGCACGATCTCCTCCATGTCACCCTCGCCTCAGACACCAAACTCGTCGCTTCCCATCTGGGTTCCACTCGACGGCTTGGCCTGAAGCGTGATGTCCCTAGTCGGTCTTCTCAGTGTATGCCCATTCCATCTCCACTTCCTTCCACTGCATATTTGTTGAGCGATAGGTTCTTGGTTGGTTCGTTGCCAACCAGCCAGAGTTCCTTATTGCTTATTCTTATTATTCTGGCCAACTGAGCTTCAGTAATGAGACAGTGTAGGCAGTTGTTGATGAATGTGTGTAGTTTGTTGGAAATCCTTTTCGTAACTCACCAAGTCTCTGAACCATACAGGAGCACTGATTTGACGTTGGTGCTGAAAATCCGGATCTTGTTCCACATGCTGAGTGCAGAAGATCTCCACACTGGTTTTAGGTTAATAAATGCCTGTCTTGCTTTTCCGATCCTGGTTTTGACGTCCTCGTCTGTGCCGCCTGTATATATATATATATATATATATATATATATATATATATATATATATATATATATATATAATAAGTTGCTGTAAAGAGTGACTCTCTACAGAATACATTTTATTTTAAAATTTTAAGACGTGATCATTATTGTCAGTTCATCTTCACAAAATACCATAGATACCTTCATTATGATAGACCGTAAAAATTTCATCTACAACGTAGGATCGAAATCAACAGTGGACATGGTTGATAATAACAATGCGTAGCTGGACACTTGAACATCTTTCTCGGTGACCTCCAAAAGAATATGAAAGTTTAAGTACAAAGGGGTTTCTAAAGTCATAAAACTGTTCAGTATGTACTTTTGTGAAAGACTAATAACACTTTTTGAAAGAAATGAAAGCTATAGCATAGTCTGAAATTTATCACAGTCAGTGTCAAAAAATATAATCCAAGCGGAAGTGATTAAGTTTATTAACGCTTTCCTGAAAAATAACTCAATAATAGAGCACAGGTATATATATACTACATCATCAGTCATACTTACTGTAACGGTTCGTAATATTGGTCTCTTTATATAGGCTAAGGTAAGTAAAATGGGTTCACACCTGCAACTCAGTGAATCTTAGTCAAATGACTTAACTAATGAAAAGTAACTTCATATTCGGCAATCTTAACAAATTTCTTGTTACTGTTAAAAAACTATCCCATTACGGTCCAAAGAATTGAATGAGAATTCTGCACAATCAATAAAGTAATACAAGTCATACATATTTATCAGCAAGATTGGGTAAAAAATTAGAATGGTAACACAAATATAATTTACTCACGATCTCCAACTGAAGCTAAACGTGATCTATCTTTGGATCCAGCCAAACGGTAACCACGTTGACAGATGCATGCATGACCGGCTCCAGGATCACAAGAATGTTCACAAGCGTATCGTTGACGACAAATTCGGGTACCAAGAATATGACGAGTATCAACCACATCTGTTTCAATTCAAAGAAAAAAATTAATTTGAGAATGAAATTTTACTACTTATTATTTGTCACTTGGGTTCCAATTGGAACATAGGGCTTCAGTAGCACGTCGCCATTTCACTCTCTTCTCTACAATCTTTAAAACCTCACTGCACCACTGCCCACAAGCTGTCATTTATCCCACACATGATCTCCTCCATGTCACCCTAGCCTCGGACCCCCAACTCAGCGTTTCCCCTTTGGATTCCACTCGAGAGCCTGGTCTGACGTGTGATGTCTTCTTCTCAGTGTAAGCCCATTCCATCTCCATTTTCTTCTGCATATTTGTTGGGCGATAGATTCTTAGTCGGTTCATTCCTAGAGCTCCTTGTTGCTTATTCTTTCTGCCTATATGATCTTAAGTATCGAGTGAGCGTAGGAAGCAGCTGTTGATGCATGTCTGCAGTTTGTTGGAAATGCTTTCGTAACGCGCCTAGCCTCTGAACCATATAGAAGCACTAACTTGACTGAAATTAGTGTTGAAAATCTGCATATTGTCCATGCTTCATGTTGAGTGCAGTGGAGCAGATCTCCACACTGATTTCAGGTTAATGAACGCCTGTCTTGCTTTTCCGATCCTGGCCGGCTTTGACATTCTCATCTGTGTCTGTGCCGCCGCCTGTAGTTGGAACGATGCTGCCTAGGTAGGTAGGTAGGTAGGTAGGTAGGTAGGTAGGTAGGTAGGTAGGTAGGTAGGTAGGTAGGTAGGTAGGTAGGTAGGTAGGTAGGTAGGTAGGTAGGTAGGTAGGTAGGTAGGTAGGTAGGTAGGTAGGTAGGTAGGTAGGTAGGTAGGTAGGTAGGTAGGTAGGTAGGTAGGTAGGTAGGTAGGTAGGTAGGTAGGTAGGTAGGTAGGTAGGTAGGTAGGTAGGTAGGTAGGTAGGTAGGTAGGTAGGTAGGTAGGTAGGTAGGTAGGTAGGTAGGTAGGTAGGTAGGTAGGTAGGTAGGTAGGTAGGTAGGTAGGTAGGTAGGTAGGTAGGTAGGTAGGTAGGTAGGTAGGTAGGTAGGTAGGTAGGTAGGTAGGTAGGTAGGTAGGTAGGTAGGTAGGTAGGTAGGTAGGTAGGTAGGTAGGTAGGTAGGTAGGTAGGTAGGTAGGTAGGTAGGTGAAAGAGACAACTTCCTATAGGTTTCTCCCGTTAATGGTGATTGGTGCTTGTTGTTGGTTCGTTATCGTCATCACCTCTGTCTTCTTTACGTTCACCCGAAGAAAGTCTCGTCTTCCCTACCTTTTCTGTCAACCCCTTGGTTTTGCCTGTAGATCTTCGAGTTTGTGCCACAAGACATTAGACAAAAATCATCATCGGCGAAATCCAAATCTTCTAGGGTCTTCTCATCGGTCCAGCCAGAGTACACCCCTCTTCTCGTTCCTCTCTGTTTGCTGAATGATCCAGTCCACCACAATCAGAAAGATCATCGATGATACTGTGCAGCCTTGTCTTGTCTTACTCCTGTCTTCACTTCGTTTCAAAGGCGTCGCTGAGCTTTCCATTGTGGATCACTTGGCACGTGGCTTCTTTATATAGCTGTTGAATGAGGTCGGTAAAAGTTTGTTGCACTCCGTAGTGTTGAAGTAACTGCTAAATTACTTCTCGGTCGACGCTGTCAAAGACCTTTTCAAAGTGGAAGAAGTTGAGGCAGAGAGTTGACTACCATTCTATACTCTGTTCTATCATGAAGCGCAGCGTTGTAATTTGATGCGCACATGATTCATGCTTCCTAAATCCAGCCTGTTATGGTCGTATTTTGAATCCAGCGCGTCCTTTAGTCTCTCCAGGATGATGCGGCATGATATTTTGTTTGGGGTGGACAGGAGCATCATTCCTCTCCAGTTTCTGTAAAGACTTAGGTCTCCCTTCTTCGGGGCTTTGACAAGGTAGTCCTTCTTCAAATCAATAGGTAGGTACCTTTTCCTCCTTTCAAACCCTCTGTAGTTGTGGTGTGAGCATGTCCGCTGTTGTCTCTGCGTCTGCTTTCAGTGCTTCTGGCCGGATTTCATCTGCTTCTGCTGCTTTGCCGGATTTCATCAACTTTATGGATTTCAGGACTTCACTTCTGCTTTTGTCGGAGGGCTTGTGTTCACTGGTAGTTCTGCGGTTGCTAGTGATATTTCTGGACGAGTTGCAGGTGATGGTCGATTCAAGAGTTTTTTGAAGTGGTCAGCCCATCGTTTCTTTTGTTTCTCCTCTTTGGTCACTAATTCTCCTTCATTGTCTTTCATGGGTTTAGTCTGTGTTAATCTCTTTCCAGATAGTGAATCGGTCATTTGATATAATGTGGTCATGTCTCTGTCTCTTCTACCAGCAGCCTGTTCTGCTTCATTTCCCAATATGTCCTAGACGTGTCGTTTGTCTATCCGTGCACTATTCGTCACAACTTTGTCCAGTATAATGTTTAATAGATTGTGATCAGTTCCTCTTTTCGTTATTTATCCCTGCATTGAACTGGTTCATCTTCTGCTTCACCATTTTTCTCCCCTCTGTCAGCTTTCATGTGTCCGTCGAGATCCATTCCTTGTCTTGTTCCGCTTCTTCGTCATTCCTATCGCGGTTATGGAGGTTTCTTCAGGGATGTTGTTTAATTTCTCTCATTTCTTCCTGATGACTGATGTGAAGATTTCCTTTGTGGTTTCGTCCTTCAATTTCTGTTCTGGGTGTTGAACTTGAACTGTCGTCTATCACCAACTTCCTTGAAGGCTTTCAACTTGATTCTGAAGACAGGTTCCTTGCACTAGACAGTGGGTGGTGTGAACCTACATCTGCTCCCCTTCTTCATCTTATCTTGTGTCCAGTAGGCTGCGTCTACACTTTCTTCACATTGACATGAAGTCGATCTTGTTCTTTATGTGTCTCCATGTCTGCTGAAATCAAATCCATGTCACTCGCCATGTGAATATCCTTGTGTTTGTACACACTACCTCCAATCACCAAATCGTTGAATGCACATAATTCTGCAAACAATACTCCATTCTCGTTCATCACCTCATCGAGCACTTCTCGACTCATGGTTAGTTCTCTTCCTGTGTTGTCCGCTCCCAGTTTCGCATTCATGTCATCCAGTAGAATGAATTTTGATGTCACCATCTGGGGTGAGGTCTTGTTCAGTACTGATTGAAGTTGTCTGTAGAATTAATCCTTCTTCTCTTCATCTGCATTATTTGTAGGTGAGTAGCGTAGCATTGTATGATTGTAACTCCTCTTCCTTTTGAGTTGAACCTTGCTCACATGAACCTGATCCTGGAGGAGACTGGTTCCCATTGTATGAGAGCCTTTGATGCTGTTGATAACATCATGATAGCCACCTCAAAACTCAGTGTGTTCGTGGTTGTCGTCTGGGTGACAATATCGGAGTAGATTATCAAGTCTGCAGTTGATAGTTGGGAGAGGCCACTTCCATTCCATCTGCTTTCGCACATTCCAAGAACTTCACTGTGATACCTTCCCATCTCTTTTGTAATCTGGATAGCCTTGCTAAATTCAAACATTTTTCGAACATTCCATGTCTGTATGCTTACTTTTGCTTTCATCGAGGGAGAGAAGATACATCGGCCAATTGGCTTCCCGAAGGCAGGCTTTCACCAACCGGCGTGATCTTGCCTCTCCGATTCCACCGAGGAATAAGTTTGTTTTTATTATTTTTATTTTCTCTGTGCTTTGAAGTTTCTGTGTCAATTGGATTGGTTTTACGGGGTAGGGTTGCTAGGTGTATGCCCAACCTTCCCTCTTTATTTGGGTTTAGGACCAGCTAGTGACTAGTGAACTAGTTAACCAGGAGAGGTTGAGAAATGAAATACATGGAGTGAAATAAAATGTTTTATAATATGTTAATATTTACACGACTAGTTCACCAGCATTTTACCAATTTAATCGTTTAGTCCTTAATGTTCTGTATTTCAATGTTATAACGTAGATTTGATTCAATGAAGATTCGCAAGTTTTTTATAGCTACAATTACAGCTTCCAAATAAGTGACAATAAATACAGAGCCTAAGTTCAGGGTTTCCTGGTGATTGACTCTCAGGAGATGACATCGATATCAGTACTGAATTAAATCATATCTAGGCAGGGTGATCAAACTTAGTTTGCGCAATAGTTACAGTTCACCAATCATTCATATCTGCAAACAAAGGGCGTTTTGTTAGTGGCTTTCGATATATATGGAACTGTTTGAGTAATTCAGCTGTTTCTGTCGCATATGTCGCGAAGCTATTTTCCACCTCAGATTGATACTTTTTGTCCATCTACATGCATCAAGAGATGATTTTGCATCCTGAAACTAACTCGTATTGCTTTCCAAATCCATACCTGAACCGTTTAGTATCTCAGACAATATTGTTACATAAAACCTATTCTTCAAACCTCAGTTTATACCTCGAAGAGGGTACCGGCTCCATAATTATTTAAAAAACTTATTCGTATAAGCGAAATGAGTTATAAACTGGTGGAGACGCAAAACACTATTAATTTATTTTATTTAATAACTATAAACTGTGAAAAGATGAAAGAAAACCAAGTTATGGGTAAATCTACTCAATACTTACCATAAATATGAATTGAATTTCGTTTAATCGGTTCAGCTATACGTACTTCAGTACCACTGGTTTGATTTAACCACAGCTGTATAGTCTGTGGAGTTAATTTTGGATAATTTTGTTTACTGTTGAAATTAGAGGAATCCTCTTGGCTTGATTCACCAGTCGGTACCATTTTTTTAGGTAACCAAATTGTCACTCGTACGAACTGAGATTTTGAGACAAATGGTTTTGGATCACCTTTGTTCGTCAGCGATGCAATACTCTTTGCATTCATCTTAGATTCTCTGTTTGAAGTCTGAGATGTGGAAGAGATAGCGGTAGCAGCAGGAGACTGATATATGTTGGCTTTAATCACATTCCATTTAGTCATTTTTCCTAAATGATTATTTGAGAAGGAAGAAGTGGACTCTTGAATTCTAAATTTTTCGCTACTTTTTGACTTCATACTATTCGGTTTTCCTAAAACAACAACTATCATAAGCATTAATGCAATGATAGTAAGGGTAGTGAAGCGCAGACTGAAATTGAAAACAACAATAACTGATGTAAGCCAGGAATAATTGACCAAAGACAAATTAATGTAACCCATTAAACGGTAAAAATGTACCACATGTATAAAAGATTGGGAAAGTGTTAACCTTTAGTGCTGATAAATTTCATGTGGAACACTGCATACGCACTTTCGTCAACAGTAAAGACACTAAGCTGTAAATTTCATCATCAAGGTTAAGAATTTGAACTAAAGGTATGCTTGACGAATAAATATTATTGTACTTTTCAGTAGGTATCAAAGCACAAATTTTTATCTAATTTTTCAGGTCACTTCTGAAGTATGACTTGACGACATGTCAGTATAAAGGTAATTGCAACCGTTGTAGGACCATTGCAAGCATGAACACCAAGGACTCCATAGACAATGGAAAACATTTCTGCTGAAAAATTTTGACTACTAATCAGTAGATCAAATGTTTTGCCGAAAATTTACTGTGATGATAACATATGTAAACAAAACCTCGAGCATACATTTCAAGTTTGACGCTGAAATTCAGTCTAACCGTTGAAGATTGTATTGATCCTAGAAATGAAACAAACTGAACTGTTTAAACTGTAATGTATTTAGCGGCAGCCACCAATAAGACTATTTTTCTTCTGTGTCTGCATTTGGAACACAACCAATGGATGCACTTCAGCAAAAATTTGAAAAGCATAAGCTATAGATTAGTGCTATCAATAATCGAGATAATTAAATAACTAGTTTTAAATCAAGCCACAAGTTACTTTATCGTAGAGTTAACCTGATCTGTTCCACCTTTACATCTAAGAATCGAAGATGATTCACTTTTATGAACCAATCAGAATGTTATCGGTCATCAACTATCCTCATACGATAGATGTATTACGGAAATGGTACTTAATGAATTCTTATATAAAAAGAAATATTCTCCTTTACTGTAGCTAGTTTGATTTCTCACTCTATTTAGAGTTTCCGTTAGATTATTGAATGTGAGTTAAGGACAGATGATTTTTATGGTAAACTTATGTTAGTTGAGTAGAATTTAAACTGAAAAAGGACTGAACCAATGTACTAGTTTGAAGGGTTCCCAGCAGGGTTAACTCCTGAATATATAAGAAGTTGAACTGAAGACTATCAAACAACACAAAATCTGCATTGTCATTTGGAAACTAGACTAGCATTTTATTTCAAAATAAGTGACATGACCGCCATCCCAGTACACCAATGGTCATTGGTCATCACTACTCACCTAATTAATAACACAGACCGTGGCTTAAACAATCAAAATTTAGTAGACCTATTCCTTAGTTGTTTTTAATAGTAAAAGATTAGATATCCAGAGTTTCCTAAATTTCAGTGATACTCGAGTTGATTTCAGTTTGTAATATAAACTATTTATCTTCAGACTAATCTGTCGCTTATCAGTTTCAACTACCTAAGATAGTTGCGGTTTGGGAGATTTGTATAGAGACTGGGTGATTAATGAAGGAGAAATGAAAATTTGGGCCGGGGCAGGACTGGAACCACCGAACAATGGGTTCCCGGCACGGTCCTCTATCAACTGAACCACGAGACCCGAGTAATGACGGGATCTTAATTTCACCTCAATCACCACGGGTTCTGCCCGACTTCTCTGTGAATTTATGACGTGTTACTATTGAAGTGGAGTAAAAAATCTGATCAGCCACCGGTCCTCATAGCTCAGTTAGTGCAGCACCAGGTCGGGAACCTATTGGTCGCTGGTTCGAGTCCTGCCTTGGCCCAAATTTTGGTTTCACCTTCAATTATCATTGAGTATTATTCTGTTGCTGACAAAAATGCTATTAAATAACAGTGAATTAAACTGAAATTCTTTGGCATGAAGTATCTGTTCTCCAAATAATTATGAGATAAAGTCGCAACATAGTAAGATATATAATGGTTTTTTGTTAAAATTATGTGAAGTGCGTGCGTGTGTGTAGATACAAATAGTAATGTGAATAACTCTCAAATAAAGCACCGTGACAATCTCTAAAAGAAGTAGAACAGAAATCAATATCTCGTCTTTGTCTTCCGAAGAAACTAGGTCATAGTCCAGTTAGGGGAGAGAAAAAAAGATTAAGGACAAAAATTCCAGCAATTTTCCATAGGAGAGAAGATCTATATAGTGGATAAATAAATGAAGGAATGCGTGTGTAAGGGTATTTTTTACTTAAGTTCGTGTATGTCGCCATACACAAATGTAAAACTAATTCAGGTCACTACTTTCGACATCTGGTAATATAATGGCAGACATTATTATTAACATTCGTTGCATTACTGTTAACTTCAGAGTAGGAGAGAAGAAACATCTGACGACCAGGAATAAAAACGAAATCTCAACAATAAGCAGAGCGTTGGAATATAATTTAATCCGTTAAATACGAAATCATTTTAGCCCACTGACTCTGGAAGAAAGTAGATATGCTTCCCCCCCCCCCCCGCCCCTCCTGATTACCTCCAACCAACCGACACCCACTGAAGTGTGCCACGATAGTGAGGCTTCTAGATTGGTGTCAACATTGGAAAATTATCGATATAATTCGGTCAGCACTCGAGACTAGGCAACATGAGATTGGTTGCTCTTCAATGACCAAACAATATGTTTATTTCAGTCCTACAGGAGGTCAGTCACGGCTAGAATAGCTCAGTGGTAACGTCGCTGACTACAGCACTGGGTGATGCAGGTTCGACTGCCTCCAACCAACTAATAGATAAGCATATTAATTATGACTAGCTATTCAAATCATTTGGCTTCCTTAAGCTGTATCTGCTAAATGCCTCAAAATATCTTACTGACTAAAGCCATATGAAATGGAGTAAACATCCATTCAGTAGTGAGAACAGCATCATTTTGCTAGTAATTCCTTCTGTATTATAAGCGGATGAAATATGTTTTTAACTGACTTAACCAGCTGTACACCAATCACTTCAATTAACACTGCCTTCTGGGTAGATTTAACATGATCTGAAAACGGGATAATAGTTTCACTTGCTTAGGACTGGGCCCTTCAAAGGTGTACATAGACTGATTCAGTTCGCAGATGCAAGTCTTTCAAACCACTCAAATTTGAAAAGACCTGGTTTGATTCTATGTATCATCAGTCCACTCAAGTAGCTAGCCATCTCTTAGTATTTCATTTGAATTAACGTCAAAATGAGAATTTTGTTGCTGTAAATGTATCAATGAGTAAAACGTCTGTGCCATACAAACTGTCAATAAAAATCTAAAGATAACCAGATTTTCAAAGTGTAGCCAATGCTAGTCAGGGCCTAGCAGTAAATTCTGACAGTCTTCTATTTCATTCTGTACATAACTACTTATTATTATCAGTAAAAAATAATACGAAATTTCAAATCCAATCAGAAAAACTCTGTTATCTGTACTTACTGTTTGTTTACTTTCGGACCAGTTCTATCAGCACTTTTCAAAGCAGAACGTGGATTAGTTGATGAATTTGCTGGTAGAGTTACCGATGAACCAATTGATAATGATTCAATATCCAATTTTGTCGATGATGATGATGAAGGTAAACGTTCAAGTGTAGCTGAATGAACTTTATCACATGATGTATAGTTATCTGTAATAACATCACTATGAAGATCACTTAAAGTCTGTGATATATCTGTAATTAAATCCATTTGACTTGACTTTTTAGGTTTGAGTGAAGTTGAATCCACTTCTTCATTCTATCATTGTAGTAAAAAATACCAACAAAAAGATTTATAAATTATATTGTCGTAAATCACTAAATTAAGTACTCAAACTAGAGTTGATTTACAATAATTTAAGTTGAAGGAATCAACCCAAGGACGATCATTAATGTGATGCAGTTGTCATCAAGTTGTAATAGGGTGCAATAAAACGACTAAGCCAAATAAGCCAACTTCTGCATATAATGAATTTGCTTGATTATACTTGCAACTCTAGGTAAACAGTGAAATTGATCATTCTCTATGCAACTACTGACTCGGTTTTAAGGAAGTTATGTCATGCTTACAAAGCAGTGGGTAGTAGTATTATTCACTTGAGTCATCTCTGCCTCCGGTGAGACATCCGACCACCTACCAAAAGACGGGTTATACTGTACTGTATTCCAATCTTTTCCGTTACACGGCTGTTGAAAGTAGAAGATACGAAGAGGTTTTTGAACACAAGTGTCCTCATAGCATTGTACACGTATGTTGGAATCAACATGCAAGCATTAAAGAGGTTAGGCGAAAGGTATAAACAAACCAGTAAAGTTTGTCAATGAGGTTGGAAAAATTCAGTTACTGAGGTGGCTTGGCCATTTACTACGCATGCCAATCCACCGCCTATCTCGACGTGTGAGATTAGGGAAAGTTGGACTAAGTTGCAAGAGAGCTTAGGGTGGCCAGACCAAGATACGGCACCACTCCATAAAGTTTGTGTCTGTTAGTCTAAGCTAAGTAGGAAGGTGCTGACTAACTCGCTGGAATCCCGAGACCTAAAGAACTAATAGTTGGAGAGTCTTGCTGACCTGGTTGAAAACCGATTACAGTGATGTAGATGGATCCACTCATTGACGTTTTCTAAGACTTGAATATTTTCACTAACCGTTATCTTCAAATGTTTCTCCTCCTATACAGTTTTGTTGGTTATTGGCATTATGATCTCCTTTACGAGGATAATTGGCTATTACTGATAGCTGGATTGTAAAAGTCTTTAGAGATGCCAGCTTGAAGTGACTACAATAATTTGCTGACCTACAATACACTTTCAGCTGTTTAAGCTGTCATGTTTTGTCAATTTCCATGCGAAATGAGGGAGTCTTATACACTAAATATCGAATAAGTATTCCTCATTTTTGATTGACATCAATTGTAGACATTAAAAACCTGGGAGCACTGAACAGACGTCTCGTCTTAGTTGGAAGTCCTTCATAGGATGTAATCACAACCAAGTGTGAAGTGAATTAAGAACTGTCAGGTCTCGAGACAAACAGGGTTCCATTCAGTCAATGGGTTGGAATCTAATGGTTCAGTTCACTTCTCATGCTATATAGTGATGAATCAACAGAGTAGGAATAAGTGAACCAATGAATTCCTCAACAATAACTGAATATGACGTATGTGCTACAAGATGTAAAAATTGTGGACTCGATCTTTCATAGACTGGCGGTTATGCACTGCTAAGTAGTCTCAAACTAGAAAAAAGCAGCCGTCCATTATTCCATAGATTTCATTGGTTCTCCGAATGATACCAGTTCGTGATGAAAACTATTCTGCTGTCGATCAAGCCTCAGAAACGACGAACAAACACAACAAGTCTTAACTTGTTCATATTTTAACTATTCCTAAGTTTGTTATTTATAAGATGGCATGCACATAAATATTCTACACTCATCTTTGTGGAACTCTCCTGTAAAATACACTTCTCAAAATGCGACTAGCAAAAGTATTGTCCGCCAGGTACTCAAAACTTTACGGAATGGCTAAAATTTTAAAACCGAAATGAAATCCTATCACTGGTAGGGTAAATCTTCATAAAGTGGAAATACTCCTTTGTAACAGATTTTTGTAAAGTCTGCATTAATTCATTGAGTGATTTTGAAATACCTTGACTGTTTGACTGAAGTACATCAGCTCAATAATGATATATGTGATATACATCCCAAGTATCTTCAGTTTAGCCCAAAGTGGTGGATACATTTCAGTTTCTAGGGAATTCCAAACGAAATTTACCAATAGTTTGTATTTATAGAAGTTGTAATGTATTTGTAAAGAAATAATTCCAACGTTTTCCATGGAAAGAGCTCGGACCAGACTTTCGTGTGAAACGTTGCGATAACTTCATTTCAAATACTATTTCTAATGTCAACCTTTTACTCAGCACCCGATATTTGCGTTACCATTTGCTCAAATCTTGTTCATAATTCATACAAATTGATCTAACTGAAAAAAATAATTATTATAAAGGCATATTGGTCACAAAATTAATGAATACACTGCTTGACACAATTTAGTTTTACTTACAGTTTCCAAATTCGCTTCTCCTGTTTCTGTCCCATTTTTATCCAAGAGATCATTCAGTGTATTGGTGCTCGTTTGTAGCTGTTTACGCGTTAAACTAACACTTCGTTTCGGTGGGTGGGGACAATTCTAATATGTATACAAAGTGCAAAGTGAATAATATGGACAATGGGTTTTATATCTCGAAAATTTTCGTAAACTGAACACTGTAAATCATCTTGTAACTACATAAAGAGTAATGAGAATTAGTTAACAAATAGATAGTTCAATCAGTCATTCATTTACCGAGTAAACAGTATTGTAGAGTAATAAAATAAGCTACCCAACAAGCTGAAAACTTTAGAATAACACAGTCTATAAGGAAAAAAAGTAGTGTCCCACTATTCTTTATTTCCGCTTGAATATACAATACGCTGTCAGCCTATGAATCACTATCATCGAGAACTGCGAAAAGTGTAGTTTTTCGCCTAGTACTAAATCGTAGCCAATATCTTACAGGCTAAAATCATTTATTTGGACAACTATTGCTTTTTGTTTGACGATGGTTTGGTGTTCTCATGCGTGTGTATTGAGTGTTGGAACAATGAACGAAACTTCTGTAATCAATCTGTTTGTCTCTCAAGTTATTTAAATTGGCCTTTCAATACCGTTACTTTGTTCCACCCTTCCGTATAATTGTATCAACGCATGCTTTAGCATACCTGAGATTTTTAAAAGAAATATTAACCTTTAAGTGATTTTTCATTATAAGTTTGGTTATGTTACTACTTCGAATCATTTGAGTGTCACCGATTGGCTTGTTTGACTTGAATATTTCAACCTACAATCATTGCATAGATTTAGTAGATTAAATTATTTTGTCTGATTAGATTAACAACATTCTTTTAGTCGAGAAAGCTTATCTCTGAATGAATCTGTAGATAACTCAAAAAGGCTGAGAATAAAAATATTTCAGTTTGCATTCGGGTTAATATTTACGCTACCAAAGACCAGTGTTTTACTCTATTTGTAAGTATTACTGATTCTAAATGATCAGCACATGAAACAGTATAACCAAGTGATAATAGTAGGTCAGTGTCGGGTAGTAGGATTCTCTTAACAGGTCATGAAATGAGAGCCCGTGCAATCGATAGCCTTGAGTAATCTCGTCTTCTCCTCAGAGTCCAAGAGTTAGAGTCCCCCTCAGTGAGCTATTAAGACTTTGACTGATCTCCCTTGAAATGGTATTACTTAAATAAATCCTTCACAAGCTGGTAATTTCAGTTTATCACCAGTTCCAAGTGCAGACTACTGCTTGCTGATAGTAAATCCAAGGACGTTGTTTTTAGAAAAATTTGTTTAAAAACACAAATTAAATAGGCATGTTTCACTTGTTATTCATCAACACTCATATACAGTTTCTTCGGGGTGATGCCACTGTCTTATTCATATTCAAAGAAGTTCGACATCCTTTTGGCCACGAAGCAATGAATTTCAAGTAGATATCATTTCTTGGCTGAAACTATCTCCGAATCATGGATAACGGCTAGCAATGGAATCCAGGACGTGCATTTCGTCCTATTTGGGACTCATCAGCTGGATGTACCTGCCTCCTAGTAAGTGATGTTCCCATTAAGACTTGAAACATGACTTCCGATGCCGGTAGTAGCCAATTATTTCAGCCAAGCCAAAGATGGAAACTTAAAGGCTATAACGTCAACAAAACCATGTTATACCCGTCGGACAAGGAGTAGATATCGTGACTTACTGGTCTAGTGAATAACGCTCTGAAGTTTGAAGTGATCGGCCTCAGTTTCGAGTCCCAATAGGAGCAATATTAGTCACACTGAGGCAAATATATGCAGATGACGAGTTCCAAATAGGACAACATCCACATCCGGGGCTCCACTACGAGCCACTATCCTTTATTAATATCAGAACTGAAAATAGTGTCAGTGTCTAAGTGTCCACACAGGAGCCCATTCGCCAGCAGTCGACGACCAATTTGGTCCAATCAACGACGAAGATTTACAAGCTATAACATCAAGAAAAACTATATCTTCAAATAAGTTAATTTCTGGCAAAAACTAATAAAACTTCAATAAAAGTGGTTTAGACGAAATACTTACTTTTTGACATGTTGATGAATACTCTTCACTGTAATTCATTTTATTATCATTATCACATAGTTTGTTCACACTGTTTTTCGTGTTATATGATGTGCTCTTTTTTGGTTCATTTGAGCGAGATTTCATTTCATCAGTTCCAATGATTGTTTGTATAGAACTGGCACTGCTTCCAACACCTGAACCAGTAGTCAAATCTTTTCCAAGTTTATAATTTCAGAAAATAATTGAAAAAAATGTATCGGATAAAGTATATGGCTAATGTATAAAAAGATATACTACCTTAATTTGCTGGCCACCATCAAGCAAATAATAACATAATGAATGATCAGGTAATGTTGTAGCATCCCCACAGGAGTCCATATGCTGACAGAAGTCGATCACTTTGAACCAGAATGAAAATAGATAATCACGAGTACCAATAAATTATAATAACTGACACCCGTTGCAATAAAGGGAGTTGTTGTTCCTCACTGGCGTAGTGGACAACATCTTTTCGTCTGAATCAACGGATGTTGAGTCCAAATGTCAGTGGGAGCAACATGAGTCACTAAAGTGTAGGTAAATTCAACCAATGAGCCTCAGATAGGGCGGAACGCGCGTCCTGGACCCCACTTCTAGTCAACACGAACCAAATCCCAACATATATATGTATACATGGGAAAATACCTTCAGAAGGGCAGGTTACGGTGAGTCATGACTTGACCCTAGTATAATGGTTTTGTTCAAAAAATAAGACTGCGTTATTTTACTGCTCGTTAACTCGTTGTTTAACTCGTTCTTCAATTCAACCTAAAGAATAAGTTCTAGTCGAACAGTATTAATGAATCTCAAAGTAAAACGAAAAACTTGTCAGATATTCGTTTGTTTACTATGTATAAGCAACTAATATTGACCTATGAATATCCAGTTCATAGCCGTTAAGAATGTCCTGAAAGAACCTGAGCACTGAGTCTGATTTAATTATCATATTAAAACTTACTTTAATAATGATAATATCTACATATAGTAAAAAAACGTTCTTTCAAAGATATGAACGAGGTTACTTAGAGAGATTTCTTGCAGAGTATTAGTAAAATATATAGAAAAACTGTAATGGTAATGATAATAGACTGTAAGCATATTACATGCTATTTTCTCTAATTAAATCATACCAAAGTAAACAGTATAATGAGAAGATCAAAATTTTCTCAACAGGTGATATAATACTACACAAGCTTAATAGATTAAAATTAGAAGAGCAGAACTCATCAATCACCTACAATAAAAAACTTCAACAATTTACTGATGGTTAACACATTTCAACATCATGTTTGTTAACATCCTTAGCATGAACTTCATATAAAGCTGCTAGGAATGTCAATGAATCTCAAGGTGAAATTTTCACAACAAAATATCAAAGCTCAGAGAACATCAAACCAGTATTACCCTTGAATTGAGTTTACAAATCTATTTCTTTGTTTCAAAAACATTTTGCTTTATTTCACAGATGGAACGCATATAACTCAGCATTACACTTATGTAACATTTGTATATATTTCAATATGCTAGACATGAAATGATTTTAACACTTAAGGAGAAGATATTGAACTGCTGTTTATCAGAGAAAAAATTATTTTATTTTAAACCTCCTAAGGTTTAAACATATAATTCATATCCAATCAAACGATTCCATCAAATCGTGACCAAGATCGATTTAAATTGTATGGTGATCAAATAGATTATTTGAGGAAACTGCTTAGCGGGTATAATAATCGTATGTGAAGATAATATCAAGCTTTCATATCATGTTTGAAAACTATCTACGTTTGATAATAATTATAGTTATAATAATGCGAGGTTCGAGTCTCAGTAGGGACAACATAACTGGGGTGCAGGTACACCCAGCTGACGAGTCCCAAATAGGACGAAACGCGCGTCCTGGATTCTTCTGTTAGCCACAACCAAACAAATTATCATAAATAACATTCAGGCAATATCGAGACATCCGCATAGGAGCCCATATGTCAATACAGGTCGAACAATTCAATCCAACAAAACAACGGAGAATAACAAGTATGTCAATAAATAGTAATAATGGCTTTATTCCAAACAGTATGTGTAATCCAGTATGAGATTCTCTGCATGTAATATTTCAACAAATTCTCTCCCTGTACAATATTTTTAGACGAAATAATTATCGTATCTGAGTAGAGTTAATAATAACAGTATTGCTGGGACTAATGTGAAATGTGCAGCTGGTGTTACGTAAGCGTCCAGTATGGACTCGAGAACGAATGCAAAATCAAATGTAATTTTGGTGAAAGTGGTTCAGTTAGCCGATACAAAAGTCTGTAATTCCATCTGGGTATCCTAAGAATAGTACTGTGGTGTATCTTTGTCCATTTATAGATCCATTTCCATCCGGTGTAACTCTTTTTTACTTTGTTTTGTTCTTAGCTTGAGAAACGGCGGTTTGAAAACATTTTAAAAGACGCAAGAGTATATAATACTTTTGGAGGATTAAAAGAGACTGAAAGAGAATTTAATAAAATATATTTAGTAGAAAATATTTGGTAGCCGTCTTATCCTTTTCGCATGTTATCTATTTTACAAATCTTGATTCAAGGCCTGTTTAACTGTTTTAAAACTGGAAAACTGAGTTAGTTATGACCATTACCAAACAACTGTACCTCATAACCTGCATCCTGTTACGGAGATGACTAATATTTGAAGACTGCAAAAAGTTGCATTTACTTCCATCCTCCAGTCAGTATAAATGTCACACTTAGACAGTGACCAAGTAAACAGTCAGTAAATACGTTTACTGTGTTAATTCGCACTCTAATACTACAACAAACTAAGTAAGAAGTTATTTAGCATATCTGAAACTCAACTTTTATACAGATCATCGAGTGGGTAAGAAAAATTCCGCAGTGATTACTAGTTAGATATGCCTAATACGCTCTCTAGTGTTTACACTATTATGGTGGTAACACTTAAAAGTCTGAACAGCACCAATACAATCAAGTGATATGAAACCACTGTTCACTACTGCCTGTTATGCAAATAATTGTTATTGGAAGTGAAAATATCAAACTTTTCTTACAATTAACTGATCCAGTAATTGTAGTCGTCGTTGAAATCGATGTGAAATTCTCCGTTGGTATAGAAGAAGTATTTACTGATGTAACACTAGAAGAAATGTTGGTAGATGATGCCGAAGAATTAGGCTGTCTAAATAAATAACTATGTTGTGGACAAGATGCCATTTCAGCAATTAAATCAGTTGACATATATGTAGCTCCAGTTGAATTGGATCCACCAGTTAGAACAGATAATGGTAAAATAGTGGAAGTTGATGAATTTGTAATCTGTATGCAGTTACGTGCAGATTGAAATATAAAAAAAACATATTCAAACAATGAACTTCATCCATAGGTAATGATTAATATAAAAAGATGTGAAATAGACAAATATTTATTCTTTTTACCATATTTAACTGGCATGCACTGGTTGCTTCAGTTAATCCAAATCACTGGTCCATGAAAAACTCACAGTATGATATAACCTAAATCATTCAATTTACTGTATTCAAGTTTATAGTTATTCTCTAATATCTACGATGTACTTAGGGTCAAAAGAGGAAACATTTTCGAGAAATTTTCAATTTCAATGGAAACTACGGAAGGACTACTCACAACTGTGACTTGAAGTATTTCGATTTGGAGGTTTATAGTTGGTATTCATCATGGAACGACATCAGTTGGGGAGACATTGGAAGTCTGAAAGCACTGGATTGCTGTCTTTTACTATTATGAGACTCCTCAGCAATGTTCAATCATGAACTCAGGACCCTCAGGTTTCGCTGCCAGCATGTCATCATTGAGCCACTCGATCAAAACCCAGTGATGCACGTTTCTTAGTTTTGTTAGCTCACGACATAGTGTGACCTCCATTTAATGCGGTCGTTGTGTAACTGTCTTCACAACCGATTTGGTTGGCCTCACCGATCACTACTTCTCATTAGAACTTTGAGAACCACATCTCAAAGCAAATCACTAATAAGCACTATATGAATCAGATTCGAATAGCTAACAGAAGTAGGAAATATGGACCACTCGATTCCAACCTAGTGGGTCAATTGTAACCTAGAGGTCCTGTGTGTGAAGTGCTGAGGAGTCTTATTCTTGGATGAAACATCTGTTCAGTAGTCACAGGTTTCTAATGTTTCTCCAACTGATTTCAGCCCATAATGATTAACAACCTGAAATCAATAAAACATTTCAGCGTACATTTTTACTTATCATACTGTTATACTCAAACTTTCATGAGTGTAACTTTATGAGAAATAGAAAATAAAGAATATGGTTGTTATCAGCGAAAAAATATTTCTTTTCAACAACTTCATTATCAAGTTGCATAATAATATTTATAATCTGTAAAATGTCAGATAAATACACTAAAATGTATTGCTCAGTCAATAGACACATAATACAAATGGTTTAGGCGGTACGATTTGCTTATGTGAAAGAAATAGAAAACTGGTCACTAGATAAAACATGAAATGATAAATGGTGAAATAAAGGTCAAATGCTGTCAAATTAGTGTAAAATGATGATCATTTAACTGAAGTATACAAAGGGAAGTGAAGTGAAATTGACAAACTAACCAAAATGAATTCACAACATGTCAATAAAAAGTTTGCTTAGGATTGACACCTAATTCGCAAGTATATTCAAATCCGAAGGCTTGATTTCCTTTCACTGATTTATTAGTCAATGGAGATAATCAAAATCCTAAATTATGAATAACCTTGCTCACAATTGTCTGATGTTCGAAATCAACAATGCTTTGTTAAACGGCGATAATAATAAGAGTGAATGTTTCATACAAGATATGTGAATTTTTCCACTTACTTGGGAAGTTGACGAAATGAACGGTGCAAAACAAGCTGATGATTTAACTGTACTATCCCCAATCACTGGTTGAATCATTTGCACATCTGTATTACCGGAAACTGGATAAATAGGATGTGATAAAAACAGTGTGTTTGATTGAGCAGATAAATTTCCACCGATTGTAAAGCTTGTACTACCTTCAGAGTCGGATAATATTCCGCTTGTTTCATCTGAACCATGACCAGCAGAGATATATTGATTGAGAACGTGTTGAGAATCACAAGATAATGGAATTACGCTTGATGGCAATGTGAAAGATGGAACGGATCCAGTACCTTGAGCTGTCACTAGCTCTACTAGACCTCCAGAAGCTGGGTGACCAACGTAGAGTGGAACTGCACTGGCAACTTTGACACAAAATGATGAAAAGAAATTTAACGCATATTTGGCTGGATAAAAAAAATAAAAATTTTTGGCCTACATACAATCATAGGAGGAAAACCTTTCGAGTCTGATTGTCTATACCAAACTGTCGAGTATGGAAATTGTACTTCTGATAGCACTAAATGGCATTATTCATTGGTAATCAATTAGGCTGGTCATAATAGCTCGTTAGTATGATAAAAGTGATCTAGATACCAAACACAGGAACCTGTCAATTGCCGAAGGATTTCAAAGATCTGACTATCTGAGTGAAATCAATTCAAGATATACCACTGATGGTGTTGTTGACAAGCTATAATAAGATTATTATGATCTGTCTATCCAGCTCTAGTAGTCAGTGTGCACGAATTCCCGTTATATATATCAGGTGATAGTAAATCACCGCAAAGTTTTCTTGATACTGTTTCTACAGTAGGATGTTTTGCTGCTATCAGTCTATTCTAAATATAAGGAATGAATTTTAAGTTGTTATTCACCATGTACTAACATCAGCTGGAGAATCCTTGGAAACCTGGTAGCAGCGTACATTTGTTTCTATCTAGCATGGGATCTTTAATAAGTGAGTACCTATGACCCCACTAAAGAACAAATTATGACCTTCAGGTTTCGCAGCCAGTGTGTTGTCCATTGACCCACTAGTATAAAACCCAAAGGTTCACATTTCCCTACTTCTGCCCTTTCGCGATATAGTGCCACCCAAATCCAATGTAAACTTTGAGTATTTGTCCTCTCAACTGACTTAAGTTGGAACTTTAGCACCCTAATGTCAGCTTGATGGCTAGCAGTGGAATCAAGGGTGCGCGTTTCGTCCCAGTTGGGACTCGTCAGCTAAGGTGAGTGATATTATTCCTGTTGAGAGTCAAATCCAGCACCCATCGCTTCAAACACCAAAGCGTTACCCACTATACTACTACAGCCGCTTCTTGTGCAACGGGTATTAGTTGTTAATTGATACTTGTAGTCTCACGTTGCTATACGGGGTCGATTCGCTCAACGTCTGTCGGCTGGTGGGCTACTGTGCAGATACCTCGACACTGCCTGATTGTGTTGATATCTGCATGCATGTCTTACGTTCAACTCTGAGAGTGTTCACATATTATCTGACAATATGACACAATATATTTCTCTATCGATAATGTCAAAAAATTATCTAATCTTCAAAGTGCGACTGAATTTTAGTACGACATACAAACAAACAATATTATTTCCACTCGTATTCTCTTCGGACTTAAGTCTAATACACGTATCTCATTATTTTATGATTATTATTTGTCCCTTGGGTTCCTAGTGGAAGATACGGCTTCAGTAGCACCTCTCCAGTGCACTCTCTCCTCTGCAATCTTTTGAACCTTACTCAACGATAGCCCACAAGCTCTCATTTCTTCCTCACACGATCTTCTCCATGTCATCCTCGCCTTACACACCCAACTCGTCGTTTCCCATCTGGGTTCCACTCGACGGCTTGGCCTGACGCGTGATGTCCCCGAATGGTCTTCTCAGTGCATGCCCAATCCATCTTCACTTCTTTCTGCATATAGTATCTCATTAGATGCATATAAATCAAACCAGTGTTACAGATTTGTCGGTTAATGATGAATGTTATTTTAATATACCAACGGCGAAAACAATAGTGGTTATAATAAAAATACTGAAGTTAACCATCGTGGAAATAGTGCTGAGAAAAGCAGCCGTAGTATACATGAGAATGATGAGGAGGACGATAACAGACAGAAAACCAGTATTATAATGTAGACCCTAGAAGGATAAAGAGCTTCACAAAACAACATACATGTTGTTAAGCATCTATCTTCATGGTTACGAAAGGAACAGATAAAAGCTATGACAAGCTCAATCTCGTCTCATTTGGTCAATTGTACTCTTGCAGTAGATAAGGCTAATACACTCAGAATTATATATCACATCCCACGTAACCTTCTTAATCACATTACACTTAGTAGAAGCTGTCGGAATTCGAGCTAATCACCTCAATCTTTGTTACTTTCTTATTTTCCACCCCCTTTCACATACTTATCATATCAAATTACACTCTATTTGTCCACTTACTTTATCCTTTAGTATAAGCCAACTTTTGTTTTTGCAAGTTCTTCGTCTATATTTATTATCGAAGTCTCTACATTCTCATTGTTCTTTCTTTTACATTAATTTTCCTCCTTAATTAGAAATCTTCATAAAATCTCTCTATTTAGGATGCTTTAGATTCAATTTTTGCATAAATGCCAAAAGGAAATAATTTGTATTGTTTTTAAATGTGATTTTCAAAGTAATAATTGAAAAGAAACTTTTTTTCTAGATTGATGCAAACAGCTGAACACTTGATGTTTGATGGATTCAATTGAAAATAGATTAAATATGTCTCTCTATACTACTTATAATAATGTCCTCAAAAATGAACACTATGCCTGAACTAAAAATGATGGCCAGACATTATTCCTTTACAAGCCAGCTGAAGATAAATGTACGTTCACGTATACATACAGAAAAGTAAAAGTTATGAATAATGAACATTAATGATTGAGATAATGGAGAATATTTGTAGCTTAGGTAGATGATTTTGATGGTATTGTGTCCTCCGAGCTGAATAGTTTATTCGTGAAACTCTCATTGTCCTTCTAGACAATATCATCACTACAAAATTCTCTACCATTGCAAAATCTCAAAAGCGTGAAACCCTTCGCCAAGAGGCCTTCAGAAGAGAACAATGACATTCTCTCCATCAGCGTCCATATCAACATGTTCCATCGACTTTCTTTTGATGTTTATGCTGATGGTGTTGTCTAGAAGGACAAGGAAAACTTCACGATTAAACCATCCAACCCGGAGAACATGACACAGTCAAGATTACTAATCTTTAAACTTAAACTGGACTTGCATTGTCAGACGATTAAAGTATCCTTGAAGCTAACAAATAAACAATATGGGAAGGACACTGAAAGAAGTAGGGATGAGGAAGTAGATTTTGAACTAAGAAAATGAGATTACCAGATATCACAGAAGAAAACGAAGACTAAAATTTCATGAGAGTAGAAGATGATAAATTCAGTACACTTTGAGAAGCTGGTATTCTTAAAGAACTTTTATAGCGTTGTGTATAATAAAAAGTAAAGAGTAAAAAGACGAAGAGTAGGACTTACTTCCAGGAGACATTGTACCCATAGATCTGTTGGTCAGTAGCTCAGAAAGTGTTGTGACAATATTAATTTGATCAGTTTCATTTATATTTCCTTCACACTCTTCACTGATAGTTTTAACTGGTTGACCTGTTCGAATTAACAGTACTGATGGATTCAATGATACTAATGCGCCACTTGGTAAAGCATGAGCAGTAGTCATTACTGCTTCAGTATGTACTTGTGTAATTTGATTAACACCAATCTTATTATTTAAAGGAGTCCTTGAACGCGCCATTGTAGCTAGAACTGATTCATCTAGAAATTCTTTAGCCACATGACGTCTTGAAGGTAATGTTTGCAAGCGTAAGGAACTTGTAGCTATAAAAGACACAGGAAGTGAAAAATAGGTGTAAAAACTGATTATTTATCATAAAACGAATGATGAACAATTCGGCTTCTCATACGTGATGGTATTTTCAAACCAAATTGTCTGAATATATGAACCCGAATGCTTTGGTGACAATAAAATTCGTAAATCAAGTTTATTGATAGAACATCATGAATGAGATAGTTTGACTACAGTTCGCAGAAGTTGACAAGGTCCACTGTTTCCACGACTAAAATATCAGTCAGTATGACACTGAATGCAGTCAGAAATCAACTAAATACTAACTCAGAACTTGTGCACAGATATCAATTGACGAAATCATGTTAGGCATACACTTGTGCCTGACCTCCACTGTTTTCAAGTTTAAGGACTAAATATATAGACAAACAGAAGTAGTGACAATGGGATCCCCAATATCCCTAATCGTAAATGATATATTTATAGACTGCTGGGAACATATAGCTTTACAAACATCTAATCCTACACATAAGACATGATGTCGGTATACAAATGACACATTTACTGTGTTGAAATCGCAACATATCAACAGTCTTTTTATACATATACACTTAATAGTAGGTGCAATAGTAGGTTCGCTTACTAGGTAGAAAATAAACAAGGAAAATTAGCTATGTTGTATGGTAAAGCGGAACTAAAGGCAAATGGTGGTTTAGATACTAATGTTTACATGAAACCAACACATTCAGACAGGTATCTGGACTTTAGGTGATTTTATTCCCCACAAGTTAAGGCAGGTTTAGTGAAATGTTTAAACAACAGAGAGATAGAAAACTGACTAGTCAATCCAAGAACGTAAGCTACAAATTAAAACATTTCAAGAAAACATTACTAACAAATAAATATCCTCTAGAGTTTATTCAGAACTTTACAAGAAGACATATGGAACGAAGTAATAATAGTAATATGAATATGAATAGTAACGAAGACACAAGTAGAAAGGAGTTCAAGGCATCTATTGTGTTATTACATGAAAAAGGAATATAAGGAACTTCATGTGGAATTCTCAACAAGTCTAGACTTACAGTGGCATTCAAACCTGCAAATTCATTTAGAGATAAGCTTTATCGGCTTAAGGATCCGATAGACTGAAGTAAACAAAGTAATTTAATTTACCAAATTCTATGTAATGACTATGAGGTCAAGTACACAAGTTGAACTAGCCGATCGGGGTCAACTGGATTATGGGGACATAGAAATTTAACCAAATGCAGAGTGACAGGCAAAATGAGGACAGCTGCTCGACGACAACTATGTCGTGAACTAATAGAAGTAAGAAACATGGACCACTGGGTTTCAACCCAGTGACTCATTGATGACGTGCTGGCAGCGGAACCTCAGGTCCTAAGCTCGACCTCTGGGAGGGTCATGGGTGCGCGCTGCCGGTGAATTACACACTAGGACGAGACAGCCGTTCAGTGCTCCCAGGTTTCCAGTATTCCTCCAACTGACGTCAGTCCATGACAAATTCCAACCTAACATCACTTAATAAACCTCCACAAAACCTCTAGACAGAATGATCATTTTTATTTCATGCTCTAAAATCTCATGTAAAAGTAACTGGTTTGAGAACTTTGGTATTCTTAAGCTTCAGGTTTAATAAATCCGTACCATATATACGCCTGTGCCGATACTTATATGCCCATCACAACCTACATTGTTCCAGTAATACAAAACAGGGAGTCTGCTTTTCTTAAATAATACCATTTATACTATCAGTTCATCGCCTAGGAACTAATAACACCTAACACACGTAATAGGAATAACGCCATACCTATACCAGAGATATGGAAAATATTACTACCAATAAAAACAAAGAATATGATACGATGTCGAAGGTAGTGTGATTACATTGATATAATTATGAGCAATAATTTATACTTATCAAGTATATAATACTGTATCACTGAGTGTTATAAATCGAATAAACAAATCTAATATGGGACTAATAGCAAAACTGATATGATACAGTTGGACTTTTGGTTACATTTTTGTCCAATGTAGACACTGTTTGTTAAATGATTACATGAGGCTTCAAAAATTGCTTCAGTCCTTTGAGTACATGCTGGTATTATAATAAAGTTTGAAAATCAATAAATTTCAATGTTCTACCAACTAGAAAGTTAATTTCTACCCAAAGTTTAATAAACGCTAAGATCATTTCAACAGGGTTTCATAAAACACGCTAAACTGTGAAATACAACACAATTAATGATAAAATCAGGATACTAAGCAACTTACCTAGATTTTTTGGTAGATTCGTAGTATTTAAATTTTGGACAGATCCTATCGCCAATGGATGATTGTCTTTATTGTTTAGTGTTCCATCTAGTGTATTTGTTTGCTCAGAGCTAACAACAAATGGTTTGGCTAGTTTTAAATAAGTAACAGATGAATTTATATTTGTTCCAGTCGAATCTGGTATCAAACCTGTAACAACATAGTTAGTAGAATTGGCTTATATTAGTCTAAACGTACCGATTAGCGTTCCGTCTGGTAGTCTATCCAATTCAGAGGTGGCATTACTGCTGCTGCTCATTTCACCAGCTGCTACAACGTAGCGTGGTAATGGATAATTTGCTGGTAGGACAGTTGTTAGTGCTGAAATGCTCAACTGGGAAGTGTTTCCCATAGAGACAGTCGCATATGCTACAGTTGGTGATACATAAACCTGTTGTAAAGACAAAATAACAAAACATTACATGAAATCTGTGATTATATTCATTTGTTATGAATATTGGTAAAGGGAACTAGACAGCAAGATAGTTACCAAGATAAACACAACATCGTGAATGTTCAGAAGTATCGAGGAATCCGCATGGTGGCCCATTTGCCAACAGAGATCGAGCAATTTGACTTAGTACAGCAACAGAAAATCACAAGCATCAAACAATAACTAATACATGTTGCATAAGAGGTAGCTGTCATGCCTCAGAGGCCTGGCAGATAAGTCTTTGGTGTTTGAAAAGGTGGGTATTTGATTCTAGTCCTATTGGAAAAGTCGAATCGAAATGTACTCAACAACCAAGTGTATATTCGTGCAGTAGTCAGTCAGCCAAACAAGTTATATAAGGGGTAATGATGACATTACCTGACTCTCCGAACCTCGACAAGTGCAGCTGTGTTTGAACCTATGATCTAATGACTAGAAGTCATTTCTCTAAATAAATGAACCACAGCTACACAGTCTCAATGGAAACAACACCACTTACTAGGGTGCAGGTATATACAGTTCATGAGTCCTAAATAGGGGGAAACATGCGCCCTGGATTTAACTGCTAATTATCAAGATAAGTATAACTAAGGAGATTTGACTAAAGTCGGAAGACGGAAGTGTTAACTTAATCGATCAGTTAGTTTATTCGAAAAACCTGCCAGAAAAGAACTGCGTACGCTGACTGTCTATGTGACGGACAGACGGTAAACTACATGAACGATATAAGTGAAGCGAGGATTGTAAAATACAATAATATATCCGTAGTAACTACTGATAGGAATGGAAGACAAGATTAAACATCCAGTTATCTGACAAGAAACCTCCCCTGGTTAACTAGTTCACTAGTCACTAGCTGGTCCTAAGCCCAGGTAAAGAGGGAAGGTTGGGCATACACCTAGTAACCCTACCCCGTAAAACCAATCCAATTGCCACAGAAACTTCAAAGCACAGAGAAAATAAAAATAATAAAAACAAACTTATTCCTCGGTGGAATCTGAGAGGCAAGATCATGCCGGTTGGTGAAAGCCTGCCTTCGGGAAGCCAATTGGCCGATGTGTCTTCTCTCCCTCGATGAAAGCGAAAGTAAACATGGAGACATGGAATGTCTTAACAGTGTTTGAAGCTGGCTGACAAGGCCACCCAGATTCCAAAAGAGATGAGAAGGTGTAACATAGAAGTTCTTGGAATGTGCGAAAGCAGATGGAATGGAAGTGGCCTCTCCCAACTATCAACTGCAGAGTTAATAATCTACTCCGATATTGTCACCCAGACGACAACCACGAACACACTGAGTTTTGATCATGTCAGCAAGGTTCAACTCAAAAGGAAGGAAAGTTACAATCATACAATGCTACGCTACTCACCTACAAATAATGCAGATGAAGAGAAGAAGGATGAATTCTACAGACAACTTCAATCAGTACTGAACAAGACCTCACCCCAGATGGTGACACCAAAATTCATTCTACTAGATGACATGAATGCGAAACTGGGAGCGGACAACACAGGAAGAGAACTAACCATGAGTCGAGAAGTGCTCGATGAGGTGATGAATGAGAATGGAGTATTGTTTGCAGAATTATGTGCATTCAACGATTTGGTGATTGGAGGTAGTGTGTACAAACACAAGGATATTCACATGGCGAGTGACATGGATTTGATTTCAGCAGACACGGAGACACATAAAGAACAAGATCGACTTCATGTCAATGTGAAGAAAGTGTAGACGCAGCCTACTGGACACAAGATAAGATGAAGAAGGGGAGCAGATGTAGGTTCACAACACACACTGTCTAATGCAAAGAACCTGCCTTCAGAATCAAGTTGAAAGCTTCTAAGGAAGTTGGCGATAGACGACAGTTCAAGTTCAACACCCAGAACAGAAATTGAAGGACGAAACTATAAAGAAAATCTTTAGGGACGCCATCAAGACAAAATAGGAGATATCAAGGAACATCCCTGAAGAAACTGGTGTGAATGAACACTGGAACTCTTTGAAGATGTGGAAAGAAACCTGCACAGCCGTATTAGTAAGGAAGAAGAAAGAAGATAAGAAATGGATCTCAATGGATACATGGAAGCTGATAGAGCAGGGAGAGGAGGATGGTGAAGCAGAAGGTAAACCAGTGCAAGGATGAACAACGACAAGAGGAACTGAGCACAATGTATAAAACACTACACTTAACAAAGAAGTGAAGAAGAGTGCACGGAAAGACATAAGACACTTCCACGACACACTGACAAGTGAAGCAGAACAGGCTGCTGGTAGGAGTGACAGAGACCTGACAACATTGTATCAAATAACCAGGTTACTATCTGGGAGGAGATCAACACAGATGAAACCAATAAAAGATGATGGTGGAAATTTAGTTACCAGAGATGAGAAGCAAAGGAAACGATGGGCTGACCAATTCAAAAAGCTCTTGAATCGACCACCACCTGCACTTCGTCTAGAAATACCACCTGCAGCCACAGAACTACAAGTGAGCATAAGTCCTCCAATAAAACTCCAAGTCCTGAACGCTGTAAAGCTACTGAAGTGCAGGAAATTAGCAGGACCAGAAGGAGTTTCGACAGAAGCACTGAGAACAGAAGCAGAGAAAACAGCGGACATGCTCACACCACTATTGCAGAAGGTGTGGAAGGAAGAGAAGGTACCTGCCTACTGATTGGAAGAAGGGTTACCTTGTCAAACTCCCGAAGAACGGCGACCTAAGTCTTTGCAAGAACTGGCGCGAAATCATGCTCCACTCCTGTCCACCCAATCCAAGCAAAATATTATGCCGCATCATCCTGGAGAGACTAAAGGATGCGTTGGATTCAAAACCACAACCAGAACAGGTTGGCTAGCTGGATTCAGGAAGTACAAATCATGTGCGGATCAAATTGCAACGCTACAATTCACATCATGATAGAACAGAGTACAGAATGCCAGTCAACTCTCTGCCTCAATTTCTCCCATTTTGAAAAGACCGACCTTCGACAGCGTCGATCGAGAAGTAATTTGGCAGTTGCTTCAACACTACGATTTTAGTGACACAACCCTTTATCAACCTCATTCAACAACTATATGAAGACGCCACATGCCAAGTAATTCACAATGGCAAGCTCAGTGATGCCTTCAAAGTGAAGACAGGCGTAAGACAAGTCTGTCTACTATCACCGATCATCTTCATGATTGTGGTGGACTGGATCATGCAACAAACAGTGAGGAGCGAGAAGAGGGGGATACGCTGAACTGGGGAAAAGAACCCAGAAGACTTGGATTTCGCCGATGACTTATGTTTAATGTCACACAAACCTGAAGATCTACAGGCGAAAACTAACAGGTTGACAGAAGAGGTGAGGCGAGGCAGCGAAGACTGGACTTCAAGTGAACGCAGAGAAGACAGAGGTGATGAAGATACCCAACCAACACCAAGGACAACAACAATAAGCTTCAATCACAATCAGCGATAGAAACTTGAAGGAAGCACTCTCTTTCACCTATCTAGGCAGCATTGTTTAAACCATAGGTGGCACAGACGAGGACGTCAAGACCAGGATCGGGAACACATCAAGACAGGCGTTCGTTAACACGAAACCAGTGTGGAGATCTGCACTCAGCATATGGAACATGATCCGGATTTTAAACACCAATCCAGTCAAGTCAGTGCTTCTATACGGCTTAGAGACTTGGCGCGTTACGAAAGGGATTTCCAACAAACTACAGACATTCATCAACAACTGCCTACACTGGCTCGTTACTGAAGATCAGTTAGCCAGAATAATAAGAATAAGCAACAAGGAACTCATTGTGGCTGGCAACGAACCAACCAAGAACCTATCGCTCAACAAATATGCAGTGGAAGGAAGTGGAGATGGAATGGGCATACACTGAGAAGGCCGACTAGGGACATCACGCGTCAGGCCAAGCCATCGAGTGGAACCCAGATGGGAAGCGACGAGTTTGGTGTCCGAGGCGAGGGTGACATGGAGGAGATCGTGCTGGGAGGAAATGAGAGGTTGTGGGCTGTCGTGGAGCCAGGTTCAGAAGTTTGCGGAGAATAGAGTGAAGTGGAGACGTGCTACTGAAGCCCTATGTTCCATTAGGAACCGAAAGGACAAATAATAAAAATAATAATATCTGACAAGAATTTAACAAACTAAAGCACTTTATATAACTAACAATTCGTCTTAACCGTCAATGTGCCTGGTTTACATTTTCAGAATGATGAATTTAATAAATTAATCATGGAACAGAAGTATTGCTTATCTCACATGTAAATCCTAAGCCTTTGTGAACATCTTTCATGCAATGCATAATCTTGAAATATTGGCTTTTTTATTTGGATTTCTGTATAACTTATTTTGTTTTGAATGTAGGCTAGACTTATCCAATTGTCAGTTAGTTGCGTGCCAAAAAAGTATGCAAAACTACTTTACATCATTTATAGTAGTATAGAAGATAAATCGCAGTAAGTTTTTTGAAGTATGGCATAAGTACTAATTATTCTATTTAAGTTAAACAAATTACAATCTAACTATATATAGTGTCCCAGTGTAATAGAATAAGAGATGGAATTAGCTCATGAGGCGTATCTAGTGTGTAAAGTCTGATGATACCATTCAGGTTTTACAGTACGATTTTAAGGTATAATTTAACTAGTAGAAGTATATGCCAATCGTGAATTGGGAGGACTATGTTTTAGCTTTGTCAACCAATAGGAATTCGGTGCATCGAAAGTTGTCCAGTGTAGTATGGATTTGTTAAAATTGATGAAGAGCTTTAAGGGGTATTTGCATTAAGTCAAGACGATTGTTTTAAGCAGAAAAGAAGACCACTGAAAATGAGACAGTGTGTCATTGACAACCATTTTTAAAAAGGTTGGTTGTTCTCTTGCTTTGATGAACTAAACAGTAATGATTTCCATAAAAATTGAAAACAAACGAAGTTAATGTTAAAAAAGAGGTAAACATGATATTTTGCTATACTGTTACATTAACTCTTTAACTTTAGTTGGTGTATAAGCTACCTCTAACAGCGTAGTCGATTCAAACTTTGAGTTCAGCCTTTTATTACTTATACATGAAGTTTAGACTGACTAATTTTGTAGACCGCTTTCACGACAAGATAACACTGGTTACAGAACCATTCCTCTTTGGAAATCAACACTTTTAACTAGGTTGTCTATTCCAACATTTTCAGTGTGTTTCCAGGTGTTCTCAAGATTTTTCAAGTTAGTATTCATCATGGACTGATATCAGTTGGAGGAACATTGGAAACCGGGGGCACTCGACAGCTGTTTTGTTCTAGTGTAGGACTCCTCAGCAATGCGTACCCACGACCCCACTAAGGGTCGAACCCAGGGCCTTAAACTGGTATCAATTCATGATGAATACCAAATTGAAAAATCGCTAAATCCCCACAAACCCCAAGCACAAATGAGCTAGTGTTCATTGGTGACTAGCTTCGAGAGGTGATCCTTGAAGTTCCATTGAGAAGTCATGACCAGTGGGGCGAACCTCGTAGAAGTAAGGACAAATACTCAACGATTATATTGGGTGATAGTCGTGCTATGTCGTAAACTGACAGAATTCGGAAATATGGACCACTGGATTCCCACTCAGTGGCTCAATGGTAAAGTGATGGCCACTAAACCTGAAGGTCCTGGGTTTGATCCCTAGCAGGGTCATGGGTACGCACTGCTGAGAAGTTCCAAAATAGTAAGAGACAAGGGTCCAGTGCTCCCAGGTTTTTAATGTTCCTCCAACTGATGTCACTCCAGATTCTGGCACTGAAAAACGTTCGTCTTGTAACAGTGATTGACTACGTAGTACATTTTGATTCATCACCTTAGAAGCGAAGAAATTCCCGATGTGATGTTAGAACAGCAAACTTTCGCTTCTAACGAAGAAAACACCAACCAGCGACCACAGGGTTAATATTTGCATTATATCAAAAGTAGCAATTGGTTTGAAATACACTATTTAAAAATAAGACCATATGGCCTAAGAGAAATATGTTCGGTGTGAAAACATACGCTGCTTAAGGTCATATGTGAAGAAGATAAGTATGTGTAGCTGATGATATCTAATGGCGCTTTACATATCTGATAGGAGGTGGCCGAAAATGGAAATCGTTCAGGGTCATACGCCGTCGGGGTAGAAATATTTTCCTTTCACACCTTGATTTATGTCCACCTGACTGGTGATCTAGTTGCTCCATTCTCTGAGTAGCAGCTGTCAAATGAAATCATCTTCCTTGTCAGTCACAGGCCTGTCTTTTGTCTTCTGATTTTCGCGGCTGAGTAAAGTGTAACATGTGAGGGAGAACAGTCGTATCACTCGTATCCAGTCCAAGTATCTCGTTGCGTTATTACTTGTTTCACTTATTGTTAGAACCTACGTCATTCCCAACTCAGTTACATGAATATCCGTCCCGCTTCTCAGTGGCTTAGGTGGTTTAGAACTGGTACTAATTAATTGTAGAAAGTATATCTATTCCAGTGAAAGGAAAAAGCTCTTGCTGAATACAGTAGGCTAACAGTGCAGTTTTATTTTTTATATTAAATATGCAAATAAACTTACATGTGCTTTTGTCTCATTGCTTTCTTCAAACCTTGAATGCGCTGTAGATATCAATTCAATTAATTCACACTGATCGTTTGAATTTGCAGTTTTATTAGTTAAAATGGCAGTGGAGTTAGATTCTGCAGACTTTTTTCTTATATACTTCTCTTCTTCATCTGACTGACCGTCCTAAATAAGCAAAGTGTAAGTGAATACACATAGAAATGGAATGAAAAAATTTCTTGTTTAAAATTAAACAAATGATAGTCATATTCAAACTTATAATCTTGTTGACTAAATCTGCGGCAAAATCTCATGTATAAACAGTTTAGTCCTTAAGTTCAAAAGAATGTATGTGATCTGATCAATATTTACTTCGTCTTCATTCAGTAAATTCTAACCATTCATTAGCGGATCGTAATCACAAGAACTGGTGACATTTATTCATTTTATTCATCTTGTATGATAAAATGATACAATTTTGAATGAATTAAAGATTTGCATTTAATGTAATGACTAGAATATCAGTGGAATATCCCCCTCAGAAGGATAACGGTCTGGAGTAAAATGTTAAGATTTCAATAGTTCTATCAGGATCTCATTTATTATTGCTATAATAAATGATACAAAGTGAAACAATTCAAAATACTACTTTAAACAAAAACAACAAAGCGGTTTGCTTAAATTATGGGCTACTAAAACAGTTTTCATCAATAATATTTCATCCTATTCTTCCCTCTATATTTGTTTTAATGTTTCAGACATATTTCTCAAGTTAAGAACAAAACGAAGGAAAAATGTTTCACCAGATGAAAATGAATATACATTTAGATGATTAAAAATACAATTTTTCTGCTGGTTGACTAAATTACCACCAGCATGATTTCGTATTCATCCACAATCCAGATTAGACATTACACCTGCTACTAATTTCAAATTAATGCCTTTATTATCAGCACTATTCTGATGTAAAGATAATTTCTTTTAAAAATATTGTACGTGAAGAGTATGCTTTGAAACATCACCTCCTGAAAATTCCATAATGTGTCATATATGTTGTATGAAATAAAGCGATTATTATTACCATTATTATTAGTGTTGTCACTAGGAAATTAAAATGAATAATATACTTCGAGTATGATATAGAAATTCATACAGTTCGATTCACTCTCAAGTAGACAATCAAAATATGCTAACGACAAAGATCAAGAAGGTGAATGAATATTGTCAATTGTAAATTAGACTTTTTCTATGGCATAAACACAGTAACAATATGAAAAAGGGGCGATTTCTATGTGATCTAATCTGGTTTTGACTCACACTAAATGTTTAAACCATTCATTCTCATATTTGTACAGTTTAACAACAACAACAATAGTCGGTAATATAATGTCCTCTCTGAGACTCGAGAATGCAGGTACTATTTGCTAAAGCCTGTCACCAACCACGGAACCCAGGTACAAGGCTTCATACAGCCTGCATTCAACCAACTAACATCAACCAAAAGTGCGACACGATAGTAAACCTCCTAGCTTGTTGGCCGCATTGTTGGAATGATCAGTAAAATTCCATCAGCACTCAAGACAAGACAATTTGAAATCGATTGCTCCCTAGTGACCAATCAATGCAACTGGAATCTTTTTAGTGCCAATCAATGTTAAAACGTGAGATAATAGGGAGGTTCAATGTATTTTGTCCCAAAGAATGCGAAAGCATTCACATATGGCTGGCAAGAATTCAACAACTGCGTTTGTTTATCTTTACAGATGAAATATGATATTTTTATCCGGGATCAACATTAGTTAGAGAAATGCTGAACACATTTTGCGACTTTATGGAAGTGTGTACCTAAATTTCCATAAGAGACCAAGAAGAAAATAGTCAAGTCTCTCAGGCAGCATATTGAAATTCAGTCTTTGCGTCGCAATATAAAATTTCACATTTTTCCCACTTCTGTCAATTCTCTATGTAACACAATGTCATACAGTGTGATTGGCGAGCATTCTTTCTCACAAGCGACCTGGTTGGTCCCGTATTTCAAAGTATCTTAGAAATCTGATCAATTCATTTTAAAGCATGTTTTCTAGTGACTAATAGATAGTAATCTACCTGAGATGCAATAGTTGGGGTTTGCTAACAGAGAAAATTTATCAATAGTGATTGTATCTTTCATCGGTTAGAAGAAATCGGTGGTCTGTTTACTTTAGAGACATGTTGCACATTTCAGATGGTAAACTCTTGAGGATTCCTTCAATAATTTACAATAAAGAGCCACCACTCTAGATGTTAATTGGAAGAAGGCAGTTGGCAGGAAGCCTGAGATCTAGGTTTCGTGCTTGTTGGCACTCGTTAGCATGGTGTTTCTGCAACCTGGACGGAAATGATGGCCCTTCTAAGATTCAAACCCACATCACTCCACAGTGACTGAGTCGTGACTGACCCATTGTAGGAAAGGATCAGGTAGACTGACTGGTCACTGGAGGGTAACCAATTTCACACTGTCTAATTCTGAGTGTTGAACGATTTCTGACAACCGTTTTTTAATGTGATCATCATGCTATGAAATTGAACATTGCTACGCATTAAGAGAGATGTTACTTGGGTGGAGGCATTCGACACCAGTCTCATCAAGGTTGTGGATACACCTTACTGACGTGTGCCAACAAGCACGAAACCCAGATCGAGTAGGGCTATCCGCCGATGGCCCCATCCAACTAACATCTATTAAAGTACATCGCGATGTTGAACCAGCTAACTTGGTGGTCACATTGCAAAACGACTCGTAGAATTCGATCAGGATTGATGACTAGACAATATAAAGTTGGTTATCCTCCAGTGACCATTCAAAATACAATTCTGATTTTGAAAAAGATAATACTAATATTCATTGTAGGCGATAAGTATTTCGAATATGCATAACTCCCCTTTAGAACTGTTTAAATGCACCGTACGCTGTTTGCGGAACCAGTATTTTGTCTTTCTTTAAAGATATTAATGTTTACGATTTAAAGTGTAAATAATACAAATTTTAGTTACCTAGTCGAAATAAATGTTCACTAGAGAATTTTTAATATCAATGTATTCTTAAAGGTATTAAGTAATAAGACTAGTTTACACGATATGCAATAAAGAGTAATAGACTGAGGAGACTATCTGAAAGAGGCGAAATTATTGCCAACTTTTTCAAATTATTCAACAAACATAAGTTGTTTAGTGAAAGAAACAAATGAGCCATCTAACATTTATCCACAACATATATATGTACAAGATATTAACAAGAATGTGGTGTATGAAATTGAACAACATAAGTTAAAAAAGTAAAACAACAAAACACGCGACATTTTTGTAACTAAATATCATTATTGAAATGAATGAAGTTTTTAATTTTGAGTTCGTATTCATTACGAACTGACATCTGAAGACGTTGGGTGATAGTCGCATTATATTGTGAATTGAAAGAAGTTGGAAACTGTAAATTACTGAACTACGACCCAGTGAGTGAATGATCAATGCTTTCTTCCTAGAACCTGAAGGTGCTAGGCTCAACCCCTAACCGGGTCATGGGTCTGTATTGCCGAGCAGTCCCGTATTAGAACGCAACAGATATCCAGTACTACCAAGATTTCAATGGTTCCCCAACTTATGTCAGTTAGTGGTGACTACTACCTTAAATATTACTATTCATTAGTTTAAATAGAGATTCGTTGCCTTATTGGATTTGTTTATTTGATATATAGTGTACAGCAATAAAGTATTATTTACTTGATGATGACACTTCGAGCCTAAATTGTTGTTCACAATCATACCACCACTTTCAATACTTGATTTTTATAATCCTATCACCTGATTATATGATTAGGTGTGGGGAGAGATTGATTACTAAATCTTTGTTCATCGAATCAACACCGCGCAACATACATAATAGAAATGACGCACCACCTATACCAGAGATATGGAAAATTTTTATTACCAATCAAAGCAGAGAATATGAGGTTACAGGACTATAAAGATCAGATATATCAAAAGCTGTTGGATTACATTGATATGATTATGAGCGATAATACGTAAGAAATTTGAACTGGGAAGTTTAAGAATCAAAAAGTGAATACGGACCTTTGTTCATTCATCCGGGAAGATGTTAGCGTTGATTGTGGACAATCTACCTATGTATACAGCCTATGTACCTAACTCTTAAGGAACAGGTGAATCGATATGTGCACACTGATGTAGCTACTAGTGTCAGTTTGTCTTTCACACACATTTTCAACATTCAGCTACTAGGATAGGTGAATTTGCAGACTGGCTCTACAGAATGCTCTTTTAAAAATCTTCATTAGTCTGCATTTTAGTATCTCATCTGCTGCATCTTTATTGAAATCCAACCTCAAAGTTGACGATTTCTTCTCTACAATGATAGGAGACTGATGGGCAATATTCTGATGTTGATTCGATTTGAGTGTACATTTCTCATGAATGTCGACCTTAGAAGTTTCGTCTTTCAAAGTTTTTAGAGTACGAATCTCACTGATTTGAGAGGAAAAAGAAATGAATTAAATGATTTTCTGGCTTATAGGAACTCAGTTGTGAAAGATTACAAGGTTGTGGGATTTTGAAAGTAGTATGATTACACTGATATGATTATGAGCAATAATCTACACTCAGTGTCATCATCAAGTAAATAATACTGTATCACTATGTGTTATATATCGAATAAACAAATCTAATATGGAATTCAACTCCACCACAGTGTCCAAGTTTTACACTTAGATATTTCAAGTTGTTATTCATCGAAGACTGACATCAGTTGGAGGAACAAAGGAAACCTGGGAGCACTGGACAGCTGTTTCGTCCTAGTATGGGACTCCTCAGCAGTGCGCACCCACGACCCCACCAGCAGGGGTCGAACCCGCGACCTTCAGGTTCCGCGACCAGAGCGTTACCATTGAGCCACTGGGTCAGGATCCAATGCTTCATATTTCCAACTTCTGTTAGCTCACGATATAGCGCAAGCCGCCACCCAATGTCATCGTTGAGTATTTGTCCTCACGGCCATCAGGCTTTGACTCCACCGGTCACGGACAAATACTCAGCGATGACATTGGGTGGCGGTTGCGCTATATATCGTGAGCTAACAGAAGTTGGAAATATGAAGCATTGGATTCTGACCCAGTGGCTCAATGGTAACGCGCTGGTCGCGGAACCTGAAGGTCGCGGGTTCGACCCCTGCTGGTGGGGTCGTGGGTGCGCACTGCTGAGGAGTCCCATACTAGGACGAAACAGCTGTCCAGTGCTCCCAGGTTTCTTTTGTTCCTCCAACTGATGTCAGTCTTCGATGAATAACAACTTGAAATATTTCCAAATCTCCACAACCCCCTCAAAGCTTAGATATTTGTTTAGTGGTTTTTGTCGTACACTGAAATCAATTGATGGTTTAACAATTATCCCACTGAAATTCGCAAACACCGTTGATACAGACGCTCAAATGTTTGATTAAGTTGAAACTGTAAATGTTTGTGAACTTATAAGACAACTGTAATTATTGTTGTTAACTATCATGCTAAATATCACATTATTCTGTGAATGAATTTTACTACTTATAAAACTTAGAATGGCATTGAAAAGACTTTGAGCACCATCAGTTTGTCAGTATTAGATAGACTAGTATTAAAAGGTATTTATAAACGTGCAGAAATTACTTACTTGAAATACTTATTACATTTATAATCATAAAAAAACTTGCATGCATCTTAAACAGTAGATACATAACTCATGCATTAATGACTTCAACAGTACGTTATACAATAAAGACAGAGATACACATGCATAACAGCTTTAAAAGTGATAAAATCTGCTTGTTTCTTGATTATAAAAAAATCAGTGAATTACCTCGTGTTTCAAAGAAATATAGTAAACTGATAGGAAAGAAAATTAGAGAAAAAAAAATACTTTTCAGTACTTCCATAAAAAGGTAATAATAGTTTGCATCATCATTTCTATTGTCTATTTAACTAAACTGAGTAGGAAGGAAATATTTTAACCAACTAATCAAGCATTCGAGATAACAAAAACAATAAATTATGTATACCAGGTGACTAACATGACCTTGTAGCCTATTGGAAGATGTTCCTATGGACACTAAAAAAGATTAATATAAGAAGACTAAAACGAAACGTTTAAGTAATAAGTTTGAAAAAAAACTATCGTCCCTGTAATAACAAACAGTGAACCACTGTTAAAGTGAGCAATAAGACACTGTCAGTATCTGGTATGTTACCGCCGTATAAGCTTTCTTCATGTTGCACAAATGAATCTAGTGATCATGAATAATTTTTCAGCTTAATTTTAACTAATCTTTTCACTTATTGTGATATTTTTAACCTAGAGTCCCACATTAAACTTACATGGGAACATGTCAGATATTACGAGTGCTATAATATTGCTCAAGTCCTCATAAGAAGAGATAAATCCATAAAACTTTCCGCAAACAGTCCTTTTACCTGAGAGTTTAGACGAAAAACATGTGAATCTGTATGTAAATATCAGAGTGGTTGAAAAAAATACAACATTCTAGAAAGGTATAGAAATGGTCAAGGTCATTGTAAATACATGCAAACCATTGTAGTTTGCATATATTTTCACGTTGTAATACACCTTCTGTTATTTTACCGCCCATATCCAATTATTAAGGAAATTAGAGACCATCAAGAGTGGAATTTGAAGGTTATTGTTCAATTGTTCACTTTTTCTCATACACATGTATAATTGTCAAGACATTCCTCCTTTACACCAATCAGAGTTCAAGTGATTGACTCAAATTAATCCAGTAGAAAGCATCTCATAACTTGTATCAGTTACTCAAGTTGTATTTTTGTTGATTATCGCTTCAATAAGTTGGATAGATAGGAGAATATCGTTATAATTTTGAAAACTCTTCATTTTTGAAGCTTCACTTGACAATTAAACTACTGATAATTTTAGTTAGCCTTAGCATTTAAAAAGGATATTCTCCATTAATCAAAAGTTAATGATTGGTTTTAAAAAAAGTTAATAATCACAGAAGTGAGTCAGTGTACACAGAACTTACATTTTTTCTGAAGGTTGTTAAGTATATCGAATACGTATGTGTTTTACCCTAAGAAATAACCTTAGGTAAACTATTTAGATATCTTAGTAATATGAAAAAAGATGTTACACAACCATTTATATACATTAATCTGTTTTCAGAGCTCAATTTTTAACGGTAATTTACTCAGTCATAAAAAAATAGTTGAATAACATTATGCTCATGTACAGATAGCGTCTGTCATAATATGATGTGACTGCTATAGACCCCTGATTACTCCTTTGTTAGTTGGTGTAAATCTGTAACAAAACAATCCTTTAAAACCATTTAGTTTACAATCCACTGCATAAAGGAACAATAATCCAGTACTTCTTAGGAGCTTGGATTCTCTGAAGACAAACCAGTCTATTTGTGAGCGATTACGCTAGATGATAGTCATCCAATTTAGCTCATTGGCTTAAGAATTTGACTTATCAGCAATGAATCCTAGGTGTGAACCTCGCTTTACCCTACTTAAGTCTGGCCAGTCGGGTAGAGTCATGAACCTTCAGCCAACAAGTGTGGCTCATAGCTTGCATAAGCTTGACTTGTATCATATTGTAGTGTTACTATTTGACAGGTTACAAATCTTGACCATAACACTCTAATGTGTCAGCTAAATTACAATGGACTGCTCATCTCATAGGGTGACCTTGTATTGAGACGAAGACGCTCATTATTCATGAGTTCCAGACTAGGACTTTATACACTCTTTCATTTCCTTCGGTTTCTCAGTGGTTTCCCAGTTGTTTATCTACAAACAGATTAAATAACTTGCAATAAAACAAGTTTGCAAAACTAGTTGAATTCCATAAAAGGAAGTGACTTACCAGCATCCGTAATGCCTAAATCAATTGGTGTCTTATGCATTTTCGTCCACCAACAAGAGAATATTATAGAAACAACAAATACAACCAAAACAAGTGATACAATAGTGACGCATAACAGCTGTAAGTAAATTTTCTCTTCTTCACCATCATTACGATACGTTGGTGGTGAAAAATGAGGATACTGAAATTGAATATGATTTAAAACATGAATAAAATTAAAATATTAACAAGTGTAACATGCAGCTGAATGAAAAATCATAGTGATGTGACTGATATTGTCATTTATTATTATTTGTTTTTTGGGTTCCTAGTGGGACATACGGCTTCAGTAGCATGTCGCCATTTTACTCTCTTCTCAGCAGTCTTTTCAACCTGACTCCGTCACTGCCCACAAGCTTTCATTTCTTCCACACACGACCTCCTCCATGTCAACCTCGCCTTGGACCCCTAGCTCGTCGTTTCCCCTTTGGGTTCCACCCAGAGGCCTGGTATGATGCCCTGAAAACGTCTTCTCAGTGTAAGCTCATTTCATCTCCATTCCCTTCTGCATATTTGCTGGGCTATATGTTGCTGCCAGCCAGAGTTCCTTGTTGCTTATTTTTATCATTCTTGCAATCTAATCCTCATCCTCAGTATTGAGTGAGCGTAGGCATCAGTTGTTGATGTGTGTCCACAGTTTGTTGGAAATGCTTTTCGTAACGCGTCAAGTCTCTCAGCCATCACATGGCAGCACTGAGTTGACTGACATTAGTGTTGAAAATCCAAATCCCGATCACGCTTTATGCTGAGTGCAGTGCAGTGCAGTAGATCTCCACACTGATTACTTCAGGTTAATGAACGCTTGTCTTGCTTTCCCGATCCTCGCTTTGATATCCTCACCCGTACCTGTGCCACCACCTGTAGTTGAAACGATGCTGCCTAGGAAGGCGAAAGAGACTACTTCCTTTAGATAACTCCTGTTGATGGTGATTGGTATTTGTTGTTGTTGGTTAGGTATCTTCATCACCTCTGTCTTCTCTACGTTCACCTGAAAGAAGTCCCGTCTTCCATGACTGCCCTGCCTCTTCTGCCAACTTGCTGGTGTTCTCATGTAGATCTTCGAGTTTGTGCAACAAGACATTAGACATAAATCATAATCAGTGAAATCCAAATCTTCTTCTGGGGTCTTATCATCGGCCAAACAGCGTATACCTCTCTTCTCGCTCCTCACGGTTTGTTGCATGATCCAGTCAAGTCCAGTCGACCACAATCAGAAGGATGATCGGTGATAGTAGGTGGCAACCTCATCCTACTCCTATTTTCACTTCAACGGTATCACTGTACTTTCCACTGTGAATCACTTGGCATGTGGCATCGTCATATAGCTGTTGAATGAGGTTGATAAAGGTTTATGGCACTAAAACCGTGGTGTTGAAGCAGTTTCTCAATTACTTTTCAATCAGCGTTGTCGAAGGCGTTTTCAAAATCGGTGAAGTTGAGGTAGAGAGCTGACTGCCTACTTCACTCTGTTATATGATGATGTGTAGCGTTTTAATTTGGTCCACACATGATTCGTGCTTCCTGAATCCAGCCTGTTCCGGTCGTAATTTTGAATTCAGAGCACTTGTCAATCTCTCAAGTATGATGCGGCATGATATTTTCATGGAGATCATGTGAGGAAGAAATGAAAGCTTGTGGGCAGTGGTGGAGTCAGGTTGAAAAACCTGCAGAGAAGAGAGTGAAACGGCAACGTGCTACTGAAGCCTTATGTTGCACTAGGAACCCAAAGAAAAAAATAATAGTAATGATAATAATACAGTTGTATAATGTTGGCTAATTGTGATCGAATAGTAACCATCCCTAAAGCTTCATTGAACTAATATAAAATGAATGAACTGTTGAATAAATGACAGTATTAATCTTGATTATCCAATGCAATAAATATTCAATACTAACACGAAGAGTATGATCAGGTTAAAAAAAGTCATGAGTTGACAAAGAGATGTCGAATAACTAATCAAGAATAATACAACAGCAAGTAGATGGGTTTAACAATATGATGATGATCTCTGTAACAAATATCCATAAATATTCATTTCTTAGATGTACAAATTCTCTTAAGGTGGCAAATAAATCAATGAACTGAGATAGAGAGTAGTTTCTAACTGAGTGTAAGACGTTCACCAAACATATTACCAGTGTAATCCCATACAAGAAAGTGCCAAAATTAAGGCATAAGTATCAGTTAGAGTAAAAATGAAGTATTTATTTCCAGATGTGGCAAACAAGAGGCATTTTCAGTCAATAAAGATTAACTGAAAGATATGACAATGATATTGAACTGAACTTGACTGAATACCGTCTAGATTATAAGACCTAACTAGTCATGTGTATTTTCAGTTATTACAGCTTTCGAAATACGAAATAATTCGCTAATATAGTATATATTACTACACACTGAAACTGTATCCTGTTGACAGAAAGTGAAGCGTATAAATCATGAAGAACAATCATCAGGTTTATAACCATATGAATTTGTTGATAGGATGAACAATCCAAGTCATGTTCTGATTCTTATCTTGCATAAACTCGGTTGTTTGAAAAAATAGGCTGACTAAGGTGTTATCATAAAATGTATGTGATCATTAAATGTTATCCCAATGATAAAACATACCAGTTCAACAAATAGTGAATCTTCTGTACTTCTAAGACGATACTTTAGTCTTTCATTATCAGCTTGTTGATTGCCAGTTATGTTGATAAGTATCTGAAATTTATCAACTGGGGATTCAACAATTTCAATTACACCCTAGGAAAAAAAAATGTATCCAAAGTAAATGAATTTGAAAAGATTACAGTTAAAACCATACCCTTCACTTTATAACGAATAACTTTGTTCAACTCATTCAAACTATGATAGCTATAATGATAAAAAAAAATAATAACTTTTTACTCATTTTTTAAAAAAAAAGGTAATAAAAACAATGTGTTAAATCTACTGATTAAAAGGTGATGCTGGAAAAGACAGGACAAGGAAGTAAACCGTTTGGTGTATGTGTCTAGGCTTTGATATTCATGAATACTTCACTATCAAACTGAACGCTTTTGGGAAATATCTTAGTGAACTCTATTTTTACTTAGTAAAGTTCAATTTCCTTTTTTCTTTCCTGTTTGATGCAAAACAATAAAATTATTTTCATCAAAACTATTCCAACTGTCTACCGTTTAAAGATATGAAAGAAAAAGTTCGATAGACTCAAAGAATAAGTAGTAAAAAGAATATGTCTTACACTTTTCCTACGACTTTTATCCAGTCTTACTGACTATCTTATACCAAGCATAACATTAAAATATTTTGTTAAGTTGCTGTTCGATACAGGAACCTGCCCACAAAGGTACCGAATACGCTAACTATTATACGATAATAATTAAGCTTGTGTCTAATATTCTACTTCTGCACTAAGTTGCCTCACTTTGTCCTGAACATCCACTTATCAATCATATCACTTTTCCAAGTAATTATGTGACAGTATTAATGATACTTCCGCTTTACTAATAAAGCATACACAGATACTGTTAGACTGCATAACACTTTTAGGTTAAGGGTGGTATTCATCACGGACTGACATAATTTAGGGAACTATTGAAAACCTGGAAGCACTTGATAGTTGTTTCGTCGTAGTATGAGACTCCACAGCAGTACGTACCCACGACCCCTCCAAGACAGGGATTGAACTCAATACCTTAAGGTGTCACGGCGAACGCGTTAACCATTCAGTCACCGAGTTGGAGTTCAGTGGCTCACAGTTTCCAACTTCTATCAATTCACGATGTAGTGTGACTATCACCCAAGATCTTCAGTTGGCATCCGCTTCACTTCTGACTGGGTCATTACACAGGTCACTGCTTCTTATTTCAAGGAAATAAAAATCCCCATCAACCTCAAAATACATTACTATATAGTTTTCATTAGTGACACCCTTCGAGGTGAACATAATGAATTTCTAATGAGAAGCCGTAACCTGTGGGGTCAACCAGTTGGAAAAGAAGCAGATGCCAACTGAAGGCCTTGGATGATAGTCGTGCTATATCGTGAATTGAAAGAGGTTGGAAACTGTGAACTAGTAAGCTCCAACTCATTGGCTGAATGCTGACTCGTTCGCCGTTACACCTGAAGGCTTTGAGTTCGACTACTGGCATGGTGGGTCCGTTAGTGCGTATTACTTTGGAGCCTCTTTCTAGGACGAAACAGTTGTCGAATGCTTCCAGGTTTTCAATGGTTCCCCAACCCATTTCAGTCCGTGATGAATACTACCTCTAAACTGAAGTTCCCATTCATCTCAGAAATACAATAATTTTAGATTAGACTACAGGAGAATACTAAATAATATTATGCAAAATACTCCTTTAAAGTGGTTACTGAGGGAAAAATGCAACACCATCAAGTTTGTTGAAGATTTCGAGGGGTCAATATTGTTACCTTCTTTAAGCATAAACAAAATAAAGATCACCATTCACTGTTGAAGTCTAGAATTCAAGAGTACGAAGAAGGGAGAAAAGAAATGAGAAAATGATAACACAATGGAGATAACAAACATCTGTAATAATAAATTCTTCTGTAGTCCCCTCCAGTTCTTATCATCAGAATACAACTGAACAACTTTTAGCCTTATTATAACAATAAATAGTTACTGGGATGTATATTCTTCAAATGACTGTTCGCTTTTGTGAAATGAAGTATTAAATATATCAAGAGTTTTCTTATGACTGCAGTTTGAATAAGGATATATGGGAAACCCTATCAAAATGAATATTTTAAAGAGGTAAAAACGGGTAGGTGACCTACTGATATCGAATAAAGAGTGGGATATGTAGTGTTAGTTGGACATCTCGTTTTGAACAGACTAGTTTATTTCTATCTAAATTGTTCATTCAACTGGCTTGTTTATCGGATAAATATGTTTGTACATTGGCTCTTTGACGCCAGGGCGTTCAAACAATTTTATTCGCATTTTTATCACTAAGTGGGTTAGTCAGCTAAGCATCTTGTTTAAAAAAGTGACATCAGGGATTATATTCCGAATTAAAAGAACATATTAATTTTCAAGTCAATGGGGATCTGATTTTGAAGATAATATTCATAACGGACTTCATCAGGAATCGAACTCAGGACGGTCAGGTTTCACGGTGAACGCATTAACCACTCAACCACTGGATCGAATTTCAACGATTCACAGTTTCCTACTTCTTTCAATTAGCAAATTTTTGAGAAAATTGTCTCGATAATACAGACTTTATAATAAGCTTGACACAGATTACTGCAACATATATTAGTGCTCTAAGTCTCCCGGTATTTTCAACTTTCAAACCACTTGTACGGAACCAATTAAAAATATCTCTATATTACAACACAAAAATTGAAATCTAGTTTCAGTAAGTTGTACTAGGAACGATTAAACTATAGGCACACTCAAAATAACATTTAGTAAAGATTTTGTATTGATATTATAATTTGGTAATTTACCCAAAAAAATCAGAAGAAACAAACCTTGCTTCAAAAAACAAAATGCATTCGAATACAGATCAAGAATCCTTATCATAAAATTAGTTGAAACTCATGAACACGAATCAACTGAATGTCTGAATAATTGCATATTCAGACTATAAACATCGAACCACCCTATATTTTTGTTAGACTGTTCAATCCTTCGTGATAGTCTAACTCAAGAGACTCATCTACTTTCCTGGGATTGATTTTGATCAAGGATGGTTATTGTCATTTCAATCGTTTTAAAATACACAGCTGGTGTTCATTATGTTGTCATATTGACAAATTTCGTCTATCAGACCTCATACTTGATAAAGCATTTCTTTGGGCACTGTATTTTAATCGTCAAAAGTTAGCACTAAGCATACCACTTATTTTCAGGCATTAGTGAAATAGAATGAGGTCTGTCTACGCAGAACTGACTAGTATGATGAGAATAAGACCAGTTTACGACGTCTAATTCCAGTTAGTTCGAAGTTCACTTTATATGCATCCCCATCCGAAAGTTATTAAACCTTAGAGAATAGTGGGTAAACTGTCATTCTGTTGTATTACCAACAGATATATCACACTGAGTGATACGAAGGTTGACTGGTACCATTCAAAAAAGGATGGAGATATGCATGTACACTCTTAAATTCACTTCGAGAACAATTACTTGCTTCAGTTACCCATGTCCATCTCAGTCACTATACTGTTGCATTATTGCGAACTTTCGAGTTAAAGTGACTTGCTGTTGAACTAATTTTAAGTATAAAAAGTGCCTGATAAAGTTTGTGTATAGACCAATGTGTGCCACAAAGTCATAATTAAACAGTCAATCCAGTCACTAAGAGTAGTATTCAGTTAAACATATTACCCATTTCTGGCTGATGGGCGATTTATGATGACTTAACCTATTCTCAGCTAAAGGGACTTCAAACACTGACAGATAGTTCGTAGAACTACTAGAACAGGAGCTGCTCATGAACGCACATCCGTGTGTAACGTACAAGAGAATGCTCCATTTGTTTACCTAAAGCTGATTCTCAACAAATTATAGGAAAACGACCTTGTTGGAGTTGCTGAGTCTGAAGTATGGTAGCTGGCCTAATCTTAACAGTCATTCAGATCTGAACTCGCATTAAAAGTCTATGAGGGATAAAATTACCCAAGTTCTGGACCGGTATGCATCATTTCTTCATCTCCAAAACACATACCGGACACAAAAAATATGGCTAATGTCCAGTACTTACGAGCCTCTTCACAGTAGACATGCAGCTTGGAACCTTTGGGGTTTAACAAATGGTCTTAATGACTAAGAAGACCGAGAAATACTGCAAAACCTCTCAACTAACAAAGTAAGGCTGAACAGAAAAACTTATCAAAAAAAACTAACATTTAGACTGCAACGAAGTGATAAAAAGACGTACAGTTACATCGAGATGAAGAACAACTCCCCTTTTAGTATATTGTACCCAGGGAACCTGGTAACTCCTGGATCGGAAAGGTTGAAGGCATCCTGGTGGTGCAGCTCTAACGCAAACTTTGCGTACCAAGAAACTGTAAGACATCTCATTTCAAGTTTGGACTAACTGGATAATCACGAGAGTATTCCAGTCCTGAAGTGGCCAAGGTTTGGGGGATCTTGCAAAATTCAAACTCTTATACACCTCCTGAACTTGGAAGTAATAGACTAAGAGTACTTGAAATCGTTCAGATGGAACATACTGTCGTCTGGCATCTATTCCCCGATGATAATTCATAGAAAAGCAACTACCTATTGATCGGAAGAGGACTGTCATAGGAAGAGGGCTACTTCAAATGACAAACTTAATTCCATAGTCACATCTATTGATAATACCATTGAATCAATCTGTAACTGCCTGCTGCATAACTTAAGGTTATTGGACTCAACATGGCTTCGGACCAAATCGGTTACGCAGCATTAGTCTGCTGACAGCAGAAGACAGCTGAACAAAGTTAACTGGGAAACTTTTTAACGCATATTATTGCTAAATGTTTCCTAAACTTTTGACATCGTATACTGTAACCTTAGGATTCAGAAGCTTCAGGTTGTAGGCATAGGGTTTTTTATTTAACTAGCCAGAGTACTGTCAAAAAGGCATTCTACTGATTGTTAGGGTTAGGTCCCTATTGTCTTACTGAATCAGGATAGTCAGCGGAGTTCTTTAAAGTTCTGTACTTGTTATTGTTATTTATATTCTTTCGCTGTCCATGTCTCTTCTTATATCTAATTCCATTTTGTATACCGGTTATCTAAAGGTTTGGAAAGAAACTGACAGGTCTACGAGCGACGATTTCTCCCAAGAGGATAAGAGCAAGGCAATTGCCTTGCTCCTGTCCTCCTCGGAGAAATGGTAGTTATTTAAATAACTACTTCTTTAGCAAAAAATCAGAAAAGCTGTCCCGGAAAGAATTGTGCCAACGTTTTAACTCCCGGGATATTCGCAATAATTATCACGAAGTCAATTTATTCTTTACATGGTCATGATAAAAGAATTCTCAGATTGTGTATTCAGCATTCAAATTACAGTTCATTGATAATGTAAATATTGGAATACATACGTATATATATGTTCGCATTTGAAAATCAAACTATATAATACCTCTCGGTAAAAAAAAGCTAAATGATTAAGGCATGAAAAAGAGCACATATTTGTTCTCAACAACGTAACCTTTAAAAAGGACAATCTACCAACCAGATACTTTATATAACATACCGAAATGACATACACATATACATGTATATAACAAGTTCAAACCTTCTGTAGTACACACTACATATATACGCAGTATATACTTCATATTAAGTTTGATATATATTAATATATACTATAAAAGTTTCGAACTTGAGTTTTCACTTCTTAAAACTGCATTATTTCAGACAATAATAATAGCTTATAAAGTTTAAGACATGAATTGCAGATAACTTTGTCTCTAGGACATACCCGATAAGGATTCTGGAGTATGAGATCCCATGACTTGCTTGAAGGTAATCGAGATAATAACTCAGACTGATCTATCAATATAAGCTCGTCAAAGCTTCCACCAAGAGCTAAATTTATCCTAATATGATTTATAAGTGAATGGATGAGCACGTGGAATTTACCTAGCGACTAAAAGTAAACACGCAAAAAAGGCCATTTCCCAGAAATTTATAAATGGCTCTGTAATGAGGCCAACTAAGTTGAAGAAGTTAAACTAACGTGACCAACACGTGTTAAATGATTTCATGTCAGCTGCCATACTTGCTCTCCTTAAATATTGATATTTTTCACTTCTCTTTTCACTACTTAGAGAAAAATAAGCTTTAACCACTACAGTCAAGCGTTCCTCTTCGAGTCCTACAACAATACAACGATTCGCCAACAATATATGTAACTGATACACGGCCAGTCCCATCATTCTCCTAATGGATAACTATGTGATATATATAGCTATCTCTATCAAATGCTGAAGCTTATGCCTTTTAATCTGCAGTATAAGATTCCACTCTCGTACACATGCATGCATACACACACTGAAACGTCCAGGATCTTTTGGTAACTGTTGGGATCCGTCAGAATGTCATAAAATGACAAAAGTAAGGCTGACTGCCTGAGGTTTGGATAACCGATCTATAGGGATGCAACTTATTTTATCTATACCCTCTCCTTGTTTTAATGGCTACCAGTGGACCTGCACAACAACTGTGAGTTTCATTTAACGAAGTCCTGGAAAACTCTCCCTTGCAGCCTCACCACTGACACTAGCAACCACTGCTCACTAGTAACTAATGCTATAGCTAAAACGCATGAAAAAACCCAAGGGAATCCAAGTTCATCAGCTTGGTCAGGCCTAGTCGAGTCATCAGGGATATCAACAATCCAGAAACAGTTGCATCTTTGACGTTTACTGCAGTCTAAACACCTCAGTTCTCGATCGATGAACTCAGAAATCTGATGGCACCTCTAGCATAAAATCTAACCTTTCAGTGACAGCTGCAAGGGTAAGTGACAAACAGTCAAGAGAAAGCCATTGGCAAAACGTGGCAGTCAACACAAACACTGCCATATATTTGGCCCCTGTGTGACGAAAATTGACGCAGCTTTCCACTGCAGCTCCCGCAGCAAATGGGTGCATCGTCAATTCTACAAAGACTCATTAAGTCAGTATCGTGCTTTTATGACATGCCACCCATGTACGGGATTCTGGTACATTTGTCCGCACTGTCTTGTGGGTTCATTATTAGCTACAACTCCTTCCACGGGATGGCAAAAGATTCCCCACAGGCTGTTACCAGAAGGCAGGAACACAGCCTCTCCATTGTCATGAAGGAAAGTTATACCATGAAGATGGTTAGCGACCCTTCTCACAGCCTTTCGGCGGCGGGCAATTCAGAGATTATAATATGACTGTCACCCCCGAATCCAACCACACCAGTCTCAAACCCTCAACCCACTGCACTGGGGACCCTCACTGGAAATCAACGAAAATGGATGAACTGAAGGGAAGGGTGCAGGCGATTCACTAAAAATCATTCCATTACATGGTAGTGTAAAAATTAACTGTCTATCAGACTCTGCCATCCCATCCAACGTTCTCATGTTCAATTATAGGCTGCTCGATCAGAGAGAAGTGTTGGACAGATGGCAGTGGGGCCCAGAATACTGCACACTATAGTTGGTAAACCTTTTGAAGCAGTGGTATAGGTTCAACGGAGGCAGCCACTAACCTCCAGAATAGCAGCCATCACTGACGGTGACCCTAGGCCTAATAAATGAGGCCGAAAAAGTCCCATTGCAGGCTCACTTGGGCCCATCAGCCGGCCATGAATCATAGAGCTAAACCTGAACGGCCATCGAGGCATTGCGCCATCTGAGAGGCTCTCCATCCGTAAAGGCTCATCGACATGGTCACCCCTGGGGGTCCACACCAACATCCAAAGCCCCAGGAAGAAAGATGCATCAGCGATGTCTCACACTAGCATTGGCTTGTGGCGAGGAAGAAGTCGGCCAAGATACTGAAGGTGGTAATCAGTAGGCCCTCGCGTTCCACGCATGTGAAATCTCTAGCCTCATCGCGACTGATGGCAATCAATTTCAGAGCCCTGGGGCTTCCGGCCAGCACTCTGCAGACGTGGTATAGGCATGCGGACGCCAACACCAAAAGTCTTCAAGTCTGTGAAAAAACAAGAACACCGTGCAAACTGAAATCAAGTCTTCTCCGTCGTGTTTAAGCCACTGTTATTGTGGAACAACCTGATGAGGGCCACACCGATAACCTCTGAGTAACAGCCACTGAAGAAAGTACATCAAAAAGAAGCTTAGCTCTACAGGTTTCATGAGATCTGTATAAACACCAATAACTTTTAGGTCTGCCACAAACAACACCTTGTCCTCAAGCACTTCGGGGCCACATTGTGCTGTCGGAAATTCTTCCAACCACCTTTATAGCAATGTGAGGTGAACTTGGTGGTGAGATGGCGTGGCTACAATTTCCATATTCCCACCTCACTCTGAAAGTCTTGTGGTGACAGAAACTTAGTTGGCAATGGATATTAGTGCCCTCAAGGACAGCCTAGACGCCGTAGTTCTGTTCAGGAGGGATATGGGGCTGAAGAGGAAAGTCACGGTTCAGGTGTGAGCAACAGAGTTTAAAGTGAACCGGCTGGGGACATAATACGAACAAGGCTTTCTGACTCCATCTGGCATCCCTTAAAGACCAGGTGCACTAGGCACTGGATGGCGGGAATTATCTACCCCCTATTGGTGACGCGCAACAGACAGTGCAACTACTCCTCATGGTATCCATGGCGTAGTCCATAGAATATGATTTCAAAGCTACGACCCACAACCCACTGAACATCATCGAAAGGCTCAGGCTATATGGGAAAATAAGCAATGGTAAAATCTGGAGGCTGAAGAGAAAGCCATTGTAACCGCACCATCTTTTACCTAGCAATCACCTACTGGTGGAGAAATTTACACATAAACTCTACTGAGCCGTAGCAATCATACCATGGCAGTGCTTGGTCCGATAAGTAGAGAACAACTAGCATGTGGTTTTTTCGCCTCTGTCTTTTGCAAAGCAAGCTAAGCGAATTGGTGATGAGCATATGTTGACTGGCATCTCCATGGCTCCACGGCACACACCATTTTCAAACACCCATGAAGAAGGCTGTGGATCTGATAGCAGCTGACAACCTGGAAACTATTTCAGATCATCTTGGAGACTCACCAAGAGTTTAAGTGGTGCTTCGATCCTCGTGTTGACACTGTATTCATTCGGTTCGGATTCGGACTAGGCCGGAAAAACTAACCGGTGTCTGGTCGGTCCAACACTTTTTGTTGCGTTTATTCTGATTTTCTTCTATTGTTAGTTCACTATTACTGATACATTGCAATCATCTGCCCCTCGTTATATATTTCATATGTATAGCCACCCATTCATTTTTGTTGCGATTGCTGTTTCCATTTCTGACGTCCTTAAAATAAAATTCTTTGCCACATTCCAGCCCTGTTACTCTCCGATGCCTAAACCTATTCATGTAAGTTCTTCATTAGAGTGGGTGCTTTCCAGGTATCCCTAAATTTATCCAGATCGTCCTAACTCTTATTTTCCCACTTCCTTTGCCTTGACTTTCTGCCATATTTTTGTCTGATTATCCCCCTAATCTCTTTATCCCCCCCCCACTAAAACCTGTCGCAATATCCGTATGACGACTCAGCACTTAGAGCCTCCATCCGCAAAGGAGCCCCATAAGAATTAATGCAGCTGCCTACAAATAAGACTAATTCCCATCTACTTGAGCGAATTTGCAGCATAGGACGACTGGGTTCGGGTTTACCAAAGCACGAAACTATTTTGTAATACCTAGTGGCGAACGCGAAGAAATCAAATGGTTAAATAAAGTCAGTAAAATAGATACAGGATGTGTCATGGTGTATCCTATTGGATATAAATGTCAGACACTTGCAGAAAAAACATTATTTTTACCATTTGTAAACCTGCAGCAGGTTTCGTTGATGCGGATAAGCTTGCAACACCCCTGAAGTAAAATAAAACTGGAAGTGTCTTAGCTCTTGAATCTCAATTTTCTAACCTGGTTTTTTGTTTTCTGTTGCTTTCTTCCGAAAGTAATATAGTCCCTCACATTTTCAATTACCGAGAGGGCTTTATCCACCAGATTTCCTACCGACTAGTGCACACTGAACAACTCATTCCGTCATGCTCACTTGTATCGGGAAACCTTCTATCATATTTGTGAGATTCGCCATATTCTCGTAGGCATGGTGCTTCAAAAAGATTGCGAACTTCAAAACGAGATATCCGACGACTTATGGATGATAAGGATGAGCTTTCATGTAAGTGTTTCCGAACGCATGCTCCAACTTCACCATTGTAGAAGCCCTCATTATGTCTCCGTTGTTGGTAAAACTGAGTCTCACAATTAGTGTTCGGGAAAGAACTTAATCAACATATCTGGGTGTTTGGGATAGGCAATTGTTCCAAAGACTGTAGAGGTGGATAATTGTTTGACTTTACACCGTATACGGGGCATTCAGCTCACTGTTGGTTCATTCCGTCAGTGCTATGAAGCCATACAGTCAGTAACAAGAGACCTGCATACAGCCCACATCCTTTCGTATTTTGACTCTATTAGCATAGACAGTGGCCGTAAACCTTATACTGCAATCAGGGTAATTGATCCAGAACAAGTAAATGAGGAGGCAAAATGTGGTTTCTGGTGAGATATTAGGCTATTGTACTGTCCGCGATCAGCACATCCTGCTAAATAAATGCGGAATTTCTCACTGCGCATGCGAATCCACAACCATAGGACGAGTAGATTAAGAATATCTAGCCAGGCATTCTGTGACATGAATGCGATATCAAGTGATGTCGAAAACTTTGATGGAACCTCACTACATGGTGAAGTTGAATGCTTCTTTTTCATATGGTTCTTGATTATGTCAATTTGCAGACTTCCTGTTGTGTCTGACTACTTACTACTATATTTTTGCAGTACTATTTCAATGTATCCCATATATTTGACTTATGGCTCCGCTATTCTCCTCGCACACTGTGTCACCGACCCTTCGGTATGCTACGTATAGCCACTTGCTGTTTTTCTATTCCAACACTAAGTTCCGGTTTTGACGTCCTTT